GTTTGTCCTACCGGTTCCCGCGCCGGAGCGAAGATGGCTCTTCCGCCGTTGGGTTGTTCATGAACACCCTCTGCCGGGGACGGAATGGTGCTGCCGAAGATGCTTCGAGGCAGTTGGCTGACTGGATCTCCACAGTGCTAGCCTTTCTTCGCACTAAATCGCAACCCCGCCACCCGAGCAACAATATCTATAAAGAGAACAGTTCTCTCCGGGGCAAACCCACATCATTCTCCTTCTCTAGTATCCCGATACACTATTTTGACTGAGACTCAATTACCGTTCTCAAGACGATTTCGTCCAGCACCTATTTCTGCTACTATGGTTTACAATAAACCAACAAGCGGAGCCATGAAGAGATCTGCTTCGGCTCTCGATGGACCCCCAGGATGGGGAGATGTTCCTGTATGTGTTCCCTCAAGAGAAACACAGGTTCATTCTTACTGATATCCGTTTAGTCAATGATGACCAACTCCCGTTCATCATTCCGTCCTCCTTATACTCACTTTGCCATGATCTACCTCGACCGTGATGGCAAGCTCAATGTTGAGGAATCACCTTCTATTCAAGAGCAAAACTCCACTGTGTTTACCGCAGAGGTCCGCCAGAACTTCCTCGAGATTCTGGGTGAACGCATCGGCTACCATGCCCCTCGCCGTATGTCCAAGTTCCAGACCCGAAGACCAACCAGTATATGCTGATACCAATCTACAGAGATAATGGACGTATCTCCTCGTCGAGTGAGACGTCGCAAGGGCAATGCTCCTGCTCTTTCTGTTTGTGACAACCGCCTGGCTGATCAGGACACTGATAGCGAGGACATGCCTAACGGGTCTACTGAAATGGTTCCCCTCCGAATTGGAGACTCTCAAAAGGTCATGGCCTACTATGAAGGTGCCCTCAAGCACTTCCAGCAACTGAACTGCCGTATGGTTGCCAAGGCGTTCATCAAATTTATCGAGCCTCGCAAGCAGGTCCGACACCCTTATAATGGTGGCAAGGCCCCGCCAGGATCTGCCCCCGGTACTACCGGTGACCCAGAAAAGACCAAGCCCGAGTGGTGGCCTCCCGGTGTTATGCACAAGGAGCCTGATCACCTGAGAAAAGAGTGTATGATTTGCCCATGGTCTTGATTCTTGATCTACTGACTAACTGAGCTTTAATAGACCGCATTGAGCTCTTGCTTCACATTATCCGCAAGCTCGGTTCTTTCGGTATCACTGCCGATAAGCTTAAGGATGTTGCTGGCGACACCAAGCGAAGCTTGAAGCACGCATCTCATGTCGAGATCATCTACGAGATCCTCCGGGTCCGCAAGATGGAGGAGCGTTTCGAACGAGGTGAAGTCGACGCCAGCATGGTCGTCTACACCATGAACCGCGGCCCCAGCCCTAAGAGTGATGAAGAAGACGATTCCCCCTCAGTGACCATTGAGGAGCCTGAGCACCTCAACCAGGGATTCATGACCCCCATCTCATCATTCGAGCACACATCTACCTCCTTAGCCACACCCATCGACAACATGCCATCGGCCCGCTCCCTCCCAGGCAGCTTCTCCATGGCGGAGCCTCTCACCTTCGAAAACCCCGCCCGCCAGGACCGCCCCTACTACGCCACACCTTCCCAATACAGCGATTCATACTCGCAGCCCATGATGAGCACCCCCGTAACATCGGAGATGATCAGCCCCCACGACGTCTCAGTCTCGGCTTTCGACTACTCTCACAACACCTACCAGAACTCCACGCCTGATCAGTCACGCGGGGGAATGAGCGGACACTACGATACCTGGGCCCCATCTTTCCGCCAGAACATCTTCAGCCCTGTCGACTACACTACACCAGCGACTAGCCAGGGCATGGCCCAGCCTTCAATGTCCTACCAGATGCCCATAGTATCGCAAATGCATGACATGTCCCATCACCATGCCCAGCAGGCCCACATGGACTCCATGCACCAAAGATCCCTGCCTTTCCGCACGGGATCGCTGGGTCACCCACACCCCAACGGGATGACTCTCTCCCACACTGTCTAAGTGGAACGGGTGACTGGAGGATGGCGATTAAATGGGACATGGGTATGGGTATGGATATGGGTATGGATATGGATATGGATATGGGTATGGGTATGGGTATTAACGAACGTGAATGAGTGATGGCACTGGCCAACAAACTTGGCGCTCATCTTAAGGCCTTGCCAGGGGAGTTGTTGTCTTTCTTTGGGGTTTATTGGATAAAAAAACTTGGTGTCCTCTTGACAGGTGCAGGTACAAATGGGTTCTGTTTGCTTCTTCGTTTTGGAAATATTTGGGTCTTGTGATTTGAAGTGATTGATATTCCGGTCTTTGTTTTTATCTTTCTTCTTTTGGTCTCGCCTTTTTTTCTCACCTTTTTTTTTCTTTCTTGGTGTTAGCCTCATGCTTTTTTTCCCTTGGTCTTCTGTTGAGCTTTTTATCTGCTTTGTTTGGTTTTTATGGGTTTTCTTCAACGTGGATGGTTGGAGCTGTTGATACACAGATTTGGGTAGATACTTCAAAATTTTATTCGTTGGTAATATGCAACTGAGCTCCTCTATTTCTTTTCACGATCTTTTCATTAGATACCAGTATTCAACTATGTTGTACCTATATAGTTGATTTCCTCTGCCACTTCTTGGCGTGCTCTTTCCGTATTAGTGCTCCTTATTATTATGTTAGCCAAATGACTCCTCTCTGAGTTCCTCATTCTCTGTTCCTGACAGTCTAAGGCGGACACGTTGCTGCTTCACCTGACTGTCTGTTGGGCGCGAACTTGAGGCTAGCAGTGAAAGACCACTAACTGAGTAAATTGCTGATGTTCGTGCTGCCATCTTGCGATAATGAACCGCCTGTCTCTCCTAGATCCCGTATGAGCTTTTCAATTGTTTCTGCCCTCCTACTTGCATGCAAGATGTTGCCAATTGCTGCATGTAACTCCAAGTGAACCGCTCTAGGGAGATCAACGCGCGGGTATTGATTTGTCAATGAAACCAGCCTGTCCTTTGGCAATGAAAATTCACAGACAGATGAGAAGCGCGGGAAAGTTCTGATGTGATATTGATGAGGGGTCGAAGTGGCCTCAAGAACAAAGTGGAAGCGACCGAACTCGCCATGGAAGGGTTCGACCATCATCATAATATTATCCTCGCGATTCACAGCTTCGGATGGCATGTCAAATGTAGACCGGAGACTCGGAAAATAGCGAAAGATTTGTGTCCATATCTCAGAGATTCGGCGCTGTTCATCATCAGTGTCAAAGCTCCCAAGAGCAAAAGGGATAATGTGGACAGCCTGTAAGGTTCCTTTTGGTTGGCCGGGGGGAAAATTGTGGTCAGAGCTCCAATGCTTGGTGATGGTGCATTGATAGCCGTCTCTCTTCAAACAGTCCCGGCGGAGGCATACTTGTTCATTTCGAGTCGCTGATGTGATGTCGCGAGAGTGGAGGTCTTCGACCGAATCTTCAAAAGCGAGGCGGGGGGATGGGGTGATGGCGGGGGTCTTCCCGCCCTGGGATAGCAACGGCCGCAACAGGCCTGTATCGATGCTGTTGGCAAGCTGCCGGATTTCGTCGTTGTCGTTGCAGTGCCGACGTTGATGCGGTCCTAGATATGAGATACCGTGGCAGGGGAAGAGGTCGTCGCACGCAATACTTAGTACGATGGTCCGGGCTTGGAAACGAACACCTGGAATGGTTAGATGAGGATAACCTCGTCGGAGCAGAGGAGAAAGTCCTGGAGTACCTCCAAGACGTCCTGCGTCATGCGCAGGATTCTATCAATTAACCATAACCTAGAAAGGGTCTCTTTATATTCATATTTACTTATTGCACTACCCCTCTATCGACCGCTAGTACCCTGTTCGTTTACTCTTTCATCATCTCATTTCCGTTTCTACTACTTTGTTAGTATCCACTACCTTACTTATCTCTCAGTTCCTTAACTATTTCAATCCTCCTGTGCCTCTCAGTTTTCTTCCTCCTATATCTCTTAGCTCGCTATTTAATATACTACTTATTATCCTACCCTTACCTTACTAATATACCTATCCGGAGATCTGTAGGTCGTAGGCGTTGTCCTTAAGCCTTATAGGGACGCGCTTATACCCATTATAGTATAGCTAGCGACCTAAATGAGAATACTATAGCGGCTGACTATACCGATACTAATAATGACCCTCTGCCTACTACTAAGTACAATTCCGGCTTACTTATAGATAATATCGCGGATAATAGTGACCTAGGCTTACTTAGGGAGGCTCTTATCCTACCTAAGAGCGGATGGACTATAGATAATCTAAGGCCGAAGCTACCTCCTATACTAAGAACTAACGTTATACGGTATACCTTCTATACCGAGCGAACCTTCGCGCTCGCGCTCTACTATTTCTATAATAAGTCTACCCTATACGCACTGCGTTAGGATAAGGCGAAGATATTATACCTAATCGATAGCTAACGTAACAGTAAGATACCTAGCCCTTCGTCAGGCAGGAAAATCGATATACCCACCGTTACAATATGGTTCGTTTTCTACTTTTCAATTCATAACTACTGGGACAACCTTAAGCATAAAGCCTGTCTTGCCTTATCTTACGTTTAACTGACGGATAAGGGCGTCTTCTACTACCTATACACGATAATACCGTACCAGAGAAGTTCCCGGTTTTAGGCAGACTTTGACCAATATAGGGATATTCGTACCTCGCGTGTTCCTCTGGACCCCCCGATGATCGTGTGGGCCAATGGATTGCCCTGGTTCCCAGTCTACAAAGCGTTTTACGTCCTCTGTGGGAGCTGGAGCCCTGTATCGTACCTCGTGGGAAGGAAGTACCGCTCCAAAACCACTGAGTTTTACATCGGTACAGCACTGGCCCCGCCTACCGCTGTCTTGGCCGGTCTTGAAGATTCTCTGCCGCAATTAACCCTCCGAGCATTTGATTCAGCGACATACCCAGATCCTAAGGACACAAATGGCCCCCTCGACCTCGTTCATGTCGCCACCATCAGCCGTAGCCAAAACAAGACCCCCTGCCCGTCCACTCGCTGGCCTAATAGGGAGACCTCTGGAAAGGCGACGTACGCCTTTTTGGGTTCTAAAGCGACCCCGTGCTTTTCGAGCACGTCCAGGACAAGGGTCAAGTGTTCGACATGTTCGTCGAAGGTATCAGATGCTGTGACGAGATCGTCGAGGTACGCACGGCAGAACTCGACGAACTCTTTCAGGAGTAGGTCCATTTGCCTCTGAACGTAGGGCACACTGTTGCAGAACCCCATGATCGCGACATGAAACTTTTCCTGGCCCCGATGCGAGACGACACATATCCGACCGCGATGTTCGCGTCGGACGCGCCATTGATAGAAAAACTTAGATGCGTCCAAGACAGTGATGAACTTCTTGCCCTGTGTCAGAAGCAAAATATCATCCATGGTCGGAATAGGATAAATATCGCGCACGACCTCTTTGTTTAGCGGCCGAAGGTCCACCACGGCGCGACCCTTACGCTCGGGCTCGCGCCCGGGCCGGTGAGTAGTACGCCATACAACAAAGACGGGGAAACCCGTAGCAGTATGTCCCGTTGTATAACTCATCTTCCCTTGGTCATGCAACGGTTGAAAGGCAGCGTCAATAACCTCGCGATCCTTAGGACCAACTGGGTAAATCTTAGACTTTGGAAGCCGTGCCTCCCAGCCAGGTTTGAGGGGAATCCTGCCCCTCGAGGGGGAAGTAGGCAAAACAGACCTCAAGGAACCTTTTCGTGTCGTCGGTATGATCTTCGGGATCTGACGACTCGTAGTTTGCAAGCGCGGCATCGAGGGATAATTTGGCCTCGGCAAAGGTGGAGAATCCAGTTGATGAAACAGCAGGGCTGAGAGTCTCATCTGACTGCGACATTGCAAACAAGAGGCTGGAAAGGTAAAAGGAAACGAGTGGTACAGCGGTTCATAACATTCAACCTGCCGTAACCCTTTCTGCCGCCTGCGTCACCTAGTTAGAGTTATCAAAAGTTACTTCACAAAATAAACAGAATTATAGGGCCGAGTGCTCTCTTTGAATAGACTAAGCGTAAACTGAGTGCACAATAGATACCTTCGACAAATCTCTAAGTAAATAAGCATACTCACCGAGTCACGTGATTATTGCGGAGCGAAGCGTAGCAATTAAATCATAACCTCGTGTGCATGTCACGTGAACGTTCTTTTCTTGTTTCAATGCGGTGAAGAAGTCATCGGCTAACTTTGGCAGAATAATCCAACCGGCAGAATAAATATAGACTAGGCCTAATCTGGCTAGACGATAATTTCTATTACGTGCTGTAGGTTACTTACTAGAGCAGTTACTAGAGCAGTTGCTCAAGCGGTCATTAAGCGATTGCTTAAGTGGTTAGTTACTTAAACAGTTACTTGAACGTTTACTTAAGCGGTTGCTCAAGCGGTTTCTCGAGCGGTTTCTCGAGCGGTTTCTCAAGCGGTTGCTTAAGCAGTTGCTAAAGTAATTGACGATAAAGCAGTTTGATTAAGTAGTTAATAATGATATGATAAACGGGACTTAATTTTATTAGTAGTTTACATATAAATTGAAAGTACCTGCTATCTTAAAAGTTACTACTACCATAGCAGGAAATATGCCTAATTGTGAAGGCGGTACTGAAATTACAGGCATGGCAGAGAATAAGCTAGTAAGAGGGGGCTTTGCGTAGCATTAGAAGTTGGAATAAGTCGCTTCGCTCTGCAACGACTATCAAGATGGGCAAGCCCCATACGTAGAGAAACCTGACCTGGTCGAGGTTTTACCTATAAGTGTCGGTCTTGTACTTATTGGACTATAGGACTCTTTTTTAGTTTCATATATTAGATTCTGTTTCTTACTTCCTTTCCAAAACTGTTTTGTATCTATTAAATTATCATTTTTTCCTCCGTACTTGTCTTCGAGTTCGAATCCCTCCTGACGCTCCATATGTTGCACAATATCTGCCCTCGGTGGATATATTGATATCTGCTGATATACTAATATCATCTTGTCAATATACCTATTGTTACTTCAGTCTAATTGGTCCTGGAATAAAGACTTCAGCCGCGGCCAATTCGACGCGCCAGCCGAGACCAGCGCTTGGTCAGCGGAGTAAGCGGAGCCACTCCGCTCAGCTTGAAGCTCCGCGACCAGGGAAACTTGCATTTCCATCCTCTTCAATCGCTTTGTGCTCAGTACGTGCTTGACTTCCGCTCTTTATTCTCATGCAGGTCTCATTTTGTGGCTGATTAACTGGTGTCGCCTTTCTAGTTCACGCCACGAGCGCAAACTCCGACGCGCACGCTTCACGAGCTTGAACACCTAATTAATCGCAAATACCGAAGGCGACAGCCCTGAGGTCCCTTGCACATCCTGCCGAAGGGAAAAGACTCGTGAGTTTACTGACAGGTAGCGCGAATACCTATCCCCGAGTCTCTTCAAGTCTCCTTGCGGCTTTGTAACATGGGCTGACTTCTTTGTTGTCGCCTCGGCGCACTAATTCCAGCGAACAGCAAACTTTTCAGATCTTCGCGCAATCGACTTTGCATCTATTTCATCTCGGAATTATTGACCCCCAAAACCCGAAATCGACTTGACCATAGAGCGAGCGGTGGGGCTGTTTCAAGAGGTGGCGGCCTATCCAGTTGAATCCGCTCTTTGCGGGCAGGATGGCTAGCCCGTTTAATCCGTCTGCAGGCCGTGGCAGGGGAGGCGCGCCGGGCGTGCCAGGCTCAACGGGACGGGGAAGAGGTGGACATACGGCGACATATGTACCGAGAGGTTCAAGTGCGCCTCGCGCAACGAGGGCTCGAGGGCGTGGACGAGGGTCGGTGACATGGACAGCGCGTGGCCGTGGTCGCGGCGCAGGCGCTGTGAACCACACCGCAAATGGATCCCAGCAACCTGCAGAGGGCCTCAACCCTGGTGTTGTCAGCTCACCGTTTGCGCAATCAAATCAGCAAAAATCCGTCGCATCGCCGTTCGGCGCTCAGCCTGCACAGCAGTCTCCGTTTTCTAGAGTCTCAAACAGTGCTTCGGCTTCGAACGTCGCCAAGAACCCATTCGCCCAACCTATGAACACTACGAAACAAAAATCATCGAAATTTGTTGGCGGGGGATCTAATGTTGCCGCGGCCATGGAGCATGCATCGACGTTGAACAATTACCAGGAACGCTTTGACAAAGTCAGTCTGCCCTTCCTCGAAACCGGACGACACGACCACGGAGCTAACCCAATCTGCAGCTGAAAATCGATCAAGTAAGACAGCGTGAACGAGCGATCAAGGATGGGCAAATGGCGGACCCGAATCAGCCGACTTCTTTAAACCAGGCTATCACACCCGTGGGTACCTGTACCGGCATGTGCCCTGATTTCGAGAGGGTGGAGCGGATCGTGCAGAAAGCAGTGGACAAGTGTGAAAAGGTAATGGTGCGCTGATCTCTGTCTTTGGCGCCACACTGACGCGACTTTAGTATCATAATCCGTCAACGGACCAGCTGGAAATCATGGAAACCAAGATGGTGAAACGCTTCCGACGTGCGGCAGCTGGAAATGACGAGCAATTGCCCTCGGATATCCGAACACCAAAGACACTTTTGCAAACTATGAACTATCTCATCCGTTATGTGATCAATGGTGGTGAACCGTTGGCTGTCGTCCACATGTTTGTCTGGAACCGGACACGATCAATCCGAAACGACTTCTCAGTGCAGCAACTTACACATGAAGAAGATGTGAAGATGGCGGTCATTTGTCTAGAAAGGATTGCCCGATTCCATATCGTGTCCCTGCATCTTCTTTCTAGTCCAGCGAACACAGAGCAGTTCGACCGTCACCAGGAGCGTGAGCAGCTCAACAACACCATGCTCTCTCTCATGTACTACTACGATGACAACCGCGGACGCATTCACTTCCCCAACGAGGACGAGTTCCGCGCCTACCACATCTTGTTCTCGATCCATGACCAGCGGCCTGACCTGGAAGCCCGTGTTCAGAGATGGCCAACTGCCCTACTCGCTTCACCTCGAGTGCAGGTGGCATTGGAACTATTTGCCGCTGCATGTAATACATGGGAGCCTCAAGGTGCCCTGGATTCTCGCCGACCGAACGCAATTGCTCAGGGATTCTACACTCGCTTCTTCAACATCATCAATTCCCCGAGTGTGTCATATCTGATGGCATGTGTGGCTGAGGTGTACTTCAACCACATTCGTCAGACAGCAATCCGTGCAATCTGGAAAGCTTACTGCCGGACTCCGCTATCACAGCAATCTAAAAACGATAATTGGACTGTGGAGGAATTAACCAAGGTGATGCACTTTGATGACGACCAGCAGACAATTGAATATTGCAATGCCCAGGGCTTGCAGTTCGTGGAGAATGCGAGTGGTGGACTGTATCTCTATTGGGGTGATCGACCAGTTGACTCTGTCGGTAAGTGGTCTTAAACTCCATCTCGAATCTCGTCTCTCATTTCCCACCTCACCCTCTCCGTCGCGCCTGTTTATGATAGCTTCCATCGTATTTCTTCCTCTATCTTTCTTTCGTGACTAACAATCTCCCAGACTTTGCACCTTCATCTGACCACTCTTTCTCTGAAACATACGTGGAGTCCAAGCGCGCAGGACGTACTCTTGTTGCGGTTATACTCGGCATGAACATCAGAGAAGCCGCAAGAATGGGTATGATTGATCGTTCCCAGTTGCCTCATAAGAGTGAAACCTTGCCCGAGGCTGAGGCAGAAGATGGGGATCTCTTCGTGAGTGATATTGACAATCGGACACCCGCACCTGTGGTTGAAACACACAACACCATTCAGGACACATCTGCTTCTGAATTCCGGATCGCTTCTGAGTCTCAGAAATGTCTACAATCTACTCCTGCAAGTTCGCCTTCACTGTTCCAGTCAAATCTACCACCCGCCGCTTCAAAGTCGCCAAATCCTTTCGGCATCTTTCAGCCATCAAAAACAGCATCTCCTCCCTCGAATCCATTCGCAACCTCTATCCCCTCCACCACTGTTACACCCTCAGCGCCGTCTCCTTTCGCTTCTTTGCCAAATCCATTCTCGTTCCCGAAACCCGAGAAGACCGACGCCTCTTCCCTGACCACTAATGTGGCACCCTCACCTTTTCAGACAAAACCCCCTCCTCAGACCGACTCCGCCGATAAGCCAGCTGTTTCGTCTATTGGCTCTGCCGGACCCTCACCGTCACCTTTCGCCTCTACTTCTTCTTCGTCCATATTCTCAAAGCCAGCGTACGCAAAGCCCAAGACAGAGACAGCTACAACAACTCCACCCGTGCCTGAATTTCCAAAGCCCATTTTCTTCCCTCCCGCATCGTCGACTGCAGACAAACCCGCCTCCGTGTTCCAGAATGGCTCCGGTTCTGTACTACCCTCTGGCCCGAATCCTTTCGCTGCGCGGTCTCCATTCTCCTTCTCCGAGCCATCAGAGTCAACCCAAAAGACAGAGGCTCCTGCAACTATTCCTGCGCAGTCTACGCTGTTCAAGCCCAGCACTTTGCCTCAAGAGCCGCCGACTGGGGACAAACCCGCCTCCATATTCTCTTCTGGCGCCAGCGCTTTCACTGCGTCGTCCCCATTCTCCTTCCCCAAGCCATCAGAGCCAAGTCAGAAGACGGAGACACCGGCGGCAGTTACTACCGCACCCTCTACGTTATTCAAGCCCATAAGCTCGCCTCCTGCGTCGTTGACTGAACCTAAGAACCCCTTCGCGTCTTCGATATTCTCTGGTGCCAATTCCTTCGGTCCCACAAACACCCCTGCTGCTCCATCGCTATTCCAAGGCATCAAACCCCAAGAGACAGCTGTCAAAACCAAGGAACCTGCAACTGCGCCCAATTTCGGGCAGCCCTTCTCGCCATTCTCGGTGAACAATGCTAGTACGATTTCAGGGTCCCCGAACGCGGCTGCAAACCAATTTCCAGTCCCTGGCTCAATCTTTGCGGCTCCAAAGGCAACACAGCCAAGCCAGAAAGCGGATATCCCAGCTACTGCGCCCACACCAGAGAACCAGCCATCAGGGTTTTCCCCGTCTTTGGGTAGTTTACAGTCGCCCAAGCCGAGTGAGACTTCGGTGTTCAGTCACTCCGCACCTGCGCCGGCCCAAGTACCTGGCGCACATCTTATCAACGGCCACGCTTCGATTTCGGGTTCTCGTCGGTCTGTCTCGCAAACTCAGGCGACCGCCTATTCACCTCCCCAGACTCTTTTTGAAGCACTTCGACAGCCTAAAATATTTGACACCACATCGAATGAATACTCGTCTGAAACGGCGACTACTCAGCCAACACCTTTGTTCCAAGCCTCAGAGCACTCAGTGGTGCCAGGACAGCAAGGGTCACTGAAACGACAGCATGAGGCCAGCAATGCAAATGTGTCCCCTCAGCACAAGAGGCGCTCCTCGCTGAAAGGAAAAGCCCCTGAGGCAGCGTCTGATGGATCATTCAGACGGTCGGTGCATTTCGAAGAGGCACACGAAAATGAAAAGCCTCTGGCGCCGGAATCGCAAGGGCGCAAGAAGTCTAAAGTCCTCCAAAAGAAGCGAGTGCTGGATGAGCAGATTGAGCCCCAGCCGGAGGAACAGGGTCCGAGTACTAAGGTGTCCAAGGTTTCTACAGAGGAAGAGCATGTCCCTTTCAATTTCTCGGTCTACAAAGCAGAAAACCGCCCCATGCCGAAGCTTCCGATACTGGAAAAGCTAGAAGAAAAACTTGCACGAGCCAAGGCGTTGTGCGAGCCAAGGCGTCTTACCCAAGAACAAATCCAGTACATAGAGGAAGCTCGACTGAAACGGGCTCGCCAGGTCGACGAGGACGAGATTGCGCTCTCCCGGGCACGAATCTTGGCCGAGAAGTTAAGGACCGGCCCTGGAATTTTCGATGGTTGGACTGGAAACATCCGAGAGCCATGGCACGATCCAAACTGGAACCCCATTGCCCGAATCGTGGAAAAGTATCAAGCCCGCAATATTCCCCAGCCAACTTCCTATGTACCCCCGCGTCTGACACTCAATCGCTCCGCCAGAGGATACGAGGTCGCCTACGCACCTGATACCCCGGACCGACCTATGTCCAGAACCGAACAGCGTATCCGGCGCACTGGTGCCCGTGGGCTTGCACATGTGCCCCTGGATTTCGAACGCCACAGGCGAGAGAAAGAGGAGATGGCTAAGAGCAAGAATGGAAAGAAGGAGAATACGGATAAAGACAAGGATGAGGAAGAGAAATAGGGGTCTCCCTAGGGTGTTTAAGGGGATGCACTACGCTTTCCTCATTCCTCATGCTGTAATTATCTCATGGTGTATCTTGCACTGATTTATTCTGTTCTCATATGGGCCGTGGATCTAAGTGCCCGCCTAATTGCTATCCAGTTTATGCAGGGAACTGTGCATCTGTCCTTGTTATCTGACTATTGGTGCATGGATTGAGTATTAAACACAAGAAAATCCCTTTAGCTCCGCTCGCAATCAGGCAATGCCCATTTGACCATCCAGTCTGACATTAACACCTCCTCAGCAGTCGGTCGTTCTTCTGGCCGGAATGATAGCATTCGGCGCATCAAATCCAGAAACGCAGCTTTCTCGTCTTCCTCAATCTCGCTTCCAACAAACTTCCGTCTCCATTTCTGTATACAGATCTCAAATCTTTCCTCAAGCGGAGGCCATTTGTTTCTTTTATAAGACTCCGTTGGATCTCCATGGTCATCGAAAAATTGGGGTCGTCCTTCCCAGCGCTGCCACCACTCCGATGGCATAGGTCCGAGAACATCAATTTGCTGAGCCGTTACCTCATCCTCGTGCATATATTCAGCGCTAAAGATAGACTTTATTCCCATAATCTCCCATATTGCGGTAGCAAGACTCCAGATATCCGAGGGATAGGCGAGCGGGATTTGCAATTCGAACTTGGCTTCTGGAGCCCGAAACGCGGCTGGCGTATGACAGTCTTGCCCAAGACGTATTTCTGAAGCAGGGGAAAACGCTTCACCAAAGTCGCTTAGAAGCGGGTGCGCGTCGGACAATACAAATTTCTCGGCATATTTCCCTAGGAATAGCGGCAAAGTAGCCGTAGCCGGAACATTAGGGGGTAATGGCGCTCCATCACATCGTGTGATAGGGATCATCTCGGGCTCGCCATATTTCTCGTAGAATTGCTTGATAGAGAGCTTATCAAAACTTGACGGGAGCTTGACCAAAATGTTGCTTAAATGAATATCTAAATCAATAAATAATATTAGCTTACTAGTATCCAAAATAGATAGTCATCCTTATGACAAACCTCCATGGATATAGCCTTGTGAATGTGTATAAGCAACGGCCTGTGCGACTCGGTATGATAGTGCTCGAGCAACATCGAGGGGGAAAAGACGGCTAAAGGCGGCATCTCTAAGGTTGCATTGCGCAGGGGGCACCGTGTAGCAGGTATGTTTTCCATTAAAACCTTGCACTTCGAATTCATCTAGGAGAACAGGAACTAAACCATACCCGGGATGTACCGGCGAAGATGACGGAGGCGGAGCAGACAGAGCTTTGAGGACTTTGGCCTCGCGCGGAATCGATTCGGATATGTTGACCTTGAGAGCGACATATCGCTCTAGACGAGCATCTCGGGCAAGCCAAACCGTTGAATAGCCCCCAAAGCCAAGTTTATCTACAATATGATAACGGTCATGTAACACGTCACCGACGATGATAGGATGATAACCTCCAGGCTGATATTTTTCAAGTTGCTCCACGTCCTCGATCCAGTCATACTCGGCGTGATGGTTGGCAGCCATTGTGCTGCCGGGCGCGAAGGACACCGAGCTGAGCTTTCGACGCCAAAGGGATTGGAATACTGGAATTGAAGGTCGAGGCGAGGCCAGTGTTATTGGGAGATTTAAAGGGCGCGCGAATATTTTCGAGCAGCGTAACATGGTATGTTGATTGTTCGAGGAAATATCCATGAAGCGCCCTGCGAAGGAAAGGGGTGGTTTAAACCAATCACGTGATAAATCGGCTCATTCCTGCATAGGTACGGAGTACAGTACAGTATGCGGCCTGATCGTGTCTTTTTAGTCTTTCGAGATAGCTTTTCCAGTACCTTCTCTTGTACCCCGTGGACCTATATATGTTGCACTGGCACTTGATGACTTGATAAGTGGGCCAACCGTGGAAAAGTATCATGACGTAGGGGAGGTTTAAATATAGGGGATTGTACCAGCGACCCCACCCCATGCCCGAGACTTTAGGCATCAGCTATTTCTGTCATTTCTTGAATTTTCTGTAGGCTTGAATTCTTGTTTACATAGTAAAGAATGTACCATTCTGCTCACAATTTCATGCTTCTTTCCTCAATTTTAATGCCTAAGGTCTATAAGCTATGTATTGAAGGTCGTTAATACAAGAAATCCTCAACTTATTGTGACGTAGTACGTCACGTGTCAAAAATAACCAAGATGGAGAGAAAGAAGAAGCAGGTGTAAAGTGAGAAGCGGCCTGCTTGTATGGTTGACCCTTTGCAAACGTTGCAAACTACAAACCTTCTCGCTAGCAAAGATACAAATAGCTGCAAATCGTAGGCAAAGCGGCCAGTAAAGTGGTGAAACTTTATAGTTAGTTAGTTAGTAGTTAACTAGTTAACGTAATCGGTAAGCGAGTGGATCAGACAAGTGAGTGGATCAGGCAATGTAACCCATTGAATTCAAATGCATTTATCTCGACCATAACGCCATTAAATTAAATAAACTAAAATCATCATCTATCTGGATATGTCTCTCTTCTATGTCCTGGCTGCCTACATATTCCATACAATCGCCTGGCCCGGGGAGGTGGTTGTAAACCTTCTGAAACCTGCTCACGATAGTTATTGATACGCGCTACTTAGGCCTTAAATGGCTCTGACCGTAGCTCACGAACCTCCTGAACTGAGAGATCTCCTTCATGGACTATCGTTCTTATAGATCGGGTCCGCTTTTGCTTCTGCTTCTCATTGGCAGCGCGTAATTCACTTACTTCCTTTTTAAGAAAGGCGGCGGATTGCATAGTGATTTGGTAGGCTTTTAAAACTTGATTTATCGCGCAGTATAGTGGGCTCGGAGGGCTTCTTAATCTTATACGAAGTAAAGCTTTAATTGATAAAGCTTACTTTTGTAACTATATATAGTTTAAGGGAGTTTTAGGGTCCCAATCGCTATCCCGGCTAGGAGGGGGGGTTGGGGTTCGAAGCCGGATATTTAGTTTTAAAAGTACCCTATTGGGTAAAAAGGGTACTAAACCAGCTACTAAGAAGCTATTCTTGATTATCTCTAGTTTAAAAGCTTTAATTTATATAGAAGGGTATACTTCGAGAAAGTCAAGTTTATTAATATGGTTAATCCTATTCCGTATTTTCGTTTCAACTAACCGACTATAAGATCGTTTTAGGACCGCAAAACAGCCGATATCAAGCGGTTATAAAAGGTAAGATAAATGCGGTAGTATATAAATTAGTATAATATCGTTTTCCTCATAAATTTAGTCAAATTAAGGGGTTAAATAGCTTCTGTGACCGTTAAGTACTAGAAGCCGATACCGACCCTTTAACCGTAGAAAAGTTGATAGAATAAAGAGCTTTTAAAGCTAGCGAAGCCCAATTTTATTAGATTTTATTAGAAGTCTAACCGTTTAGACTTACTTTAAAGCACTAATCTCCTAGGAGGCTATCGAACTAAGATTTAATAAAGACTTTACCTTTAAAAATCATATATAGAGGAAGCGCCTACCTAGAAGTATTTATATATTTAATTACAGTTACCTACTTACGATTCCTAGGTTATAGAAGTGATCTCCGACTATAGTATTTACTTCTAGTTATAACCTTTACCGTTATAGTCAATCCTATAGTAAAACCCGTCTTATCGAAGTTATAAATATCATCTAGATCGATTCTATACTAAAGAATGGTTTTTTAAACTAGATTAAACCATTCCCTAATGATTTTAGGGTCTTTATATTTCGTATACTTATAATTATATTATTTTAAGAATCGGGAGGAAAGGAGAGGATACCGTTTCACAAAGTTATATACCCATTTCTTACCGACCGAAAGAACTAGGGTAGTTCCGCGCTATTAAAGAAGAAGATTAGCCATTTCTCAAACCATAGAAGGATAGGGAGCAGCTCCACGTAGATCTATAGAGAGAACCCATTTTTAAAGAGATTCCTCCTCTATTTCTGTTAATTTATGGTTGTTAGCGCGAGATTCAGGGCGATTTTTAATGCCGGTAAGGCAGTTCCGTAAGGAAGAGAAGGGGACGTTAAATCGGCGTGCTGCTTCGCGTATTGAAGAGATTTCTTTATTTTGAAAAGCCTGAATAGCTAATAAGATCCTACCCTCTTACTCTGTTGAATTTGCAGAGGATTGGGAGCGAATTGGTGGCATGGTGGGTGGTTGAATTAACTAAGTGCTAATTGATGGACGCGTTTTGCATTGCCTGATCCACTCACTTGTCTGATCCACTCGCTTACCGATTACGTTAGGCGGTCAGCTTATGCCTGAACTATCAGGTAGGAAGGATCGCATAGCCTAAAGGGGGGTCGGACTGGCCAGGAGGGGGGGTCGCTGGTACAATATGAAATTTACAGCCATAACAAAACCTCGGTTCCTGTTTAGGGCCTAGAGGGGCCATATTCCTAGTTCAACATATATCCAGCAATTGATGGGCAGCTTCTCTTTATGATACCTGTAAGAAAGATTCCACGCAAACAATGCAAATACAACAACTAGGAATACAGCCCGTCGATTTCAGAGCTCACGAAGTAGGCAGTTGCTATCGATCCAATAAGAATCTAATGAATATCGTTCATTGAACTTTGTAGAGGTGCAGCACCCTCACATCTCGAGCGAGACGTGTACAATGACTTTGCCCGCACTGGAGCCCACCTTCAGATGCTGATAGGCCTCAATTACCTGCTCAAATTCAAAGGTAGACTCGACAATCGTTGTTATGGTCCCGTCAGCTAGCCACATTGCCAGCTGCTCGAAGTCCTCGTGTACATTCTTGGTGAGATATGAAACAAACTTACGCGGCGTGCCACCCAGTGCGACCGGCAACAGTAGGCCCTTGGCGATATTCTTGGCCGTAGATAGCGATGGGGAGCCCCCAACGCCAATGAAGTGACCCTCCGGTCTAAGAAACATAGGCGTCGTGGAGAAAAAGACTTTCGGCGAGTTGCCAACATTATCCACCACCAGATCGTAGACTGGGCCCTCAGCTTGGAGTGTAGCCACGATATCGTCCTTGTGGTAGTCAAGTACTGTGTCGGCACCCAGTTTCTTGACCAGGAAAACCTTGGCGGTTGAGCAGGATGTCGTGACGTGACATCCAAGGGCCTTCGCAATTTGGATACCGAAGGTTCCCGTTCCTCCGGAACCGCCGTTAATAAATACACGGTCACCGGCTTTGACATAGGGCTTGATGCACTGGTACGCCGTCAACCCCGTAGTGGGCAACCCAGCAGCGCGATCGAGATCCACGCCCTTGGATAGCACGGCATATCCATCTCGTTGCAGCAGCACGTATTGCGACAGGGAACCGTACGACTTAACGGGGTCGACGCGGCCAAGGACGTTATCGCCGACCTTGACGTCCGTCGATCCCTCAGCCACGGCTATGACAGTGCCGCTGAGGTCCATGCCTAGCACCTTGGGGAACTTGACGATGGCGCGGGCGAGAAGTCCCGCCTCCATGACCTTGTAGTCTGCCGGGTTGACACAAGCGCTGATAACGCGGACGAGAACCTCGCCTTTCTTGAGGGCGGCTGCATTAGGGCGTGGGACGTTGTCCACGAGATTCAGCTTCTCCTCGATGGGACCAGGAGTGGCCTGCTGCCACGCCTTCATATTCTCTGCCATTGCGATTAATTGATTGAAGCTGTGGGGTGCTTAATTGCGATAAGGATGAGCTGAGAAGTAGCTGGACGAGGTGGCGTAGCCTGCCCAGGTGACGTAGAGTCGGGCCTTAGTCAGCGAATACGTGGAGGATCCAAGAATCAAAGTTGTCCTTCTCGTAATTGCTACTACTAGCGGTACCGCGAGAGAGAAAAAAAAAAAGCAGAAGACCCCAAAATACCAATTACCACGAAAGTATCATATAGAAAAAGGTAGAAGGATGTAGCGGTAGAGAGCAAAACTATAGGAGAAAAAATAAAGTTAAACTTCCCGAGGCCATGCATAAAGTTGATTATAAAGCACTAATGACGTCTCCCCGGCATTCGGATATAGCATTCCCCGATAGCGTCTAAATATATATTTCGAGGAGATGCTGTCTAGTAAGCAGACACAGTAATATGAGATCAAAAAGTCTGCACCGAGACACCTGAAAACTCCGTGAGACAGTTTTAAAGAAAATTGTCAATGTCGTATATACATCGACTTACTGGCCCTGCATATTTGTAGATGCATACCGGACTAGTTTCGCCGCGCCTCCTCGTCACTAGCGCCTTCTATTTCAGCAGGGCTAAAGAAACTCACTAAAGTTGACGGTAATCTCAAACTTCCATGACCTTACTATTACGATATTCTGACATCTTGACTACTGTCAATCTCACTCTTTACAGGCCTTCACGGTGAGGCTCAAAGTTCATCGTAGGAAATATGGAACAACCTGGTGGAGATAATCATGTATTTGCATTATAGGCTAAAAACAGGAGGCCAGAGTATATGAAACCATCCATCCATCCAACGAACAATAGCGGCATAAACTATCCGACTCATAGAGCCGCGTACCTGAACTGTGTCAAATTCATGTTGGTAAAGTAAGCCGACCATTAGTTCTTCGAATAATATCCGCTTGCTATGTCGAGCAATTCAACTTCTAGCAAATTTCTGGTTCCTGACACTGGCACCATAATTCTCAGAGTTCTGTCATGTGCTTTTATCCTCCAGTATCTGCTCTGGAACTGTTAGTACTTTCAAAAGATGGTACATATGTAACTATTGAGTTAAAGGCGGTCTAAAAATGGTAAGAGCTAGTCCCAATTAGCCTATAAAACCAGTAAAATCAGGCATCCGACTGTTGGCCGCTATACACCTTCGTACCTGAGAGCGGGGTAAACCAGTACATGATAGCTGCACATGTGGGAAATCAAAGCTGATCAGTAGAATTAAGGCACGGCTTCCAGCTTACTAATTCCGTACACCAACCGCACTCAACAGGTTCAACACTTCATCATACCACATTGTCCTTTATTGACGACCGAGGGTTCTAATCTGGTCCTCGGTGTTTTGGATAGAGGCTGTGATATTGACCCCTTTGACAGCCACACACCCCTTTTCTCAATGGATCTTTCTCAACTTCCGGACATCACCAGCCTGCTTGTCAGGCCAGATAACCCTCCACGAAATGATCTCGAAGGAATGGACTACGCACGATGTGCAGCTCTACACAACTACCTGATCCAATATGCCTGGCTCGCTGAAGGCCGCCCACTGGCAACTCTGAATGCCAACGACAACTTTTTCACGACCTTCGGTGATGAAGCTGAAGCTGAAGCTTGTCGTCCAAGGCTTGATCCGTCACTGGCGGCGTTCCTTGACACCGCTATGATATCTCCTTTTCCCTTTGATAATCCTCACGAATACCTCCCGTTCTATGTTTTTGCATGGGGTATCGATGGGCCAAACAACCTTTTTGAGGAAGCTGAAGCTGATATGCATGACCAGCCGATTGACAGCCTGATGCGCTTGTACGCTGTCATATCGCATGTAGACGGTAGTGGCAGTGTTATCTACCACCAACGCTTCCATCGCGTCGCGATCTTCATGCATATTGATGCCTATGACTACGGGTTTCCAGTTGAGGATAATCGATACGTTTGGAACCCACTAGAGACACTGCTCACCCACTGGATCGACCTTATTCATCTTGGAAAAGTTGTGGCTTCGCCTAAGAAAGAGCCAGCCCTATTTGACTTTGAGAAAATCGGGCCCTGGGAGTGGCGGCCCTATAGCGAAGCCCAGGTTACTACGTGTGTCGCCGAGTGGGATCGGCTGTGTCAGGCCATTGAGGCGCGCATCTCGCAGCTGCCGAACCCACCATCACCGATCAGCCCCATTTCCGGGACTGATGCGGATAATCCAGAGCCACTGGTCGCATCAACTGTCCTGGACGCCGCTTCGGTGCCTGATCCCTCCTTTGCGCGTTTGTTTCTGACGCGCGCGAGACGGCCCTGGTTCCACTACATCGCTCCGGGCCTTCTCCTGCCCCGGGCTGACTCGGCTGGATTTGTGGCAGCGCAGCCATTCAGCGTATTACCCCGCTCTGAGTACACCGCACCACCAGTATGTCTTTTTCCCGCTGATACCGGAGACCAGCGTCCTATCCAGCTCACGAGAACAACAAGTCCATGGTTATTGTCGGACTTCTATTCAACGTGCACTAAAACGTGCACACCGTCTCGCGTCTCTGCAGGCCTGTATACTGAGGCAGTGGAGAGAAACGGTGATGAACCGACCGAGGAGGGATTTCGGCTGTTGCTCCCGTTCACCTTCAATGATGATTGGAGCAGGAAAGTAGGCGCACGAAAAAGCGATGGGCAGTTTGTTGATAGGGGACGCTTTTCAGAGCTCTTTCAGCATGGATTCAAGCCCTTTGGTGGTGACTACTACCGCCCCCAGCGGCTGGAGCGTTTGTTGGATTGTTGGCGCAAGCTGGTTGAAAAAGGCGTCTGGTCTATTGGGCCGGAAGGGGTAGAAGGTACTATCGATACTTTCAGAGATGCTGAATCGGACCGTTGGGAGGATTATTATATCCCTCCCACATGGTAGATATCCCAGTGCCATCCTGCCTTCAATCCGGAGACGATTTCCGAGCTCTATCCTGCGGAAATGGAGGTACCAGGGCCGAAGAGGGATGTGCAATTTCAAAAGAAACCAGTCACGAGGATAGCCATTTTCGTAAACGATTGTGATTTATTTACAAATTTAGTCTCGATCCTTCCATTTTCTTTCATATCTTCCCAACCTAGCCAAAAGCCCGTCATATCAGATGATATATTTATAAACCCCCATAGCTTCCAAGGTTTCGTTCGTCATTGACATGGTTGATGCTGTCAAAGACCGTACACATACGGCGCGGGTGTCACTACGGTTCCCGATCTTGTCTGGAGCCCAGTCGTACTCGCAGGGAATGTGGGTCGGGACTCGCTGCCCGCCGGGACACCCGTCATGACAGTGACGGTGGTGGGATCAACAGTCACCTTGTCCGAATTGGAACTTTTAAGCGCCTCCCTAGTCCACAAGCCAGCATCTGGGTCGCCCATATATATTTCCACGACCTTACCATTCTCATCAAGTACGATACGCACTTCGGAGTGCGGGTCGTCATCCTCGTAGATGATATTGCATGTCCGACCGTCGACAGGTTTGCCATCCAGATCGACAAAGAGGAGATTATCATAATCAAGGTCGAGATAAGCATCCTGTTTGTCATCGCCAAGTGATCTGAGGTCAGCGTGGCAGACGCCAGCGGGGTCGCTATGCTCCTCGGGCCATGTGTCGTTGGCGAGAAGGCCTCTTTGGAATATTGTCGGTTGGGAGTCATACGGCCGGTCTGCCATGTTCGCTAATGGAGCTGGATCGATGCGCCAGGACTGTCGAGGCCACCCATAGGCGTTACCGTACATGCTTATCAACATCGTCTTGTCAGCTATACATTGACTACCTAGTAAAGTTGGGAGATGGAAACATACGGATCATCATCAAGAACGCGGAAGCCATGGTCGACAGGCGTGGAGGTGCTGATAGTTCCAGGCTGCTCGGTGTAAGTGTATGTAGCCCAGCAAAGCGAGCCGGCCGTTTGCTCGTCGAAACCATAAGCATCTATGAAGTGTTTTCCACTGCCACTACCGCGACCCGCGGGTAGCACCCCAAACGCCCTGTTTCAAGGTCAGATATGATCGCATGAGGGAAGCTTCGGTTTTACATACCAGGTTGCAGGCGGCCCACTGTCCCTACTGTTGCACACGGCAGAGCGGTATGTCGAGCAAGGTTTCCACTGCGCCGACTTCCACATCTTGTAATCATTTCCCTGTTTTGCATTCGCAGGGCCGTTGACTAGACGGCAAGCCTGCGGGGCGTTATTTCCTGATTCCGCGAGGTTGCCCATAGGAAACTCATCAACTTGACATCGCCACGTTTTGCCTGGGAGCTTTAATTGGGCCGCGGTTCGGTATGCCTCTATGCGCTGGCCTTTCCATAGTCCTTGGTTAGCACCGGCAGCGCGGCTCGTTGGCAATGGCTGATAGACAGTCTTTCCGTTGAGCAGCTTGTCGATCCCCCACCTTTGGTTATCACAAATCTCATCCCAACCCATGCCATAGCGGCACGTATATGTGACCACACAATCGCAGGTACTCGTCGTGGTGCCGCCGCTAAAGTCGAGAATCGGCCACTGGCCATACGAAGACCGGCCCGCTACTGTTGTTGGGACGCCAACGTTGGGTTTAGATGGGGATCCGCCGAAAATCCACCCAACCAGGTTGTAAAGAATTGAAAAGCCGATGATGGCCGCAGTAGCGACGACGGCAGCGGCCGTAGCAGCGCATATTGCCCCCTCCGCGGCAAGAGATAGGCCAAAAGTCAACGGTGCTGAAAGGATCGATGGGAGCAAGTCAGCGAGGCAGAGAGCGCCCAACCCGGAGACTAGCAAGGGTAAAGAACGCTTTTCAACCGCGTGGTCGCCTACATAGAGACTGAGGCCATGATTAGAACCGTCTCGCTTGCTGAGCACAGGAGTCTGGCCATAGAGCAAGAGGTTGCCTGAATTGGTGATCGACGAAGGGACAAATTCCGTGCAGCAATATGCTTGGAAGCCACCAGTACAAGTCAGATCTTCAAGCTGACCTCCATCGTTCATCTCGTACGAGTTGGTATTACGGGCGACAATGGTGGCCTTGGGGTCAGAGCATGCCGGTGAGCAAGGCATTCCCACGCCCCTGAAACCCTCCCATTGACAGGTGCCCATCGAGGTTCCTGGGGCGCAACATAGTGTCTGGGCTTCGCCTGGAGGGCATACGGAGTTCTGCTGGAAGCCGGCAATCTGGCCGCGGGCATCAGTTACATCAAAATACCCGGTCGTACAGGCCCCTCCGCATAGTGACCAGTAGCAGCTCGATACAACAGCGTTCTGCAGCGTAGCATTAGCCATCTGCTCCTTGAATGAAGCGGCAGCTGCCTCTGACACCCCATTTGCTGTACCGATGCCCATCAAGTCGTTCATACTGTCGCCAGCTGTGTTGTCCTGATCGATCGACCACTGGAAGAAAGCCTTGATTAGATGTTTTCCAAAAAAAGAAAGGAAAATGGTGTTAAGAGTGAGAGAGAGGGCAAAGAAAAAAATAAGAAACGAAGGAAGGCAATTGGTGACTGTGGTAAAAAGTGGTCTCTTACAATCATGATACCCCCAAGGCACAGGCTATTAGCGAAGGCCAGCTTCTGCTGCATTGTCGCTCCATCGTCGAAGCTTACCCACTGGTTCGTATCAAAGGTGAGCCAGCGGACTCCTGCAGTGGCATCATATGATTCGGTTCCCGTTCCGGCCGCTAGAAGACGTTTGATCTCGGCGTTGGAAAGCGTCCCGGATGACCGTGTGCACTCTCCCGCAGTACCGCCGGTGGTGAACTGACATACGCCGTTAGGCGTGGTACAAGACGGATCAGCGAGCGTAAAGGAGCGCCCATACCAGCCCAGCCCAAGCACAACCTTGGATGGGTTAACTCCGGCCCTCCACAGCAGGGACAAGCCGTCGTTGATTTCAGTGAGATTGGTGTGCGGGCGGAGGTAAGGCCCCGTGAACTTGTTGCTCGAGTCCCAGACGCCATGGATGTCGTAGCTCATGAAGTTGAACCAGTCGACGCTAGGCTCCATGTCCAGAACGTCAAAATGCTGAAGATACCAGTATGAAGATGGAAGTGTAGTACTGATTCCCAATCCGCTACCGAACGAGGCCCTCAATTCAGCCAGGAAGGTTGGGAAATTGGAGAAATCGGCTGGGACACCGCCTCGATCGTCGGCAGCAGGGTATTCCCAGTCAATGTCCACGCCGTCAAAGCCGTATGTCTGCATGAAATTGCGCAGGGAAGTGATGAAGGCTTGGCGATTTGCCGAGGAGCTGATCATGTTACTGAAAGCATTCTGTGTGTCTGGCGTATTCGTTGCATCATTGAAAGACCAGCCGCCAACTGATAGCCACGTCTGCAGTCCTGGCTGTTTTGCCTTAAGCGCCGTGAAGCGCGAATAAAGTGTGGCCGCATTTCCGTCCATCGGCGAGATCTGGAAAGTAGATGGGTCGAAGTATGAGAAAGCAAAATTGATGTGCGTCAGACCCGTCAGCTCGAGGTCTTCAGGTGTAAAAACATCACATGGCCGCTCGGTCGCCCAGCTCTCGTAGTACCCGATGCGCCGCGCAGCCGCAGAGTTGCTACCACTAGAGCAAGAAGGAGTCGGAGCTGCTCCACAGCCGCCAAACCCCTCCTGACAACCAGTGCCACAGAAGTCATCAGTGCTGCCGCCTGGGGGGTAAAATAAGGGTCAGCATCTGCTCTCAAAAATGAGAAATTTCCAAGCGAATCTGAGGCTTACAAAATCCATATTGCGAACAACACACGTTCAGCGGGCACGTTGCGTTATCGGGGTTGGCGTATTCCCCACAAGGAGCTTTCGCGTCGCAGTTGGAAATGCAGACGTCAGCCCCGCAACTCGAGGGGGCGTAGGAACAAACGCCAGTGTTTGAACAACATGCTCCATTTGTGCAAGGTACTCCAGGTGCGCAAGTGCCTACGGGAAGGTCTCTTTTGCGCATAGAGCCAGGGCCAGAGTCAAGATGGTCAAGTCTTAGCCCTGGATGCTGAGACAATTGCCGGATAAGGGCCTCGTTTTCGAACTTAGGTTTGTTCTTTGAATAGGGCTGGTAGAGGGGCGGCAGGGCCGAAGACGAGTTCTTTGGCAATTGGGGCACTGGAGTGAACTCTGGCAATGGTTTCGCGTGGTTGCGTTTCCCATGGGGTTGTTGACGACCTTGGGAAATCCCGCAACTTGCGAGAGCAAGAAGCGCTGGCAGAAGGATTCGCATTGAAGCTGCTGCCAAAGCTCAACACGCAAATGGTATCAATGAGGGACTGATGAACAAAAGCCACTCTGACCTTTGTCGTTGAAGTCTTTGGAGCAACGGCACAACAACCTCCAGCCTCTGGAGAAGACAGGGTACAATTTCTTTTGGCACAGATAGGGGGGCGGAAATGACGGCAAAGAAGACGAGAAGCTGGTCACACGCCAGCGCCCTTTATTTTCCATCCATATTACTGAAGTGATGGTGGATGCATGCACGCCAGGGGGTATCCTACTCCTCAAACTACCACCAAATTGCCCAAACAAGCTATTTCCCCGAAGGATCCTGCAGAGGCTTGCACCAAGGGCTGAAGTCCAAAGTCCATGGCCATTAGGCAGAATCCGCGGAGATCTGGACCACCGTGAATGCAGGGATGTTCTCGTACTCATCCGTTCTCTTGACGGCCCCGGGGCGGAAATAGAGGGGCTTGTGGAAAGCGGACTAATACCTGACGGAAGGTGAGGCTTGGAGGAGGAGTAGCCATACTAAGAGCAGTACTAGGCCAAATAAGGTCCTGGAGCGTCACTTCTGGGTCTTTCGGCTTGTCAATTGCTTTCACAATCAACTCCATGATATGATGGCTCGTGCAGGTACGGGAGAACTTCGGTCTCGGTTCAACCGAAAACCATGACAAGCATCTGCGAAAGTTAACTAAAATCTGACATTGTTTACCTCAAACCTCTTATGCAGCCCAGATGTAACCTTAGACCGTTTACTCAAGTGCTCGCTTAATGATATATTCCTGAGTGGGAACCCCGCACGTGTGCTCTGGATAAGGTATTTATATTCCGATTGGCTTAGATCTCCTTTGGCCCCCAAGTTGAACGAAGTACTAGCAGTCAATTATGGGAAGATTTCACATGTCGCTTCGGCCATTGGCTGCAAGAGACTGGCCTCCGGGGCCGGTGACTAAATGGACGAGATATCCCGAGTAAGCAGCCACCTAATCTCCGGTATCCTTGTGCAGGCTAACAGGAAGCAAACCAAGTCCTCAGTCACAAGGTACGAGCTTCCGAATTGCCCGAAATATCCTAGTACCTGTATCATGCAGGGGGAAACCGGCGGGATAAATGATAGCGTCTTCATCGAGGAGGGGCACTCCAAGCAGCCCTTCGTGTGGAGAGGAAGAGAGAAAAGTGCCCGAACATTCCTGTTCCTCATGCCGTCCAATCCATCCTCGTGCAAGAGCAATTCGATTATCATAGCTCCTTGCCTACCCAATGGACAAAATGTTATTCTCCTTCTTGAGACTCTGTTTTGTCCTGCTTACGGCATGGACAACTTGGGCTGCGGCCGATTTTGCGCTGTACAAAAACTATGATGCAGACGCCTTGATTGCTGGGCTCTCTCTGAGCAGTACGTGTCTTGCAGCACTGTGAGTACTTGCCTCTGGTTCCGTCTCCCTGAAATGTCTTATCCCTTTAACACCTCACCAGGAACACCACCGTCTCTTGCAATGAAACCGCTATTAGCCTATTAGGACACGGGGCAGACATCCACTGTAAGCTTGTTATGTCCAAACATGTTGTTGTCTGCCAACGAAGAAGCGAAGCTAATAAATAAAGTCTGGACGACTGCTGAGGTAGAGAACCTCTGCACGACAGACTGTGTCTCGTCCCTTAGTTTCTGGAAGGATAATGTTGCAACAGTCTGTGCAGAAGAGACCACAATCCAGGGCAATGTCGTGGTCAAGGCGAGAGCGCTACCACTGACATTTACCTATAATTCCGATCTTGTATGCATGAAGGACAGTTCATCAAATTGGTGTTTCCTGGTCTCTCAGACATGGCAAGGAAGTGACTATATCCGTTGGGATCCAACAATGTGCTTCGCCGATGGTGATGACAACAGCACAGTCGCGCCTGAATGTGCCGATCCGGATTTTGACGTCGGTGATATCAGTGATGACATGTCCGCTCTAACTAATATATATGAAGAGAAATTGGTATGTGAACTCCCTATGAAGTACATCAGTGCCATCGAGGTTGTCTACTAACTGGGCGTAGTTCTGCAATGAGTGTTTCTTGAATCTGTATCGGCAACGTCTCCTGAATCCTTGGCTACCAGTTACCAATTTCACGGATTATTTAGTCGATCAGTTCAACCTTGTTCAAACAAATTGCTCAACAACGCTGCCTTACAGCACTTCAGCCTCCACCTTATACGTAGGGACGGCAACGGCTACTACCACCACCAGCGTAACGACGACAGGTTCCTCCGCAACAACTACACCGACTTGTCTGGGTCAAATGGTGCAGCCGCTGCAAAACTGGCTCACCTGCAATGATCTTTGCGATACGTATGGATGGCATTCCCCCAATAGTTGGTGGGCTGGCTGATTTCTAATGCGCTGCATGCGGCAATTAGGTACAATATATCAACAGGTGACGCTAGAGTTGCCACTGGGGATTACGCTTGCTATTTCGACGAGGCTACCTGTTTCCCCCGTCCATGCGAGATCGATACGGTTTGGGATACACCAAGTTGGTATGTAGGGCATAATGGTTGCCTGAAGCCACGAGACCATAATCTGTGCTAAGTCCTCTGAAAATAGTGACGGCCTTGCCACGAGATATTCCAACTCGACTTACACCGTGACCACTGCTCAATTGCTTAGCTGGAATACTAATATCCAGGGCAGTTGTTCAGGGATTGCAGCAGGACAGCGTGTATGTAAAAGGTAAGTCTAAGATCAAGAAGGACACAATAGAGGCATTTGCGGCATTGAGTGATGCTAACCAGACTCGGCGAGAAAAAAGTGCTCCTGGAGGAACGTTTCCTAAACCCAACGCGACCATCACGGCGCCTGGTGCGACCGGCGAGCCTACTTACTACACAGCAGCCACTGCGGCTTACCCGACCCAAAGTGGAACCATCAGCGAGTGCGGTAACTACTATCTCGTTGTAGCCGGTGACGACTGTTCTACCATCGACCTGCGCTTCGGTCTGAACTTTAGCCAGTTGCAAGAGTATAACCCGTACCTTAACTCCACCTGCGGCAACCTGTGGCTTAATTACGACATATGCGTCGCCCCTGTCACCCCTGAGACAGTCTCAACGGACGGTACGTGCCCTGCGGGGGTTACCTGTGTTGGAAGTGCCTTTGGCGACTGCTGCTCGCCATTTGGCTACTGCGGAACCGGGTCAGATTACTGTATCAGCACAGGCAACGGCACCGCGACGCAAGACGGCACCTGTGGACCTGATTATGGGGGCACGACTTGTATTCCCAAGTTCGGAAACTGCTGTAGTATATACGTAAGTGATGCAGTATCCATTCATGACCATCCTTCCTATTCACTGCAGTCGCTGATAATAGACACAGGGCTACTGCGGCAATGGTACCACCTATTGTGGTGCAGGGAACTGCTATTCTGGCAGTTGTGACACTGATAATGGCGGCCCGTCCACAAATGGAGAATGTGGCCCGAATTTTGCCGGAAACAAGACCTGCACTGGTACCCAGTTTGGGACGTGCTGTTCCGCGTCTGGTTATTGTGGAAGTACCAGTGACTACTGTTCTGGGTCAAACTGCTATAGCGGTGCTTGTACGTCGTGATGTTGCTCAGTCTATAAAAGAGGAGTTTCTCAGTGTATATACCATTTCCAAGTAAACATTCAATTCACTTTTGAGAGTCGGCATGGATGAATAGCTGAAGGGTTCAAATGTAATGTTGTCATCCACCTGGGCATACATATGCGGTGAGTCGCCCGTAGAACACTCAGTGGTGACACCTAGTTGCCTAAGATCAAGATCGATATCATAACGCTTCAACCAGTCATCTGATGGCATCGCCGAACTGGGATCAACCATCAAGTCAAGTCGTTCCGCTAGCAAACGCTCGCAGAAATCAGGCTCTTGTTTACCTTAGTTGAAGAAAAGGATGCCCGGCCAGTTCGCCTGCCATTTTTCTCGCATCATGATGCCAAACAAGCATTCCCTTGACGAAATCCAGAAATGCTTCCCTCTCCTCTTCCTCAAGAAAAGAAGCTGTGTCGTCTAGTTTGCGGTCGGGGATCTGGTCCTCAAGGAGGAAGCGGCCTAAGATGTTTCATTGGTCTGAGAATAATGCGTTCGAAATAGGAAACCTAGTAATACCGTTGTTGTCAAAGAATGGCCCAGAGAAGTACTCCACAGTCCCGCATACTCCGCCTATATTTGCGGATAATCATTGTGAAGCCATGGATCCTGCAGTAGCTCCTTCGCCGTACTTCGCTCTTCGGGGTTCCATTTGATCATCCGGTTGACGAACTTAATATACATCCTCTTTTCTTCCCCATTAAACTTGGAGATGCTGCTTTCAAAGCTAAAGTTACTAGGCACAAGGTCTTCTCTTTTGAGTGTTCCTAAAATGCAGTGTTAGTTTACACAATTTAATCGAAAGACTTACTTACCAGCAGCCGTATAGAATATCGATGTCCTCTTGCCGCGGCGAACAAAGTCTTTAGGGGCAGGACCCAAAAGCGACGTTATATACGCAAGATGCGTTGCGTCATCATAGTCTTCAACGATGTGTGGATCAACTGATTCAAACAGTGTTCGTCCTTCTAGAAAATCCCATAGCTTCATTCAATGGTTAGTTATCTGCGCTAGTATTAGGGGAATACTGTTTACCATAACTCCCAGGCTCCATATATCAGCACTATACGTATACCCTCTGTCAAAAATGACCTCTGGCGCACGATATACCTCCGCCTGGATACAGCCATCTTGAAGAATATCACCTTGGACTGCTAGATCAAAGTCGACGACTTCAATCAGCCCGATGATTTTCTTCAGCGGTCCATAGTCCTTCCGGGATAGATAGATGATACGTCCATCATTACAATGCTTCTGAGGTAGTGGGTTTTCAAACTCATCTCGAGCATCCTGGGATAAGAGCCCATGATCTTCCAGTTGTACCATGATATTATCCGGCTTTAAGTCTGTTTCTGAATAAGAACCATATTGTTAACTAACACAAATCAGAATTCTTACCGGTATGAATGATATGACATTCAGTGTGGAGATAATCAAGCGCTTGGAGTATTTCTTGGAGTATTATTTTAAAAATCTCCGGTGGCATCACACCATCTTGCCATCGTTGGCAATATTTTCCCAGTGACTCACGTAAAGGCTCGAAGACGAGACATACATGACTCCCTGAGATTCCCTGGACAGAAAAAGAGTCAAGTAATTTTCGAACGAAACGCCAGCCCTCATGTTGACGGTTCGCTCTCGTTATAAGCTGTAGAACCTCTAGCTCAACGTCACCAGCAGCTTTCCTTGCGTGGGAATTATTAGAGTTAATTTTAAGAGCCAGATATCGCTCGTTCGACCAGCGCCACCTAAACTGTCAATAAATACCTTAAAATATGATTAGGCTAATACGAACTGGTGAAGGTCCCTTGCAAGCCATACACTCGATCTGCTTCCGTGGCCAAGCTTGGTCGCAATTTGATACCGGTCATTAAGTATTTCACCGATCCGCGCCGGATAAAAATAGGCTGGTTCGTAGTAGGGGGAGTTCTCCTCTTCAACCAGCAAGGACGCGTCGATTCGGGATGGAAGGGCGGACGATAATGCCCAGGGCGACTGGCGAAACGCCTTGAAGGGACGCGTGAGAATGTTAAGAAGATTCCGCGTCATTTTTTGACACTGGTTCATATCGCGTGTTGTCCGAACTTCGAGCGAATATGGCTTGTTTTGGATCCCAGGCTCGCGTCGCAAGTAGCGGTTAAGGATTGGCTGGCTAGTCTAGTCACATGCCGCATTATGTCTTGTGCATTGTCTATCGTCCAAGGTTCCGGCTTTGGAAGGTGCCGATTGTATGGTCGTGCAGTATATCATTTTCTATCCTTATATCTACTACACAGTCAACTTGGATTGACCTCCCCAAAAGTCACTCGGGGTCTCTACAAAGTGGCCCACTTTGTATGGTGTTTTTGTCGTGCACGTACCAGCCTCATACAAAAATTGTCCCCCGGAGCAATTCCTAGACGCCACATGGTATTCACGTTCGAGTTGACCCTCAGTCTTGAAGGCGAAAGTCCCGTGCCAGCCTTGAGGATCTATGACATGCTTGCCCATACGGGTAGTGGTATTGTGTAACCCAGACCTGATTAATAACAAGTTAAATAAAGTGGGCCAAAATATACATATGCACAAGGCTTTGGCGGGGATGGGCATTTGTCTGTGTATCAAGGTAGAAAAGCAGACACCACTAACCGAATCAATATTGCCTTAGGCGCCAGGAATTTGTCTCGAGCTGTCGCGTAGGCTAGGGCTACCAGCGATGCCTTCACTTCGGGGCTGATATTGCTATTAAGGTAGAAGAAGATTCGAACAAAGTTGACTCCCTCTAAAGCCGCCATCGCTTCAACGTCCAGCAGAATAGATAAACTGCTTTCACGCCGAGGAAACTTTGAAGGTTGTGGGTTATAGCAAAGGCATATTCCGTTGAGGGGAATTATTGCCTCTTTATATCTTGCTACTTCCCTGCTAGAGATAGATGGAGAACTTGTCCACATTGTTGATCACATCTATTTTTTGGTGTGATGAAACAAGTGAGCGGCTAGAGAGCTAAGTATAGAATATGGAATGTTGGAAATTCATGGCGTATCTGAGGTGCTCGTTAATCTCGGCGCTAAATTCTGGCCCCAGGACGTGATGGGTGGTTTGTACATCGTACTAGCGTATTTCAATATGTGTCTAGGCCATTGGTGTGGTCTTAATGCTATTCATAGTTTATACAGCTCTAATATCTATTAATGTACTCTGTAGCTTTGAAATTGAAAAATTCAGCTGAAATCTATGAACATCACAATGCTTGTGCTGGTGAATCTAGAGAGGCCAGATATTCACCCCTAAGGCATCAATTTTCATGACCCCTGGCCAAAACATCGCCCTCCCTTCGAAAACTACACCAACCACGGAAGTAATTGCTCTTGACTTGGACTCGAAATCACAATATATAAATACTTGTCTCGAGTGGATCTGGATCTAGTCCAAGGATTCCGACCCGCCCGTCATAATTCTGTCGAAAAACCTGCCCCGCTGTGTCCGCGGTGGGACCAGAAGACGCGAACTTCATACCTCGACCACGTCAAGAATACCATTGAGTTCAGACGTATCTCTTTCACGACTCACTAAGAAACTCCTGATTACACAACGCGTGTCGCTTCTAAAATTCAGAAACTTCTCAGCCTCACCGTCTCACAAGATGAGGATTGCAACCCTTCAATTCGCGCCGAAGCTAGGCGACCTCAAAGGCAATATTGAGAAAGCTAATGCCTTATTAAAGACTGGAAAGACTGTCGCTTTAGATGGAAAAGAGCTTGGGGTCGGGGTCGATCTGTTGAAGCCTGATATCTTGGTGTTGCCTGAGTTGGCGATGACAGGTACGTACTCCAACAAACTCATTGAGCAGCATGAACCCCGTCTCTAGCATTTGACTCAACCTGTGTAAAAATTTCACTGGCTAACGAATAACTAGGCTATAACTTCCCTTCATTGGAAGCGATTAAGCCATATCTGGAGCCAGCTGGTGATGGCCCCTCTGCCTCGTGGGCGCGTGAAACTGCTAGACGCTTGCGATGCAAGGTTTGCGTGGGGTATCCAGAGATTGAAAAGGATTCTCAAAATCCCGACAAAGTCACATACTATAACTCACTCCTTGTTGTCGACGAGAACGGGGAGTTCATTCTCAACTACCGAAAAAGCTTCTTGTATTACACCGACGAAACATGGGCGGCTGAAGGTCAAGTTGAGCGAGGGTTCCATGAGCTTGAATTCGGTTCCAAGGGCGCGTTATCTTCATTGCACCAGGGTGAGCAAGTTCTATCCGAGAAAAAAAAGATCGCGACTTCGTTTGGTATCTGCATGGATATCAATCCGTACAAGTTTGAGGCGCCATTTACCAAATGGGAATTTGCAACTCGAGTTCTTGACTCCAAGTCCCAACTTGTCATTTTGTCCATGGCCTGGTTGACCACTCTGAGCCGGGAAGAGCTAGATGCCTTGAAGGATAAGCCCGAGATGGATACGTTCAACTATTGGCTTCAGCGGTTCTGGCCCCTGATACAAAAAAGGATGGAACATGAGGTGGATATTGACGGCGGAGAGGCGGCAGATTCTCCGAAGAAGATCGTCATTGTCTTTTCTAATCGGTCGGGCGAGGAGCCACCGGCGCGGTATGCGGGGACAAGCGCTATCATTGCTGTGACGCAACGGCCCACTGTCAATGCTGATGCAGGGTCAGGTGCGCACGCCCCCGATGAGGAAAGTGAGACAGAGGATGCGGGCATCCCATTCGACGTCAAGATACTTTGCTGGGACATGCTAGGCGCCGCGGAGGAAGGTATTTGTTTCGCGGATACTACGGCAGATCCGCAAATGGTATTTGCACTGAAATAGGCGTCTGAGTGAGGAGCGCACTGGACGCGTCAGACTACCCCCAGATATTGCAGAGTCTATGAAGAGATCGAGGACGCTCGCGACATGACATTAGGAAATGGCATTTCGATCATCCGAGTTTCTGTCATACCTCCCACTCCCAGAATATACACTAAACGGTGTATATCTCAGTTTCATGGCGATCCTCCTTGCAATGTGAACTCCACCGATTGCCACAGGCTCATGTGCAGGTGATCCATGTGATAGGGGACTCAAACGTGATGACATATGGAAGAAGATCATCGAGATCGCCACAATCTTCAGGAAAAGCTCAAATACTTAGCTTAATATCGCATCTGGAATTCTTAGGTCTTATGATCACTTGATCTTCACGTTCATCAATATGCAGGCAAGATACTAGGGAAGGCCCTTTTGGATATCCGATGCAACCCTTTGGAGATATGGTGGTGTGAAGGTCTTGGGGAATTCTATTTCAAGATGCTTAGTCTGAAACATGTGATTCACCTCTCCCCACCCCGATGAGGGATCAGAAGTAAATCGATAACTCAAAACGAAGTATGCTGAGATTGTAGAAGAACTCGTGTTATATCACGATCTAGACCAGCACACCCACCACATAATGCACTACTTTGTTTCCCATTGCACCACCGTCCCGGGATATTCCCCTGTTGTGATTCCTGATTCAGTTGAAGGCAGTATTCAATACACTAGCCGGTCTAGCCAATCATTTTTCAGGGAAACAAGGAGGGACAGTCGCTTCTGATCAATGCCGGGTATATCGAATATAGTTAGTAGGCTTCTAGTGAGTCTAGACTACGCCGCTATACTTGCCAAATATGTGGGTTCATGAAGTTCTTTGTATCCAACGGTCTGATCCCCCCCCTAGTGGGTGAACATAGCCCGTGATTGGCCTAGAAGATACCCGTACACGTGATCTAGGGAATCCCCCTCCGAGAGCCGGCGGCCAATCAGAGACCCAGAAAGGAGGTGTGCAGCAGAGGGGCACGGGACGGCTGCACATGACTTGCGTTGAGCGATGGAGGCGTAGAATCCCCGGGGGAATCCAAGCATTTTAGTTGGTTATCTTCAGCTCCTGCTGTCGGTTTCGTTTTGGCTGAGTTTGCAAAATTGTCTAGATCTTCAGGGCTCCCAGGTGGCTCATTCGCGGTCTGCGGTATGCTTACGTCAGTCGATCTTTTGGAATAGGTCGATCAGGTGACTTACTGCGCTCTCGGTCGTTCTGGCCCGCCGGACTCAGCGCGACTCCTCCTCTTGAACCACCTCCTTGCCACGTGAGCAATCCATCTTGAACTTATCCGCTACTCTACATCTTCCTAAAGAAACACGCTTTCTTATTTCTAAATTTACCGCAAGGTAGATTGCTAAGTCTTTTGCATCTCCTGCTATTGGCTTCTTCAAATTTTCATCTTTACCAATTTCGCGCGTCTCAATTTCGAATTCGGGGTTTCGCAGACAACGTGACCTGCGTCTTGTTGTTGTCAGGCAGGTGACTTCCTGTCAGGTGATAAAGAGAGATCATCCCAAGGTACGGCTCCATCAATGCCCCATCTTCATCCGGATTTCCTCATGTCATTGCACCTCGCGTCGTGATGTTTATCGCAAGTGGTCTCCTTCACGATGCTGCCCCCCTGTGTGACCTCATCTGCCTGCAAGCCATCATGACGCGCTCCTGATATCTGCAACCCCGCGGATGTCTCGAGGCATCGCATTATATGCGGTCGCTTGAAACGTCACTGCCTCGTAGAACTATCCCCATGCACTGCCGCCCGCTAGAACAAGACTGGCGATGGCCGAGTCCGACGCCTCCCGGGGATGCCTTACGAGCGCGTCGGATTCACGCGTCTGTTTACTTCGCGGGGTGCCCACTATCTTCCCGACTCGATCTCTCAGGCATCAACTTACCCCAGGCTGCATTGACATTCCAGTCATATTGTGCTCTTCTCATTCTCCGAGACTTATTTGTTTCACTTACTGGTCACTAACCACTACCACTAATAGGACGATCGGCTTTAGCGCTTAGCATGTCTGATCCCAATATGAACAGCCCGGATAATGGCTCGCACAAGCGCAAGAGAGACGGCTCCGAGGATCTAGGCGCTGACTCGCAGCGACTTAACCGCTCTTCCCACGGAAGCAACGGCAGCATGGATAACCAGCACAACTTCGGCCATGGAGGCCTCGGCAACTACGACCACGGGCTTCCCAACACCGGAGCCGAACTCAACATTGATCAACAAATTCTTCAGCATGTTGGTCCGCAGAACGGCTTGTCTGACGATAACGCGTTGACTGCCAATGCTAAGGCCGCTCTGGCGGCACACACCCCTCAACACAAGTACCCCCCTCCTCCCGATTCCGGCTTCGATGCGAGCAACCTCACCCAAGGGTTGTCCTTTGGCGATGATATGAACCAGACTCCCATGGGTGGTGGTCACAACCACAATTCGACTGCTGCTGCGGTCTATGCCGCGCGCGAGGCTCAGAGTATGAACCAGAAGCCTACCGTTGGTTCTCCCGAATGGCACCAAATTCGCAAGAACAACCACAAAGAAGGTAACAAGAACCCGTCTGATCGGGTCCTGTTTGCATTGCTGACCCATGCCTTAGTTGAACGTCGCCGCCGCGAAGCTATCAATGAGGGGATCAACCAAATTGCTCGTCTTGTGCCGAACTGCGATAAGAACAAGGGCGCGATCCTCCAACGTGCTATTGAATACATCCTGCAGCTCCAGGAAGAAAAGAAGAACATCGACGAGCAATTTGAGAAGCACAGTCTGACTGCTAATCATGCTATTGCTGAGATCAGCGTTTCGAACTCCAAGCTCAAGGGCGAGCTCGCTCGGCGCAACAATATCGCTCACAAGTGGCTGACACGTTGCCGGGATGCCGGCCTGGAATTTGATGATTACGAGGAGTCGAAAGAGCTAGAGTCACTTGAGATGGATTAGGCTTCTCACCCTTATTCTTCTGCATGTGCTACGACTTGTTGCGTTCCGGAGGTCAGGATTTGAACATACCCTCATTTCTCTGTTTTTCCAATCTGCTTTGACAGATCTTTTCTCTTACTACCATGGATGTTTCCTCCAAATCGATCTCACCTCACCATGAACTTCTCATTACTACCCCTCCTGTTTCCTCGAAATGCGTTCCCCTGGCATTCATTCTGAGTGTTACATTTCCCATTGACTACCCTTGCGACTTGTCTGCGCAATTTTCTCTTCTGTTATTGCTTTCCCCTTTGGGATAATTCTCTGCTCACACATTTGCGGTCTTTGTACCTTACTCGGGCTTTGTTCTTTCTTCTTTTTTCCCTTTCATCATTAATGGATTGTGGGCTGGCGAATCTACGGCTGGGATGGGTTGCCTTGGGATGGAGCTGCGGGTTGATAAGTCCTTTTTTTTCGAAACTGTTTTATTAAATCTCTTTCCTTGTAGAAGTTGTGCCATATTTGTCTAACCAGTAGATTGGGATACCTTCCTATCTGGGGCTGAGGTGGCCCTGACCTCGGGAGGTCCCGAGCCCGAGTCTCACCCGTCCCTGTACGGCTCTGTACGGTTAAAGCGTCGCACAGATTGGCTACGTTCAATGCACAACCTATAGGATAATGTATTGGCTAGTCTCTGAACTCCATATTTCGGGGCTTTGCTTTGCGTCTGCTAGTCGAAACACCGAAATCGGGGGGCTCCGCTTCCAGGCGCAATACTACCTATACATGCATGTCCATCAGGAGGGGCGTTCTTAGTATTGCCAACAGCATGTTTGTTTCCTTATGCTTAGAATTACCCCAAGTAAGTATGAGCACGGCACCCCAGGTTTCAGGACTCTATCTCCTTCGTGTTATCCCTTGTCTCGACAGTGATGTTCTATTAGGAAAGACGCTTTCATGAATGCGATAGGACAACTGATAATTTGGGAAGATGTGTTGTCCCTCGGTGGGGTTGCATCATTAGCGACTGCAGGTGCCCAAAACAAGAGCAACAAGTTCTATGAATATCTCATAAGGCGTCATTGAAGTTTAGCTTCAAACATCAACAGCCAATACTATCAGATAATCAGCCACCAAGGTCATGTGCGGAGATAACACAGCCCTGATCAGCTTAGATGTCGAACTACCCCTCTATGATGTCAACGCGGAGATCCACCTCCTCCTCTTCTACTTAAATCTACTTTCTCCTAGTCTCACCACTACACTACATTTCTATTAACTATCTCAACATGCCTTCTTCCTATATTGTGAGCCACTAACTAACACATCCCAGCCATCCACATCTTGCTAACCCTCTTAGATCACGTGCAAGCCAGACGCAACCGACGACGAGGTCAAGGCGTATGCATCTCACGCTGGTATTCGAGATACAAGATACACGATGCTAACACATGTCTTTTAGCGTCAAGGAGCATGCCAAGGAGCAAGGCGGCAAAATTGGACACGAGTACTCGTTGATCAAGGGCTTTGCGTGAGTTATCCAGAGCACTCTATCGGTCTTCTTCGAGAGTGAGATGGGCTAATTCTCGGTCTTGGTGTTTACAGTGTTTCTTTCCCCGACGGGACAGTCCACAGTCTGGACTCGAACCCTCATGTCGAAAACGTCGAGGCCGATCAGGAAGTGAAGACACAGTAATCGTCTGTCAGATATGAGATTTTGCGGACAGCATACACAGCCGGAGGTCAGATTCGTTAGCGTGTTGTATCATGGCCTATTTGGGTTATGAGGTATACCACTGAGTCTTTAAACCAGCCAACTACGGATTTATGAATAGAGCAAATGAGCTATATGATTCAGACAGAGTGACCTTGTAGATCGACATTGCTATAGTAGACTTGGATAACCCCTAACACAGGAATGAATCCGTTCGCCAAACCACCACATTGAATAATATCAACAGAAGAAAGAATAAATATAAAATGGTCCGCGCTCAACCAATCTACAAGTTCGACGCAGCAGTAACCGAAGTGCCAGACACAACCGCGACATCCTGAACAATAACAGTGTTGCCACTAGCACCAGTAACCCGCACATCAACAGTGCTAGTCCTGAACCCAGCATCGTACTCGAAGAAGTTGTAGTACGTGCGGGTCGTGCCCTGCCACGTACTACCGCCATCGGTGCTAACATCCAATGCAGTCACAGCCTCGTTGGCATTAACAACCTGCATCGAGAACCAGTACGGGCCGGTGCCGTCCTTGTTCTTGAGCTGGAGAGGTCCGTCCAGGTCGCAGGACACGTATGACCAGGTCGTCTCGATGACGCCGAGGGATGTATCTGCGAGCTCGGCGAAGGCTTCGTGGAAGAGGTCGAGGTGGTCGCTTTCGCATTCGGGGCATTGGTCGACGATCTGGTTTGGGTTAGATTTAGTTGGTTAGGATGGAAAGGGAGGGAGCTTGGCTTACCATTGCGGTGATGGAGTTACCACTCGGGCCGGTGACGGATACACAGGTGCCGCAGTTGGCTGCGTCATCCCAGCGCTGGAGGGAGAGGGCTGTGCCGAAGAGGTTGCTCGGGAGGGTGTAGCCGGAGAACGAGCATGTTCCGCCGCCGACATTGCCGCCGTAGAAGGTAGCTTCGCCGGCAATGGAGGCACCGAGAGATACAGAGATGGCGGAAGAGGAGGTGGTGGAAGAGGAGGCAGCGGAGGAGGTAGTGGAGGAGGATGTAGTGGAAGAGGTGGTAGCGGAAGAAGTGGTAGTGGAAGAGGAAATAATGGAAGAGGTAGAAGTGCTGGTAGCTTCGACGGCAGCTTGAGTGGTGGAGGTCTGCGCGGCGATGCTCTTCACGACTGGAGCAGCAATGGTCTGGACGACAGCGGCAGTCTCAGTTGATGCAGTGGCCACAACTGAGTCGGTCTTGGAAGCTGCCTTCTGGATAAATGCGGTCTCGGCAGCAGAGGCTGACGAGGATGTAGTCTCGACTGGGACAACCGGGGTAGCAGAGGCCGAAGAAGTCGTAGTCTCGACTGAGACAACTGCGACGGGGGTCGAAGACACCACGGCAACGGCAGTAGACGACGAGGCCACTGTGGGATCAGCGGAGGACTGAGACTCGACGCTAACCGGAGTAGCCGTCGGGGTAACTGTAGTCTCCACAGAGGTCGCCGAGGAATAGGTATCCACAGTGATGGTCTTATAATAGACGCTCATAGTATAGCCCTTCGGGCAGAATCCGTCATGTTCGCGGGCGCGCAATGGGCCGGCAGACACAGTAGCAGCGCCGAGAAGAGCGGCCACAGAGGCCAGCTGAAGGTACTTCATTGGATATATAGACGGAAGTAAAGAATGAAGGGTTTTGCAAGACGAGGTATTGAAGACCGAATGAATGAATGGAAGTCACAGATTGACTCTTAAAAAGGACAGGACGTGCAGGTGCACTTTAAAAGAATGGACGTCTGGATAAAGAATGCCAGATTCGAGAGAATTACTGTTCCAGACAGTAAGTTGGGAGTGAGAGCGAAAGAAGGTATGAAAGGGGAGAAAAGGATGGGATGGGTCAGATATAAGTCTAAGCGACCTCATACTCCGTACTCCGTGGCTTGACGAACTAGTAATTTGATCATTTCATAGTAAGAACTACACGCTAAACATGAAACGAGGCGTGTATCATCCGCCAGTGTAAATGCTCCGGAGAAGCTGGAAGGGGTACTTGACCCATTTTACTAGGCCGAGTTAGGGCTAGTGAAAGTTGTTTAAATTAAAGAGGGCAAAAAAGAGGAAATGACTGGGGTAAAGGTAAAATGAGATTCTGTTCTAAGGCTATTAGCGGATTTGCCAAAGCCAATCGGAAAAAAAAACTAAACAGGACTACCGAGCATCCCACATAATCTCGTTCAGCCTCAGTAACGCATCCGCACTGGCCTTCTTCGCCGACATAAACTCCTCGCGATTCTCCGCCCCTCGTGGACCACGGAGGATTTCAGAGAAGCACAGGTCGACGAGAACACGCAGCTCCTCGTATGTAAATGGCTCGCCGTTCCCAGAAGCCAAGGCTTTGGCGCCTTGTGATGCAAAGGCCTCCTTCTCTTCCTTGGCGTAGTCCAAGGCCTTCTCTGCGCCTTCTAGGAACCAGTCCAGGAACTTTGCGCTGCGAGGTAGGGCGACGATTTCTTGAGAAGCTTGCGCGTGCAAATATGTAGCCGAATCCGGCGAATCGCCAGCTGGATCGATGATGATGTTCTTCAGGTTCTGTTGGAGAACAAGCACATCAAGCTGCAGTCGCAGCGCTCCATTCTCATTCATGGCGCCGATATACTGGGTGCAGGCAACAAAGACCCGGTCGATAAACCGTGCCAGGCCGGATGTGATGAACCAGCGCTCAACGGATCCCAGATACGTCGAGATATTGGTGTCGAATGCGATGAGATCATTGTTGAGTGCGAGAATCGTGGGTGATGCAGCGGTTGGTTGATTCATGATAATGTGCCACCAGTTGTCTATTATGTTTGGGGATGGAGTGACGGGTTCAGAGTTCCGCAGGTTAGGAGGATTAGGCCCAGCCATTGTTTTAGTCAACATGTGAATGATGCCACAGCGGATGTCAACATGCATCGTAAGAAGTGCAGTATCCGCAAGTCGGTGTAATGAGTGGATCGTCCCGTCAAAGGCCACAGCAGTCTCTTGGTTGAGTGGCAAATGCACCGGGTTATTGATACTATCACGATTCGGCTTCATGGACCCGAACAGAGTCCATCTGCGAGACGGCCGGCCCGTTGCAGTCAAACTGGATGACTCGGAATCCGCGGTATGTTCAACCACAAGTCGGATTCTCGTGAGGTGACTTGCAAGCCATTGCATGCTGTTGTACAAGAGCGAAAGGGAAATGACGGTTTTCGGGTCGGATATGATGTCGTAAGGCTCCAAAGGCACTTCCGTCGTTCGCTTGAGGAGAAGGTCGATTTCCGTATCAATCAGAGTCTGTTTCTTGTCCCCCGCACCTTTCCACAGTTCATCGACGACATCATGAATGTCGCCCGTCTCAGCAAAGGCAGCCGCAGCTTTCAGTCGGACTTCGCCTCCACGGTTCCGTGCAGAGATTTTCGTGACCATTGCTTTGTACCACCCACAACACTTGTCATAATAGGTCACGATCTGGTCAATAAGAAGCTGCGTAAACGCTTGATCGTGTGGAATACTGGACAGCATTTTGCTAAATTCCCGAACAATGGACATGAATTTGACCGTTCCTTTGAAAATAGGCCGAGGGGAAGCCTTAGCCCAATGGGGGTCTTCTGTAAATGCATCTGCGCCAATGAAGCTAAGCGTGCAGAGATCCGTCACAGTTTCATCCAACTGGGGCAGGAAGACATTGACCATGAAGTCATCCAGAAAGGAGGTCAAAGTGCCCATGGAAATATCGGAATCAACAGGGACGATATCCTTGAGCCGCTGGATGAAGGATAGAGAGGGAGGAAGAAGGATTCCCATATTGAAGACACTTGGTTCAAGCAAGATCTTATGCCCAGTCCCTGAGTTGCCATTAGTAGGGTGCGGAGTATCACTTGTTGCGGCCTTTTGCCTTGACTTGGAAACAAGTCCAGGGACTGAGGACTTGAGAATTTCATCCAATTCATCTTGTTCGGCTTTCATCTCAGAGTTATGCTCAATATCGGACAACTTGAACATTTTCTATAACGGAAAGGGTAAGCTACTTGAAAGTAATGAGAATGACTGTTCTTCTTACCTTATTCTTATCGCGGTTGCCTGTGTATTGATGATGGCGAGGGTCATTTTCCTCTGTTCTAGATCGAACAGAAGAGTCTCCATCGGTTGCGAGATAGTCGTGCATGAGAGATCGTATCTGGCAAAACAAATTAATATTCGTAATGTCAGTCAAAGCTGTTGCCGTCTTACCTCGCTTTGTAGAAGTTTCCACAACTCCTTAAATCCTCCAGAAAGCGCCTCGCTTTTGATTAGACCTTCTCGATCCACAATGGCGGCAACAACATCATGAACAATTCGGTGGCCTTCCACAATTGCCTCAAACTTGGCATATAATGCCCACAAAAACTCAGAAAGCACGTGGCCCCGTTTTTCAATGATCTCCGTGGGGAGGCTGGACTGTTTGTAGTTGTCCTGGGCTGAGAAGCTCTTGGTTGGCTCAGGATAGCGAGTATCAACCTCTCCGTTCGTCTTATCCACTACAGCAAACAGTTCGACCGGAAGACGCTGCTCAATTCTATGAACCGCGACGTCAAGATGTCCCATCTTGTTCAGCGCTTCGATCAATAACTGAATGTAGGAGAACGTGTCGGCCTCCGGGTTTCGAGAGGCGTCTTCGACCATAGGCGTCAACGGATCGAACTTAGCCAGGAAACTATACACAGGCCGTTCCCAGGAGTGACTACCGGCCAAATGAGACGTATGCACATCTTTTCCATCAGTTGTGTTAGCTTTCCATCGGTCCGAGCAATAGGGTGATTTAAGGTATAGATGGTCGTGCAACTCCTCGATCAGAATGTCTGTGAGCGACGTTTCCTGGTTGAGGAAATAAGCGCGAATATCGGATAAAGCGCCTATTTCCTCAAGCTCCGAACGCCGTAGAACTCGGAGAGCCGTATGAAGCACATCCACAGCTGCAAGGAATCGCTTATCTGAAATCTGAGTTTCCAATTTCTCGGGAAGGGATTGAATTTCCTCAATCTGAGTGAACAGCTGTACGATATCATCGTAGTTCTGAGAGGACGTTGCCAGTCCTTTCAACTCGGGTTTGGTCGATATTAAACCGGATTTAGCCTGATCTAGGGCATTTCTCAGGCTGCGTACTCGATTTTGCGAGGAAGCTATATTGGATTGGATCTTGTGGTATGTTCCAATAGAACTGTTGAATCCCTGATGGTGTTCTATGACATGCAATTTTAGCATATACATGTCCTAACCACCGCAGAGAGGACCTACCATTGACAATTGCCTTCAGTGTCTTCTGGATGTCATTGTACATATGCAAAAATTCCGGTTCACGATCTGCTTTGCCCAACGTGCTCGTGTCCATCAGACTCAAAGCGACGTGTACTGGGACGCACTCGGCATCGGTCATGAAATCCCAGTCGCGCTGGATAGAGTGGAGAATCGCTGTAGAAGGTAACCGGATTAGCTATTGGGCCAGGCTGAGCAAAAGAGAAAGTCATACTTTCAATGGCCTGGGTTTCCCCGGAGTCATTGCTCACTTTGGCCACAGGCGACGCATTCCTCTGGCTCCTGTGTTCCATTTGGCCTCGCGGGTCCCTTTGGTCCCTTTGACTCCTTCCATCTCTCTGATCTCTCCGACTTGCATCTCTAGACCGCTCTTCCCGGTGCTTCCTGTCGGGATCTTGATTTCTTGTGCGTGACCGCGAGGAGGCTTTCGCAGATTGCGATGAGGGACGCGGGGAGGGGTTCGAAGACGGTTGCGGAGAGGGTTGTCGATTCGTTCGATCGCGCCGTCGATCAGGCGACTGGCTCAGCGCAGGAGATTGGCCTGGCGATAGATCCGCCGGCTGAGGCGTGTCAGCGTAGAAACCACCGTATCCGCCGGGCCGACGATCTGAATGTCCACCACCTGGTGGTGGTGCGGCACCTAGTCCACCGTATCCGTTTCCCCCAGGATTGCTGTTTCCACTGTATCCCCCATCGTTGCCATACTGGTTGGGACCGGAGTAGCCATACCCGTTACCATAACCGTTTTGGCCGCTCATCGCCAATGATACCTCCCAATCACGGGGTGTTCCGGTTCGGTATGGAAGCGTTGGTGGGCTGTGACAAGGGGCTGGCGTGGGGCTGTTGGCCAGAAAGGTTCGGTCTTAGGTCTTGTGACTAGCGCGCGACAATTGGCGGGGAGCTGCGAGCATTCTTGGGTGTGGAATAGAGGGAGCGCTGGAAGCAATTCAGTGGTAATGTGGTGATAGTGTTGAGACAGGCCGGGTCGGGCTCCACCAGAGCTTCCCGCATTCCGTTCCACTGGCCAGTTGTCGGTTTACCAAGAAACTCCGAAAGTTGACAATGTAAACTGTAGACTTGCAGTATATCATTGTGTCGCTGTGTTCCTTGCTAGCATCTATTTGGTATTTGATATTCGATTAAATCTTAATTATTCATGTCTAGGTACAGCACTGGAATGGTGTATACACTACTGTATTCTACATAATCCCTTCTAATCAATAGCAGGAGTACTCCGTGGTTATTTCAAACCACGGCCCATCAACGCTGCATACCACTTATTTGGAAATCGGCTGAGTCTCACGCTTGAGCCATGAGCGTGTCAGATCGTCTGACTGGAAGAAGTGCTCTGTCTTCGCCCAGATCTCAGCGTGGTAGTCATTCACCCACTTAAGCTCGGCGTCGCTCAAAAGCGACGGCTCAATCAGGTTGCGACCAATAGGAGTCATTGTAACATGCTCAAAGCCTAACCACTGCTTATCACCAAAGTTGTGGGCAGTTTTGACTTCGCGAGCCATGACAATGTCTATAAAGAGCGGGATTAGTATTTCTCCAATGACAGTCACAGACGGTACAACTCACTTTCGATTCGAATACCAAATTTGCCATCCTCGTAGTATCCGGGTTCTATATCAGGAATTAGTTTCGGACTGCAACCTACGGGGAGGAGAGACAAACCATCCGAAATAACGTTTCCGGCCGCAATGGGGACCTCGGTATACTGAACCCGAGTTCCGATGCCAATGGGACCCTCGTGGACATTCTAAACGGAGATAAGCAAAGTGTAAGATGTTTGATGAGCGATAATACTCACCAGATAGGAGCCAACACCATGGCCTGTTCCGTGAAGGTAGTCTAAGCCCTCTTTCCACAAGTGTTGGCGCGCCAACACGTCAATTGCAAAGCCACTGGTGCCTTTGGGGAATACCGCCATATCGATTCCAATAGTTCCCTTCAGCACTAACGTGAAAGCACGCTTCTCGAACTCCGTGGGAACGCCGAAGTGGAATGTTCTCGTAGTGTCGGTCGTTCCATCCAAGTATTGACAACCAGAGTCGCAGAGATAGATGGCATTAGGATCGATGATAGCACAGCTTCCCTTCTCTGGGCTATAGTGAATGACCGCACCGTTGGGCCCAGTCGACGAGATAGTATCGAAGGAGAGACCAGCGAACAGATCATGCTTGGAGCGGATTTCTTCCAACTTGTCAGCTCCGTCGACTTCATCCAAGACAGTCTTCTTGTTGACTAGTTCGTTTTCAAGCCAAGCAAAGTACTCGGTCAGGGCAGCACCATCGCGGATATGGCAAGCTCGCATTCCTTCGAGTTCGACTTCATTCTTCACAGCCTTTGCATCCGCGACCGGGCTACGGGTCTCTTCGACCTGTCCCTCGCCGCCAAGGCTGAGGCTGAGAGCCCAAGAAGCCTTGTTCGACAACAAAAACTTGGCGGCCTTCTCACCCGCAGACTTGCCTTTGGTGCTGAGGGCTTGAGCATCAGCAAAGATGGATTCGTATGGCTTGACGATAACGTCTTGCCCGAAGTGAGCCTTGACCTCTGGCGTCAACTTGTCATCCTCCACGTAGATCTCAGCGGTGGTGGGCGTAATAACAGCATAAGAGAAAAACACGGGATTGTAGGGAATACTGTTCAGAGTCAGTGAAGTGCCAAGATGCATCACGGTATAGACACTGTTCTTACTCGGTTCCTCTCAGGTTGAATAGCCAAGCAATCTCATCGAGCATAGCTGCAATAAATTAGTCACTCTGCAGGACTGGGATATATGCGAGATGGTCATACAGATGATGAATCCGGCCTTCTTCTTTGTCTCAAGTTCCTTCCGCAGCTCGGCCACCTTTTCTTGGAACGGCTTGCCGGCATACTTCTCAGGGTGAACGCGCACTTTCTCGCTGGGACGCGCGGGGCGTTCCTTACCCCAAATCACGTCGATCAAGTTCTCCCGGACGCCCACGAGGGATGAACCACTCTTTTTAAGGGTCTCTGCCAACTTCCGTGCACCAGCTATTGAAGATTAGCGCTATGCACTTCCACGCCAAAGTAACAGCACTCACACGCTGTGATCAGAGATGGATCAACACCCACAGCCTTGCCTCCTTGGGCTTCCTCCGTGGTCCTACCAACAAGATCAGCTCCCATACAGATCATGCCGCATAACTCTCGTCTCGTACCATTCCTGCCAAGTGGGCACACCCTCCACTCCACCCTTCAAGAGCTGCCAGTTGTTGTCCAATTGTTTCGCGGCCTGGTTGAAGTACCGTCCATCAGTGGACAGTGCAGCTTTGCTCAGGGAGATGATTGCAGTACCGGCGGAGCCAGAGAATCCCGAAATGAATTCTGTGAGAATGTTAGTGTCGGCGCGGGCAAATCAGCGGAAGAGGGGCGATCGTTGACCTCGGCGGGCATCACATGGCGCAATGTACTCGGACTGGTGGCTATCTTCTGAGGGTACAACTATACGAAGCTGGTAAGCACAACTCGAGGTTTGAGCAGAGAGATGATGTCATACTGTAAACATCGACCTTATGCTGTTGCATCAACTGCCTTAGCCTTGACAGGCGTTCAGAGGTATCTACGGGCCCCATATTGACTGTGTATCGCGGACCGAAAACGGAGAAGTGTCTTGGACGGGAGACGGGCCTTAGCGATCGCAAAGATGTCCGAAGGCAAACTGGACGGGAGAGGAGCATGGACACTGGCGGACTTCAAGAGGTTACTCATCCACCTGTTAGCTTTCGAAGGCTAAGCGAAGCAGAGATTGAAGGCGTCAGATAAGTACGCGATAAGCTAATTCCGCAGGTCGTGTGGACTCCGTGTAAGTGGCCTTTTACCGGTGGGGAGACTTTTGGCCGTAGGGCGATCTCCGGAGTCGGCTACACACGGCCCACTTGGTGTTGTCATGTTTGCACTCAAGTATCTACACATTTGTATACAATCACATTGCTCGTTTCAATGTTCTTCTTGTTTTTTAGAGGTTGATCCAGCTTGAGTGCCATCGACAATGGTGTTATACTAATTCTTTGTACGGGCTAGGTCAAGCTTGATACCTTGAGATATATGATGCTATCAATATATTCAGCAGTGAGAAGGTCAGAATATATATCCCACGTAGGAAAAAGCAAGTAAAGGAGTTCAATAGAGAGACAAAAGTTCCTATAAATCGACTCCTCCGAGAGTACAGTATGTATTATAATGTACAGTCTGCTAGACTTCTTAGTTCTAACATATATATGTAGCTAAGAATATAGAGGTCACGTGCATACAAACCAGATGAGCCCCGCAGTTACCGCTGATGCAACCGCCTTGATGATGATTGGCCAAGAGATGCAAACACTAGATTCTGCCCGTCATAGCTCCCGTGCTTTGTATATGTACACTTCTCTTTTTCTTTTTCACAACCACGCGCTTGCTAAGGAAAAATGGCAACCTGGGTATCTGACGAGGGCCTTGGGGCCAGGGAGTCGATCTCAGAAGCCCATATTGTATGCGCACCATGTCTACCTTTGAAATTCAACAGCTAATAAAGAACTAGCTGGTCACCGAGCTCTATAACCCAGCGAACCAACGGGACCCCACCAGAATCAATGAGATCCAGACGCGCCTCCAGCAACTTCAGAAGATGAAAGATGCATGGGCAATTGCGGATTCCCTTCTGCAAAGCGAACACTCTGCCCAGCATCGTTTCATGGGGGCTCTTACATTCACAGTGAAGATCAATGTCTCATGGTACGGCCAATCTCTCTGATCTACTACCTCGACCGCATTCTTATATGACGCATAATTGCTGACCTCGGATACCATTAGGAATGAAATCAACCAAGATTCGGCCGCAGAGATCATGCAGCACCTGATCAATCGCTTTGTTACTTTGGTAAATAACGGTGAACAAGCCATGGTTGTGAGAAAGCTTGCCTCAAGCTTGGTCGCCATTTTCAGACACCCTGCCACACCATGGAAACAAGCTGTCTGGCAGCTGGCTGCAAGCCTCGCCCACGGCGGATATGTATCCGAAGAACAATCACAAGCGGTGGATTTTCAGGAGCGGATACTGCCAGCGTTGAGCAAGAGTGGATCGGGTGCACTCCTATTTTTCTCTATTGCGCTTGCTGAGGAGGCTCTCCGACTGGACTCTGACCCCCAAGATGGGACTGGAGACGCCTCTGCTACCCAGCGAGCCATACACAACATTAAGGATGGGTTGCTCCTGGTTCAATTTGTCCTTACGAAGACCATACAGCATGCAAATGCAGCTGGAAATGATGCAGTTGATATCGCACTAGCGGCTGAAGCCATGAACTCATGGAAGGTGAGTTAATATTGGTTCTGGTACTTCCATATCGAAGAGTGCAATCGCTAACTCGACTCCCAGACATGGCTAGGTGTTCATGGGAATCGTCAGCGCTCTTTAGCTGAAGATGTCAATACCTTGGCGGTGCAATGTGGCCAAACCGTCATTGAGATATTGAAGGTACCCAGCTTGAGTGAAAGTGCAGCTTCTATTTTGGCCCAAGCCTTTGAAACCCGCCGTTGGGCCTTTGACGACAACTCGTTGTGGCTTATTTCTGATATTCTTGCCAATTCGATCGTGACAGCTCACATTACTGCTGTCGGGAGTGGCGATGAAGGAGCGGAGAGCATGTCGTTTGTTGACCTCTTGATTGCATATGTCTCCCATTTGAACTTAGATATCTTCAGCGACCCACTGACCCAGCAAAATGGAGCGATCCTCACACTTATCCACGGCATTTTCAAAACCCCTGGCTATGCTTCCATTGATGATCTCGGAACCCCACGTGTCTTGGAGTTTTGGAACGAGATCGCAGAGAGTCTCCCCGATGAACTCGAAGAAGACAGCCCGAGGTATAACTTGGTAAAGTCACATTTAGCCGAAGTTGTCTTGGGTCTGTCCAGCAAACTATTATATCCCAAGCCCGAAGATTTGGAAGATTGGGGCGAGGAAGAGCGGAGTGAATTCGGTGCCTTCCGTCATGAGGCCTGTGATTACTTACTCTCAGCATACCCCGTCCTCGGTGTCGACCTGGTCACTGTCTTCCAGAGAAGCGCCACGTCCTGCCTGGAAACTCGGGACTGGCGCAATTTTGAGACTGCCATGTTCTGCATAGCTCAGCTCTCAGAAGCTGTGGATGAAAATGGCCACGCTGACCAGTGTCTCGATGCCATCTTTGGTAGCGATGCATTTGCTAGGCTCTGCGCAGGCGGGGAGACTGAATTACCACTCAAGGCCCGTCAGACCCTGGTGGATTCATTTGGAAAGTACGAATCATACTTTGAGCGTCACAGTTCATTACTTCCGGGTGTTCTAAACATCCTGTTCAAATCCCTCAACTTTGAGTTGTGTGCGCACGCGGCTTCAAGGTCTATATTGACTCTTTCAAAATCGTGTGCTCGCGTCTTGACGTCAGATCTTCCTGCATTCTTAGATCAATTGGATCAGTTCAGAAGCAAGCCGACGGCAACTGTTTCGACCATGCCTAAGGTTTTGGAAGGAATCGCGACCATTATCCAGAGCTTGCCCAGTGACCAGGAGAAGGTACAAACGCTGGAGAGAATTCTCGGATTCTTTGTTCAGGAAGCCAACACAGCACGGGAAGAGGTTACCGGTCCCGCTCATGAATTTGGCCGTCTACGCGGACACCTCGTGCTGAGTTGTATTGCTAGCATTGGAAAAGGCCTTCGCTCAGAGAGCGAAGTCATTGATATCGAGCTTATCAAGGAAGGAAACCCATATCCTCCATCTTTCTGGAACTCCGGACCAGGTGCCGAAACCCAGCGCCTGATAATGGAGGCCATGAGACTTTTGATTGTCGACTTCCCCGTGGACAGCAGCATAATCGAAGCAGCTTGCGACATTTTGAAAGCTGGCTACACTGAGCGGGCAGGGCTTTTTGTCTTCCCGCCCTCCATGACAGTGGACTTTATCAAGAGCTTTCCCCTCGGTATTTCCGGGACAGATGTCATCATGGCAACCGCGTCATCATTTTTGGCATCTCACGCTCGGCATGCGATGAATATTCGCACCGAGGCCGAGGCGCTCATCGATCATGTAGCACAGCTCTTCTCTTCGATGCTCCAGAATCCGGATGTGTACGACCCAGAGACCGCTAATGCCGGGATTGATTTTCTCACACGTCTTTTACCAAAGTACTATCCGATATTGTTCAATCCCGTGAAGTCAAACCTGAGCGCAGAGTCTCCTCTTGCTGTGCTTCTTCACTTCACACTTCACGCATTGACACGGCCAGAACCACTTCCTCTTAAATCCTCTTCTGCATTCTGGGTTGCATTAATAGATCTGCAGGGCAGTTCTCCAGAAGAAATGAACATACTCGAATCAGTCTATCAAGAATTTATCCCACGCTTGTGTTACACAATCATCCACCAGATTGCCGGCCAATGCGCAAGATCAGACTTGATATCTCTGAACGACGCTCTGCGACGCACTGTCTTCAAACAGATGGGGTTGGCGCGCCCGTCTTTGAAGGCTGCGCTCGACTCTTTGAACGCCCAGGTCACAGATGCAACCGGACAACAAGTGCCGCTTTTATCGGCAAAAGACAAGTCACGGTTCTTGGAGTCTCTCGTCATTGCTAGAGGTGGCCACAAACAGTCTCTGGATCTTGTGCGTTCCTTATGGCTGAAATGCCGTGGCATGGATTTCGATTATGCCCAGTGATGGGCTTGCGCATTGATACATGACCTGATGATTGGAGTTGATGGGTCCTGCAACTTCGGAGTCCATTTAGATATCCATTTGCATGACATACACGGTGCAGCTTGATTTAATCCTACTTAAGAGTTTTTATTTGCATTTACCTAAGCGCCATAATGAGAATTCTGAAATTATCGAGTGGTTTGGCCACTTGCGTAGAAAAAGACATCCTGTAGGATGTGACCCAGTGGGCAAAAGCCCCAACCAAGTCCTATGTTGTACCTGGACAAAAAGAGCCCAAAGGCCTAAATTCCAGATATTTCTAGATCCAGCGTTAGAATTGATCTTTGTGATATATACTGCGTGTTATTGTCTGGTGAATAGGTCGATTTTATACAAATGCCATATCATGTGACCACAGACCCACTTGCTAGCCTTGACCCACTAACCTTATCCTTCAACACCCGTGGCATATTTGTACAGACTACGGAGTACTCCGTACTTCGTGTGCAATTCCATCGCTTTCTTCGGCATTATCCGAACGGCTAAAATAATTGACTAGCATTTGACAAGACTGTTTGCTCAAGGGGACAAACTTAAAATACCTCCAAAGGATTTCTCCGTAATTCCCCGTCGTCGGAGTCTACGGCGTAACATGGAGAATGACAGCCGAAGCTCCGATTGGCTGTTTTCCCTAGCCGCGGGCAAAAAAAGCCAATCGTGTCTTTTGCTATCGGCCCCACACCTCCGGACATCGTATTCGTATACTATAGAAATTGTCTTTGGGATGATCTTATTAATTCTTATGTGTTGCCTTAGTTATCATACATTGAAGCTGCTAACATGCAATTATTGGCTTTAAAATGACAAATGTATCAAATCATATAATATATATGTCACGCTAGACGCCTACTCATGGCTCATGTACAAGATTTTTTTAGGACACAATGATCAAGGCTGAAACAACTGACAGAAAAGCACATCTACCAACCACGGCCGGCCAACTTAGCAGACTCGGGCAATTGCTTGACGTTGATACCAACCATAGCCTCACCAAGACCCTCACTGACTTGAGCAAGCATCTTGGGGTCCTTGAAGTGAGTGACAGCCTGGACAATAGCGCGGGCACGCTTCTTAGCATCACCAGACTTAAAGATACCAGAGCCAACAAAGACACCATCGCAGCCAAGCTGCATCATAAGCGCCGCATCGGCAGGGGTGGCAACACCACCAGCAGCAAAGTTAACAACAGGCAGACGGCCGAGCTCCGCAACCTGGCGAACAAGCTCGTACGGGGCCTCGATCTCACGGGCGAACGCGCGCAGCTCAGGCTCGGGGTCCTGGCTGGCGAGGAGGATACCACGGGCACGGCTGACCTGCGCATTGACAGTGCGCATGTGCTTAACGGCCTCGACGACATCACCGGTGCCAGCCTCGCCCTTGGTGCGAATCATAGCGGCACCTTCGGAGATGCGGCGTAGGGCCTCGCCAAGGTTGCGGCAACCGCAGACGAAGGGGACCTTGTAGCCGTGCTTGGTGACGTGGTAGACATCGTCGGCGGGGGTGAGGACCTCGGATTCATCAATGTAGTCAACGCCAATGGCTTCAAGGATCTGTAGGTCGGTAAGTGTTAGTGATAGTGTGACTTTTATTTGCCTCCCCCGCCACGGGGAGACCTCCGTTTTCCCCCTCCATCTCCCCCGCATAGAGGTAATTGTTACGTACCTGGCATTCAACAAAGTGTCCGATACGGGCCTTTGCCATGACGGGAATGGTCACGGCTTCCATAATCTCCTTAATCATGCTGGGGTCGGACATACGTGCCACGCCACCCTCAACTCGGATATCAGCGGGGACACGCTCGAGAGCCATGACGGCAGCGGCACCGGCTTCTTCGGCGATGCGAGCCTGGTAGAGGTATCTGTTAGTTTTCTACACTGGATAGTATCAATTCCTTGCCAGAGAGATCATACCTGCTCGGCGTTCACGACGTCCATGATAACGCCACCCTTCAACATCTGAGCAAGACCGGCCTTGACAGTGAAGTCATTGCCGGTGGATCCGTTTGGAGCAGCCATTTTGAATTGTGTAGCTAAAAGAAGGGAATATGAACAGAGGTGAAGAGAATGAATAGAAGAAGTGAATTGGAAAGAATGAAAAAGAAGAGAAGGATTCCAAAAGTGAGTCAGTAGGAAATACACTTTTCCCTCGAAAGTTACTTGCCTCAGGCCAATCACATGCAAAGTGCCCCTCCGCTGGTCCCTGGAAACTCCACGACTTTCCGTTTCCCGAGGGCATCCCCATCCGGTGACAGACCGCCTGCTGTCTAGGGCCAGTCACCTTGTTACATGGATCTTGGCTCTTGGCTTGACATGCCTGATGCAGTATTGCCTAATGCAGTATGTGAGGTGACTCTCTATCACTTGCATCGCAGATGGCAGATGGCAGACTCGGGGAGGCAGGGCCGATTCCGACTTTGACTCATCACTGATATTACACTTTATCCTATTCTGGCAGGAGAGTTGCTTGCTCTATACATAATGCGTAACACAGTGGCCCCCGGTCTGTATCTATCTATAAAATATGGTCGCTACCACACTGTATACGTACGATTCAGGGTCCATTAATGATACTCCACTGCAACACGTCCCTATTAATGCCAGTTACGCATTCCAAATGCCTATATATCTCCCAGCAGTCACAATACATATAGCATCCTAACAACATTGGAATTAACCTAACAACATCCGAAGTTAAAGTTAACAATAAAATAAGAAACAACGACCAAACTTCCCAAAAAGAGCCTCAATCTTTCCCGAGGCGGGCAGATCCCCATGAGCTCATCAATAATATGACGTCACCTGGCATCCCCATCCGCCAAGGGAAGCTCAAGCTCATCTCCGACCACAAACCCCCCGAGACCGACTCTCCAACTCCCTCAATTGCAAAAGAGACAAGCAAAACAGACACAATGTCTTTCAAGCTATTCACTCACCAACCCGCCACCCTCCTCCGCCTGGGTTTAGGCGTCGGCATCGGTCTCTCCGCCGCGACCATGCATCCCTTGTCACCCTTCCGCTCCACCCCAATGCAATGCCAGTACACCACTCCCCATCAATACAGCCCCAGCAAAGAGTCAGAGTGGGCTATTAATCCCCCCGAACCTGGGGGTCTGAAGCAGGCTCGTCCGCGGCGGAATGGGCTATTGAACGCGGAGACTATGCGCCAGGTTAGTTTGGGGAGTGTGTTGGGGCTTGTTGCTGGTGTTGGGTTGAGGGCGTTTTCGAAGGCTTTGGTTGTTATTTTGGGTATGGGCGTTGTTCTTATCGAGGTATGTATAAGCTTCTGCCTCGGATTTGGGGCTTTCCTTTGGGTTGCTTTGGTGTTTCGCTGGCCGAGGTTATGGGTTGTAGTTGTGACGAGATGCTGATGCTTCTTCTCGATTGTAGTTTGCTGCGGCCAAAGGGTACAATATTATTCCGATCAATCGGATTCAGAAATATATTAAGCGCGTTGACTTGGGCCGCGTCATGACTGAGAAACGGCCTTTCAAGATGAGTTTCGGTGTTATGATGGCGATGGCGGCGTTTGCGAAGTTCTAGGCTTTTCTTGTACAGTTAGACGAAGATCTAACACTACCTGTACATACACTCGAACGACGCCAAGTTGGACGCCAATTGACAGGGACGCAATTTGGGGCTGCTGGATGTCCCGATTATAATTGGTAAAAAGTTCATTCGTACAGGGGTATCATGAGTCTTGATCTATTCCACACCAAATATGAGGGAGGATCTACGCTACCCCAGCACCAGATCTTCCAACACGCCCTCCATTTCATCCCGGGACAGTGGCACACCCAGTATCTCCATGCCGCTTGCATCCATGCGGGAAGTGATCATCTGGTGATCGTGGAACTCCTTTAGCAGGGTACGGAACATCATCTCCGAAGAAGCGACAAACTCCTCCGTTGCCTTCTGGTAAAGGAGACGGAACTCGATGCCAGTTTCATCGCCAGCCCTGCCGCCACCCTCTGCACCTTCATCGTCTGACTGGTGGCCGTCGTCCAGTAGAGTGATTAATTCGGTCAGTAGGAGACGGTACAGGTTACGTGCATTTTCGGGAAGACTCTTGAGCACAAAGCCCACGCCATCTTTCCCGCCGACCCGGCGGCCCTTGCGTCCAAGGAGAGTGTTAACCTCCTCGACGACATCGGCCTCCGCTGAGAACGGTAGAAAGGTTGTACAGTCGTGGAAGACGAAATTGAGCTGATCACGCAGACTGATATCCCACATGACCGGGAAGTTGGGGGTGTCGGCTGTGGCTACGAGACGAATGCGCGGTGTTGCAGCCAAACGGGCGAGGAGTGCTTGGTTGGCTGCGCGGCGCAGAGGCGGGGCATCGATAGAGTTGATCAAAACGGTGATGGGCTCTTCATGCGACTTGAGCGCAGATTGTAGCAGCTCGAGGACCTCGGTCGGCTGTGCACCAAGCTTGGATGGTGCATTGTCGCCCATTACGGCTGCGACGATCGTGGCGAAGATGGATCGGATGGAGATGCCTGGTGTGTAACCATTGACCATCACAATGGTTGGAGTCGTAGTGTCTGACAAGCGCTGGTTGTAAATCCACTCCGCGAATTCATCCATTAGCTTGCGCTTGGAGCCGTAGCCAAATAGGCAGATGTTGAACCCTTCATCGAACTCGAACGCCCACTGTGGGAAAGATCGGTGATGCAAGGATTGCAGGTATTCCTTTTCTTCCTTGCACGGATCCTCATATTGTCCAAGCTTCTCGAAATATTCCTCATGAGTTAACAGCGTTACTTTGTTGAGAGTGGCATTTGATGTCTTGACAGGACCAGCGCGGTTCTGAAAGAAGTATCGTTCGTGTGCAGGCAGCTCGCCTTCCGGTGTCGGGGAGCGCTTATTCCTCGCACCCTTTGGCCGTCCTGCACGGCGCTTAGGTTGTTTTGCTCCTTTTTCAGGGGCCTTTTCTGCGCCTTCAGGTTCTATACTCTCCGCCAGTGACTGATCCACTTTCTCCGTATCAGGCCCATCTCCATGTAAGATTTCTTCCGCTAGTCGTTCTGATCCATCCCAAGCTGCATCTTCGTCCTGCTCGAACAGCACTCGTGCGCTCTTCTTGCGCGCAGACCGGTCTGCATTCTTAACTCGAGATGGGGTCGCTGCGGTTGCGGACTTGGCCTTGGTAGGCGTAGCAAACAAGCCACGAGCCTTGGATTTTTGGGTGGGCGTTTTCAGCCCAGACTGTTGTAATGGCGTCGCGGAGACACCGTTGGCCTTTTTGGGTGTTGATTGGTCATGTCCTGATGGGGGAAGTTCGTAGGAGGCATCATCGTTCGGGAGTGCAGCGTTGGGCGCGTGGCCGTTCAGGGCGCCATTGGATTGTTCTAGTGCTGTCCGTTTTCTCTTTGGGGTCGAAACAGGCGGCTGATCGCCGGCGTCTGAGAGCTTACGCTTCATAACAGTCTAGTCAGATTATAGTCACGTAGACGCGAAGGAGAAAGGAAGCAACAGTACCATCAGATCCGGAGAATGTGCACAGGGTCGGGACGCAAGGGGCTTCCAAGGTTGGTAAATTCAAGCTCTCGTAATTGCAAGGAGCTGCAGGTCTGACACTGGAATGTAGGACTAATTGAGGCTTGATTGGGTCTCGAAGTGCTCGAAGGAATGAAATTGGAGCGGATGGGTTTCTCCGACTCCGCGTCTGAGGTTTGGAGATATAGCAACTGTCTCTTACACTGTCTTGAATTCAACACAATTCGCGAGATTTTACCTCATTTATCCTCATGTGTGTCGTCTGTGGTGTTTCTAGTTATTTGTACGAGAATCCTTGATTTTTACTCCAGACAGCTGGCTCAAAAGGTCGCGCAAGTCATGTGAGCAAACGCACTGATCAGACTAAAGTCCAATTGCCTAGATGTTACTCAAAGTCCTCAACAAGAAGAAGCAAATCATCGAATATTAACCCCAGATATCTCATATATAGCAGTGGGCTCATACCGCGCAATTAGTTGCCGAGTGGGGAGCCCCGAGACCGGCTACTTTTTCTCTTGGCTCAAGTTTGACTCACAAGAGCACCACTCCTTATAAACAGCTAGTGTCTACAAGCCTAGCAATTGGCATAGATAGGACACATGCTTCCAACTACCCAATCCGCCAATATGGCCACCTCCCTCGCCCGCATGCTCAAGGGCCAAGTCCGATGCTACTCCGCACCGCTGGACATGGCCATTCCGGCCTCCAAACAGCGCTACATCCCCACGACCGGCACCTACCCCAAGGGCTTCCAGGTGTCTGGCACCTATGTGGGTGTCAAGGCCTCCAATACCCGCTTCCCGGATCTGGCACTGATCGCCTCCGATACGCCATGCTCGGCCGCTGCAGTGTTCACAACCAACAAGTTCCAAGCTGCGCCAGTGCAAGTCAGCAGGAAGACCCTGCAAAGCCGCAAAGGCAGTGGTATCCGCGCCGTGGTGATTAACTCAGGCTGCGCCAATGCCGTCACCGGCAAGGGTGGCCTAGAGGACGCAGTGGAGATGGGAAGAAAAGTAGATGAGTGCAGCGGTGTCGAGAACGACAGCTCGCTGGTGATGAGCACTGGCGTGATCGGACAGCGGTAAATTCATAATCCTATCAGAATTGCACATATACCGCACCCCATTGCTAACACAACAAACCACTCAACAGCCTCCCGATCTCCAAGATCCTCGACCGCATTCCAACAGCGTACTCAACGCTCGCCTCCACACACGAAGCCTGGCTCACGACAGCCCGCGCAATCTGCACAACAGACACCTTCCCCAAGCTCCTCTCGCGCACCTTCACCCTCCCCTCCTCTCCAGACCGCACCTACTGCCTCGCAGGAATGACCAAAGGCGCCGGCATGATCCACCCGAACATGGCGACACTTCTCGGCGTGCTCTGCACAGACGCGGCCGTCGAGCCGGCAGCGCTGCAGTCGATCCTGAAACATGCCGTGTCGCGCTCCTTCAACTCGATCTCCATCGACGGCGACACGAGCACGAACGACACGATCGCCGTGCTGGCGAACGGCGCTGCAGGCGGCGAGACTGTGCGCGCGCCGGCGGCGTCTCCCAGCCCCGATTACACCGCACTGCAGGGCGTTGTGACCGATTTCGCGCAGGAGCTGTCGCAGCTGGTTGTGCGGGACGGCGAGGGCGCTACTAAGTTTGTTACTGTGCGCGTGCGCAACTCGCCGGATTATGAGTCTGCGCGACAGATTGCTTCGACGATTGCGCGCTCGCCGCTGGTTAAGACCGCTCTCTATGGCAAGGATGCTAACTGGGGCCGGATTCTGTGTGCGGTTGGTTATACGCAGGGTGTCGCGGAGGGGACTGTTGTTCCTGAGCGTACTTCTGTTAGCTTCCGTCCGGTTGATGGGAGTGAGGTTTTGAAGCTGTTGGTTGATGGCGAGCCTGAGACTGTTGACGAGAAGCGGGCTAGTGCTATTCTTCAGAACGAGGATCTTGAGATCGAGGTTGATCTTGGTGGTGGTGAACAAGGGGCTGCTGGATGTGGTGGTGAGGATGCTGTTTATTGGTTCTGTGACTTCAGTCACGAATATGTGACCATCAACGGTGATTACCGGACTTAAAAGATATGTATTTTAGCACTGCCAGTGGAAGTTGCCGAATCGAGGATACCTATAGTTACAAAGAGCGGTTCAACGAAGCATGAATGTGAACAAGGTTGAGGATCATGGCAAGTTGAATATATGATTTTGGTTTTTCTAGACACATATGGTTACAAGACCCTAAGCAGGGCAATTTTCATCGCTGAGCGCCGCCTATCCAGTAAGATTAGACCCATGTGATTTCACACATGGACGACCTAAGACATTGACACTGTTGTCTCGATGTGCAGAGGTCCCTAGAGAGGGACCTCGGAGCGTTCATCGGCAGGCTAATCAACCTGCACGACTGAATATCAATCAATCGGTATAGTTCCAATTCAGCCAGACAGACGGCGCCAATCCATTCACCCAAAAAAGTATAGCGGACGAAAAAAAAGACAAAAATAAACAGAGATGTTGCAAAGGACCGGCGTGATCCTATGTCATGCTGCTCGTGAAAATACGGACAGTCTCTTTAGCTGCCGGGGACGAGGCCCTTGAGGCCAGCGCCAATGTCACCCTCACGGGCGGCAATTTCGAAGTAGCCGTAGATGATGCTGTATTGAGCTGTTAGCTGAAATGAACACAATTGATGTATCAACGAAGGAACTTACGTGACGGCAAGAAGAATACCAGTACCGCTGCCGAGAGCACCCATGAGGTCCGAGGCGACGGAAAGACCACCAATGCAGGCACCACCGAATGCAGCGGCAGTAGGGATAACGCGCTTCAGCTCCTTGTACATACTCTGCTCGCGGTGACCAGACATGACGAGACCCTGGTCCTTGAGCTGCTTGGCAACGTCACGGGGAGCGGAGCCGGAAACCTCAATCCAAGTCTTGGAGAAGAGGGCGCAAGCCACAAGCATGAAGGTGATGTAGACGGCAGTGTGGATGGGGTCGAGGAGAGCCTCCTTGAAGTTGAGAGGAGGCGACATGTAGTAAGCAATACCCGAGGCGGCGTAAAGCTGAGCAGATCCCTCACGGGGCTCCCAAACTCCGAGAAGCTGGACCAGGATGTTCTCCGAGAAGCGCGAGTACAGCATCTGACTGATAAGGAAGATGTTGGAGCACAGAGCGGACTGGAGCATGATGGGCATGTTGGAGGTGTAGAAGAGGCGGACGGGGTATGAGCCGCGCATGCCACGCTGGCGGGAAGACTTGACGGGGATCTCAACACGGAAACCCTGCAGGTAGATGACAGCGGCGAAGACGAGGAGAGTAGCCAGGAGGTTCATGACGTTGGGCAGGTTCTGGCGGTAGAACGCCTCGTACAGGGCGCGCTGCTTATCGGGCCAGGTCAGAAGAAGGTGGAACAGAGCAATAATAGCACCCTCGAACTCGGGGCCACGGCCGGTATTGATGGTCGTGGGGGAGAAGGCCTTCCAGACAATCGACTCGCAAATGTTGGTGGCAATGAACAGGGAGATACCGCTGCCCAGACCGTAGCCCTTCTGGAGAAGCTCGTCAAGCAGAATAACAACAAGACCAGCGACAACCAGCTGGACAATCAGGAGAACACAGATACCGGCACCGAGATCACTGGGCTGGCCGTATAGACCAGTCAGAACGTAAACACAGGCCTGGCCGAAGGAGAGAATGATAGCGAAGAGCTTCTGGGCGGTCTGGTAGAGCTCGCGGTCGGTCTTCAAGTCGAGGTTGACATCAATGAGGTGGGTACCGGCAAGGAGCTGGGGCACAAAATATGTCAGTACAATCACCGCGAAGAATAACATATGAGTTTTTTGGAATCGCATACCTGGAAGACCATGCCGGAGGAGATAATAGGGGTGATACCCAGCTCCATCAGAGTACCCCGGTTACTGGCCAGCATCATACGGAGCCAGTACAGGGGGTCCGAAGTATCGGAGGAGACAATGCCGTAAAGAGGCATCTGACTCATGACCAAGAAGATCATCAAAGTCAACTATAACGTAATTCATTAGGATCCAAGTCGATTTCGCGCGGAGAGGGCGGATTCAGGGCGACATACACCAGTCCACATCAACTTCTGGTTGAAGGGCACCTTAGTCTCAGGAGCTGCCACCTCCGGGAGGAGGGGCGTAAAGGGCTTGATCAAGTCAAGGAAGCGTACTATATTCCTCCATCAGCATTTGGCCTTCAATTGAGGGCGATTCGAGACGGATTGTCGGGATTGCGCGACGAGGTTTCGGGGGACTCACGGCCGCTCATGGTGGCTATCTTCCTCCCAGTCCGTTAAAGAAGTGAAGAAAGCTGGAGTCGAGAACCAGCTAAAAGAATGAAAGTGAATATTAAGAGAAATAAAACAAAAGGAGAAAAGGTGGAGTTGTCGAAAGGATGGGGGGAGGAGGGAAGAAGAGGACAGAAGAGGTCCGCTGGCCACTTTTCGCTTCCGCGCTAATTAAGGCCACTTGGTCTTCGCCGCAACAACCAACTTGGTGACTCAACCAAAAAAAGGAACGGGGTGATTTGGAGATAATTGCACTACTTTGAGCTTCAATTCAATTCTCAATGCATTTCTCTTCTGCTAGTCTTTCAAGTCCGTTCGTTGTGTTGTGCACCCTCCAAAAACAGGGCTCCAAGCTATCCCCACACTCCACAGAGGCCACGGTACTAACTACGCGATCGGGACAGCTGGGGGTCTACACCCTATGGTGCAAGATATGGGGGTAATTATTGGGAATCATAATAGCATACATGTCCAAATACATATTCCAACTGCTTTCATCCTATAAACATATGCCATCATTCTATAAAGAGTATAATATTGTCATCTTTCAAGGCCCAACAAGACCCAGGCAATCGTCAATGATCACCTCGAGCTCTCCCAGTCGATTCTTTAGGCCGCGGTTCTCCTCTTGCAGAACACCCATCACGCTCCAGGCCTCGGAAGCGGGCACGCCATAGCAGTTGGTGCAATTAGGCGCGTTACTGTTACCACCAGCGAAGGAGCTACCTAAACGCGTTGAGGCAAGACCCTTCAAGACCCGATCATATGCCGAGCGTACAGGTGGTGGTGTACTCGTGGCCGCGACTAGATTCTTCTGTGCTGGCGTCGGGACCGTCGGCGTAGACAGGGCGATCTGCGACATGTTGGGAGACGGCGCTGTCAGAGCGGAGGTCGGAGATTCGACGCCCTCACGCAGCGAGAAGATGCTTTCGGCGATGCTCTCGTCACCAGACTCGAAGCCCGAGTCGCTGGTGAAGGTGCTATGGCTAGCACGCTTGCCTCCACGCCGGGGAGTTTGGAGCGCCATGGAAGCTGCGTCGTCATCCGGATACACAGTACGAATTGCACGACTGCGATGGCGCGATTCCTCGGTCTTTCGCATTTCTCTCTCTTCCTCTAGTTCCTCGGCCATGGCCTTCATGGCTTTCTCCTGATCGAGCACTTTGGCAGCCATGCCGTCCAGCTGCATCTTGAGGTGGTCAACTCTGGCGCGAGTCTCTTCTAGCTCCTCCTGCTTTTCGTTCTTGTCTGCCAAAGCCTGGTGCATGGCAAAAGTGCGTTGCTTATAGGCCTCCTGCATACGTCGTAGCACTTTGTCCGCATGATCTCGTAGGGAATCCAGTGCCTCATCGTTGGTATCATCCGTTTCGGGTAGTCTGAGAGCGGCAGTGATGTCCAAGTTCAAGAACTCATCATCTGCTGGCTCTGGGAAATTGGGTTTGCTCGGTTGTCGCCGCAGGCCGAAGAATGAAAACCGATTCGTCAAGGTCGAGTTCTGCCTCATATGTGACATGGATGCAGCTGGGCGGGAATCCAATCCGGTCCCATCTGAAGCACCTGGGCCCATCTTAAGCCCCAACTCGACTGGATCTGATTTCCCCTGGAACCAATCTGACAAGACCCTGGCTCTTGCTTCAAGCTTCTTCTTCGGAAAGGTTTCGGACCAAGGGGTATTCTTTGGGTTTGATATCGTGCCGTCGATGCCCTGTTCGAACAGTGGAGGCCTTGCGATATATTCGGTGTTTGCTCGACGATGCGAAGGCGGATTGTTCAACTGATGATTTCGTGCGGTTCTAGGGACCGAAGATCTTGGGAGCGTCAAGGCAACGGTCTCGTGGGGGTGCGTGCCATCGGAATGCAGGGTGACAGGCGCATGAGTGAGATCGGGAGACATGTTCTGAGGGGTAATTTCGACAGATACACGGACAGGACTGAAATGCCACGTCGATTCAGGCCCAATGTGGCGTTGGTGTGCGACCTAGGGGGGAGGGGTTTGCGGTAGGGGTATCAATGCTGATCAAGGACAAAACAGACCCCTGGAATACATTCAAGGTCAAACGAAAAAGGGTATAGGTGGTTTCAATGAAGCTTTCATGTTTCACAGGGTTGAGTGTGGATTTGTCTAGTGAAACCAAGAAGACGCCTCAAGAGTTGGAAACAGGAAGACAAGAGGCTGGGACGATGAAATAGCGGTGGCTGGTCTGGAGCTCTCTCCACCTTCGTGATCCACCACGTCTTCCTTTCCAATCTGATTAATCAGAGCAATGAGGGTTGCCTTCCACTAGACTTATTTCGAGTTCGATCCCGTCATCTATTTTTGCCGCTCCCGCTGTGCATGCTTTCAGCTGCACGAGGACCTGCGTCATTGCACGTTTCTGCAAAATCCTAGCGTCATGGCTCCCAACGGTTTGAAGCATTTATCCAACGCCCTGGCGACGCCCGATCAACTGTCCAACTCTTCGTCCTCGATCGACAATGTCCCATCTGACCTCGAAACCTCTATTCGGTGCGCGGGCGCCCAGCTAACTCAAGCCGCTGGGGTGCTCCTACACCTGTCGCAAGATATAATTGCCCAGGCGGTCGTGATCTTCACGCGTTTTTGGCTTGGCGCTGATGGGGGTAGCTTGCGAATCTACTCAGTCAAGGTAGGACCAGCTCCAGGCATCCATATCAATTCTGATCCACTGACCGGAGCAGGATGTGTCCGCCGCAGCCTTGTACCTGACAGCTAAGCTTTCTTTCCAACCAACTTCGCCACGCTCCGTCCTCAACGTCTACACATTCCTCCTATCGCAAGACGCGTCACCCTTGTGGTTTGTGAAACAGAGCGGAGCTCCGGAGACCCCTCCATCCCCCGAAACCTATATCCTGTCCGAGGGAGGCTACCAGTCCGCGCGGCTCGTCCTCCTCCGCACCGAAACGAGTATCCTCCGTACTCTCGGCTTTGATACACATGTTGCTCTACCACACACCATCGCTTTGACCTATCTTCAAACTTTGGGTGTGGTAAAGCCCGCTGTGGCTCGACGGGTCATCCAGCACCTTAATGCGGCGTTGCTCTCGCCCCAGCTTCTTTATGTCACCCACCAACCAAATGCCCTGGCTGTGGCTGCCATCTACCTCGCTTCGCGGGAGGAGGAGGTCAAGCTTGTGGACGGCGAGTGGTGGGAAGTCTTTGATGTCGATCGCGAAGAGCTCGGCTTTTTGGTTGTAGGTATGAAGAGTACAGAAGGCTTCATGCGAGCGGAGGTCATTCGGTGGAAGAACAAAGCTATTCCAATGGTAGTAGATGAAGTGGATGCCGAAATTGAGCGACGCCGAATGATGGAGGAGGGTGAATGAAAGTGCTTTGATTTGCCGAGAACATCATATTCCAAGATCAAAAGTCTACTATGAAAGATGTTCTGGTAGAAGCTAGCAAGCCATCTACTAGAACATTCACCACAGGATGGCAGGCATTCTACCTATCGGCAGAAGGCCGGCCTCACAGTCAAAAAAGGCTTGCGATATCCTGCTCCGCGCCCAGAAGGAATCCAAGCAACGACACCCAACACTAAACGGCCTTGTCTCTGCGGTGGCCAAACAGGCGGTTGGAAAATTAGCTGCTTCCACGGCTTAGTCGATTGCCAGGGAGCTCTGTTGCTGTCAAGCTGAACCTATATGTTATATACATCTTCTCTTGTGGCCGTAACAATCAAAGTAGATGTATGAATAATATTTCAGAACTCAGCTGACAAGATAGCTAGATAAATTGCTGATCATAACTGAACGACATAGATGCTTCCATCCTACTCCATCTGCTCCGCTCGAGAAACACCGTCAACAGCTTGGTGATGTTGTCCTCCAATCGGCGCTCCACATTCAGGACATTTCGCTAGCTCCATCGGCATACCACATTCGCCGATGGCAAACTTAAGAAAAACAGAAAATGTTAGCTTGATATCTCAATAGAAGGAAGACGTTGAATATTTGGCAAATCAAACTCACAGGATGTCCGTTGATACAATTGTACCAGTGCCCAGAGTTCGTCGCCAGGCCTCCTCGCCCGCCAACCATGGCAATCTTGATGGATGCAAGTTCCTCTGGCGTGACCTCTTCGTATTGAGCGCCTTCGAATAGGCGAATCATCTCCAGGACTTTCTCTCGAAGCTCCTCACAATTACCCAACTGATCGCATAGATGCAAAGCATCGGCAAGGAACTCACGTGCCGTATTCCTGCGGTTCTCATGAGATTCTAACCCGGTGCCCTCCCGTACTTTTTCATCGGGTTTTTCCTTTCCGGGTACTGGGTGAGTGCGACGGCACCATCCGAACAGTTCGGATATCTTAGCAAATGCGAGGGTTGCCGTGATGACAATACGGAAGAGGCTCGCGCCCTTGGCTTGAATGATCAAGTTCTGGCAGTCCTTCAGAAACGGTATGGTGATCTGGTTGAGCTGAACAATCAAAAATGCCTCCTCAATCTTTGCCTTCGAATTCAAAAGTCTGGACATATCGTGAAGAACGAATTCTCGGGCATTGATAGAGATTAATCGTGCCCCAAGAGTTATCTGGTTGTCAGGTGTTGGTGTGGATATTCTCAGTCTTTCAAGTTGACTGGAAATAGAGACAGATTCGTCTTCTGATTTCTGGCCCAAAGCAATAGCATCCTTGAGCAGCTTCGTCGGTTGATGCTCTGTATCCATCGTTTTACTGAGGACCACAGCTTCCTTTGCAACTTTGTAAAAGGCATAATATCTTGCGCCGATCTGTCCTTTGGTAAGGCAGCTCGGGCTCACCTTCGCATCTTTAGCAACAAGCGCGTCTGCGAGGGAATTCAAACGAGAATCAAGGGCTTCAAGGTCCATGCGTCCTTTGGTCAAGAACCGCTTGCATGTTTCGTCCATAGCAGCTCGATTGATGACACGATTGTATCGCTTTGTTACGAACTGACGAATGGGCTGTTTGCAATCAGGACACGATGGTATGGTGCTAGCAAGAGCAGCAGAGATATCCCAGAGGCCGTCGAACTTGCCAGATCCATCTCTTGTGTAGACATCATCTAGGCCGACTACACCATCGACCGACTCACTGGTAAAGAAATGACCGCACCCGAGCACGACAATTGGAGTCTCATCGAGGTTGATTTCAGAATAAGATTTCCATTCAAGAAAATCAACACGCGCGTCTGGCTTGTCGCCGCATTCTTGGCATAGACCACTTGGGCAGTCCTCTCCGCAAAGGCTCGGGCACTGATGACCGCAGTCGAGAATTTCGGTGCAGCGCTCATCACACGGAAGTCGATCGCATGGTGCTGCACAAGGCATTGAACAGGATCCTTGATGAGGACAGACCCAAGTGCATCTCTCGATGCACGGTGCACATGCCTTTCCGCAGGGGGAGTCACAGGCTGAGTGTGAGCACCGAACCTTTTTTTGGTGTTAGCATGATACACGAATAGTCGGCTACATAAGCAGAAATCTAGTCTCACCTCGCACTTGGCTTCACAATTCCCACACTTTTCACCAATATGGCATACCTTGAGGCATCTGTGATTGCAGACGCCATGTGGCCGATCGCATTTTTTCATACATTTTGGATGATCAAACGACACTTCGCCGTTTTCGCCTCTCTCTAAGCACCCCCCACAGACACCTCCACAGTTGTGACCACATCCCAGGATCTTGGTGCATGGCTCAGTGCATCTGAAAATCTCGGACGTGACATCAACAAAGCAGGCGAGTCGGAGAACATGGCCACACTTATTAACAGTCTTTTCGGTTTTGACATAGCACTTAATGGATTCCAAGTTGCGCATCTGGTGGCACATGAGCGTCTGGGCATGGCCACAAGGAAGCATCATATCGGGAATTTTGACCATACAGGGACCACACTTTATACCACAGAGCTTAGGGCATACATGGTCACAGGTCTCTCGAATTCGAGGACAAGGCTTGCAGCATGCAAAACCGTTGTGCATAAAAGATGAATGGCATTTTGCCTGGCATTGGTGGCCACATGGCTCCAGACGACGGGTACATGGAAGATTACACCCACCTTCAGGGCTCTTTCTCTCAAATTCTTGAGGCTCAGAACAGAGGATAGGTACTTCTGGGTGGCGGGGGCAGCATAGGGCTAGTTCCGTGCCGACTGCGTTCGTTTGCGCGAGCTGAGCGTGAACTTCAGCCCACATCGGGACATTGAGGTAGGTCTCAGAATTTCCGATCAGGTACATCCCGTGCTGTGCTCGACTGAGAAGCACATTGATACGGTTCTCGGTACGTAGAAAGCCAACTTGGCATTTCATGTTGCTCTGAACTAGGGAGACGACGATCACCTTTGCCTCTTCGCCTTGGAAGTTATCAACGGTAGCAAGGCGGAGCGTCTGAAGAAGCGTTTTCCTCTCGATGATTTTGTGAGATCCTGCTTGGGGAGACTCATCTGTATCCACTCCGAGCCCTTCGGCTACTAAGGTCTCCAAATCCCGCTCGCTGAGACAGATCTCGAAATCTTTGCTGAGCGATGCCCTAAGCTTTCGCAGTTGACCAGTATAGGGAGTCAGCAATGCAATATCCTTGCTGCTGTACTCTCCCTGTCGGACAAGATGGCGCACAAGAGCGGTCGCTATGTCAACCTCCCACTGATTGCTGTGCGACTTCACACGAATACTGTCTCCTCGTGTGTCTTCATCGTGTTGATGATCTAACCAGAAGACGTTCTCACACATTCCAACGACGTTAGGTAGATTTATCACGCTCTCGTGATCTTGCAGCTTTGGATAGACTCTTCTAATGAGCTGCGAAATCTCGGGTCTCATTCTTCGCTGTATATTGAGTCGTGCAACAGGCGCAGGATTCAGGCCTGGCTCGCCGACGGCACGCCTCTCAAATTGGCTGCGGTCCAACTGCCAGGCTTTTCCTGATGATGACTCAAGGCTAAGCGAGTAGTTTTGAATTTGAGGCCGTAGCTGTCGATGATCGCCAATCTGGATAAAGTGTTCCACGCCCGGCATGAGGGAGGAGATGATATGGGCCTCCATCACCTCGGCTGCCTCCTCACAAATGATGACTTTTGCACCTATGCGGCGTAATGTGTCGATGTTTCGCGCGAGGGATGTTGTCGTGATACCTACAACATCGGCTTGAATCAGGGCTCTTCGGTTGATTTCTTCGTGGACGGCGTGTATTTCTCCACGCAAATCCTCAGCGCTCTTGACTGCTTCGAATAGTGAAGTACTCTCGTTTTCACACCATTGCTCAAACCAGCTCATTGCAAGAATTTGGCGCTCTGACTTTGAGAGATCATAGATATTTCGCTCGGCAATTCGTGTCAGGTTCTCGAAGAGCTCATCAGCAGCCTCATTCAGATCCTCGGTTTTCGAGCAATTCATCAATTTGACTTCCAGCCAGTTTAATAGAGGATCGTCAATGATCGTTTCGAATCCCTCCTCATCTATCGGATTCAACTGTCTGTGTATCATGGGCCACTTGAGGCGCAAAAAGTTCTGCATTCCTTTCCAGGTTGGGCCCTTTCGAGACTGATGTAGAGGTTTCATTGAATATCCGGCGATTTTCATGCATTCCTCCAGCTCACTGTAAGTTTTGCCGAGGGTCTGTGACTCTACTCTTGTCTTGCTGATGTTGCTGCTAACATCACGAAGATTCTTGCCTTCGAGCTCGGTAGCCTGACTGCGGCTGCCAATACGTATGACCTTCTGGATATCGACAGCAAGAATATGCTTCAAGAATTGGTCCAAGGCATGATTGGTGTAACACCTACAGTAAAGTTAGCCATATAGTATAGGTCGAAGTTGTGTAAAACAATACTTACATCACGATAATTGGACCCAGATTTGCGCTTGCTTTGATAGCGAGAAGGACCTGAACAATCTTGACCCCAACATGGGACTTTCCCGTGCCCGGCGGGCCTTGAATCATGGCATATTCTCGTGTGAGGGCAGCAACAAGTCCCTGACACTGGCCAATGTCGAGACCAGTCAAAGCTTCCAGCTCTTTGATGTCAAGGGAATCTGGGGAAATGGGGTCTAGTTTGATATCTTGAGTTCGATCTTTGGTGATTGGAAGGAATGGAAATGCAAATCCCGGTTTTCGGGCGTATGCAGGTGAAGGTATATTGATACCTCTTTCATCCCCGTCCCGGCCTGGCAAAATCCATTTTTGGAATGCCAACTCCCCCTCGCGCTGAACACGCTGCAGATTTCTCAGGATCGGGGCAAATGTTGCAGGAATGAGGCCGGGGAAGCCGACCAGGGTGCCTGTGATTTTCCTGCTGTAGATCTGGCTGAGGAGATTCAGTTCTTGCTGCAAACATACGGCGAGCTTCACTGTGATGCTAGGGGGATATCGATCGGAGACAAGGGTGCTTTTTTCCTTGTCGTTTTTCTCTTGGGAGGAACACTTGGCCGTCACTTCCAGAAAGAGCAACCTTTGTTGGGTTCCTTCAGAAGTCAAGAAGCACACCAGACTCCCTTCTTCCAGTCGGTTGGAATCTTTCCACCATCTGCATTGCTCTGCAGGAGACTTTTTGCGCAGTTGCGGCGGGGCAGAGAAGGATACTGTCGCTTCAAGCTCATTTTTTCCATTAACGAAGACATGCTGAACATTTGATGCCGTGTAGATATGCGCCCTTGTGTCCTTGTCCGATAGGTGGGGGTTGGGACAGTCTTGTTGCAGTAGATCTCGAAGCACATCTTTGACAGAACCGAAGATGTCATGGCGCAGAAGTCGGAATGTGGAGTCCACGTATCGTAGCATAGGATCCGCGATGAAGTGCGGCTGAGAAAAATTGGTGGATGGTAGATATTCCGAGTTGTCACTAACAATTTCTCCTTGTGTCGGAAGAATCCGAATCTGCGAGATTTCTGCAAGGTCATTGTCGTGTCTGCCACCAGGGATTTCCATATCCATTGGAAACGTCGATTGAGCTAGCCTAGCCCCGGTCCTGTGGATGGTCTCTTCGGGTACTGGTACTATGGCTGGAACAAGACTGCGGTGTGCGCTTGCGACCACATTTCGCATGACTTCTATTCTGTTTTCAAGCGCCTCGAGGTCGGCCTTGGAGCATACTTCGGTCATTTTGTGGACCAATTCGTCCAATGACCCGAGAAGTGAAGGGAGGTCATCATGGAGGTGTGCCCGTCGGACCCTGCGCAGAAGCTGATACAGGGAATTCAACAACAACTTCACCATTTCTGGAGTGACAAGAGTCCAATCATTGCCATTTCGCTCACAGCTGTTTATCATGAAACGACAAACGCTTTCCAAAAACCCGATTGCTCGATCTCCATTCGGGCCGCCGAAGGTTGCGTACATGGTGCCAACAAATGAATCAACGGAGAGACAATCCAAGAGGGAAGGATGGGTAATGACTTTGAGAAATGGCTCAACATAGACAGGAATACGGCGACTCCAATCTTGGCCGGTGGTATCAATAGTTGCCAGGATGAACCCGTGTCCATCAAGGGCATCATCCACGAGGTCTCTGACAAGGAGCTGCTGGTCCCCTGTATTTCCACTATCAAGTATCTCAACCGCTCCTTCCCACAGTCGAAGGATCTCTTCTTGTCCTCCCCGGGATCTGACACCGATGGAATTCGTTCTCAGGATCTTTTTCCAGTCAAAGTATCGTTTCCGGGTGCTCGAATCATCAGTCGTAGGATTAGGTTCAGATCCGCTAGCTCTTGTCAGGTCGTGAGAGAACTTGCAAGTAGAGCCGTAAGTGCAATTTCCACGCTGGAATTGCCGGCAGATTTTGTCGCTTTGATGACGGGTCCCGAAGTTATTCGACCCGCCTCGCTTGCTGGTATGGCCTTCGCCTCGGAATCGCCAGTTTCCACGGTCAGCCATGATCGTAAAGGAGGTAATCTGAGTGAGTAGGGAAAAAGAGGACAGTAATTTACTAGAGAAGTAAGTTGCTGGCACCTAATTATATGGTATGGGGTATAGCAAATAGCCTGTATTTGCGAAGAGCAAACGCCGATATGCATCGTCCCCAGAATAATGTATCTTGTTTCCGGATGGCGAAGCAATCACGCTCGTTCCCGGCCTTAACCTCATGTATGCAGACAAGGTACTGATTCTTGCACCGCTATCCAGGCGATCTATCCTCATGTCCATACAATCTCCGCATCGTGGCCCTTTAATCCACGAGACCTGCCTCAATCTCGCTACCAACTCCCTCTTATTCTCGTGCTTACATTCACCTTCTTCTACATTTCCGAGACCTGTGGAAAGGAGAAAGGTACATTCTGCAACCCCTATTCTAGCGTAGACCGAATTTCCCATGGAAGGTTTGCTAGGTCAAGTGACTAGAAACGGAAATGAATCAGAAGATATATATACTCTGTATCGCTCGTCACGTTAACAGGGCCTCCGGAAAGTGATAGTCTTACATAAGCAGATATCATCACGTGCCACCATATCGGCTCAAAATGACGCTCACGCGGGGCGGATCATGTGCTCCACCGCTTATCATTTACCCCCGCCGCTTCTTCTGTATCTCTTTCTTCACCCTCACCTGTAAAACACAATGAATATCCTGCACTCTACATTGTCAACTTGGCGGGACCGCCTGGCCCCGGTATCGCGCACTTCTACCTTCCGTAACACCGGCCAAATCACTCCCGAGGAGTTTGTTCTCGCCGGAGATTATCTAGTCTACAAGTTCCCCACATGGTCATGGGCCGACGCATCGAGTCCGGCAAAACGAGTCTCCTACCTCCCAGATGGCAAGCAGTTTCTGGTTACTCGTGGAGTACCATGCCATCGGAGACTGAACGACAACTTTGCCGGGGATGCAGGACTCGAGGATGAGATTGTGAGGGATTTCCTATCTGGCGGTGACGGCGAAGGCACACCGGATAATGGAGAGGATGGATGGTTGCGGACTGGCGGTGGGCGTGATGCTGGGGCAGATCATGATAAGCAAGAAGCTCGGATCCGCGACGTGCGAACCGTCGATGAATCCGGGAATCTGGGCGAGCAGGAGGAGGAGGATGATATCCCCGATATGGAGGATGATGACGATGACGATGAAGCTATCATCCGAGAGACCGATAATCATTCAGGGACACAGTGAGTGCCATTTTCCTATCTGCAACATCACCTTTCTCTTTTCTAACCGTGACTTGTTATCGCTCCAGATCTCTCCGCACGTACACCCTTTACATTACATACTCAAACTTCTACCGCACACCCCGCCTCTACCTGTCCGGCTATTTGTCGCCATCCGAACCGCTTCCGCCACATCTGATGATGGAGGATATTGTCGGCGACTACAAAGACAAGACCGTGACGCTAGAGGACTTCCCATGGTTCGAGGGCAGCGTCAAGATGGCCAGTGTACACCCATGCCGCCACGCCTCTGTGATGAAGACACTCTTGGATCGTGCCGATGCCGCACTCAAGCTTCGCCGTGACAAGCTCAAACAGACGCAGTCGCGCGAGGAAGCGAACCGCGTTCTCCGGGCAGGCGGCGGGCTGGAGGGCTTGGTGGATGAGACCAACAACCTGTCGCTCGGGGACTCCAACAACGGACATCCTGGCGGGGATGAGTGGGAGATGCTGCAACATGACGAGGAAGAACAGGTCGCGATCCGTGTAGACCAGTACCTGGTTGTGTTCCTCAAGTTCATTGCCAGTGTGACGCCGGGCATTGAGCACGACTTTACGATGGGGGTATAATTTCTTTGAATTGATCCAGACTCGTCTTATCCGATCTTTCCCACGCACACCTATATTTCTGAGCTAATTGGATTGGATAATGGCTGGGATCTGGCGGCCTGCCCCCTTTCGAAATTCGATATGCATGATCTTACATGAGTTTGGCGTTAATCTGCTTCTAGGCGCATGGTTAATATCCTTTTCCCCATCCTTGGGTTGCTTTTGCTGTGTATTATGTTTGGTAGCTTGGGATGGGATTCCCATTGCAATTTTACTACAATTTGTGAAGATACCAGAGTAGACATATCGTGTTGAAATTATATAATAGTCCCTAGCATTCCCGAAGTAGGACCACGGGGAATCAAAGGCTGAGCTCGGGATGAACAGGGAGATCCATGCATTATATCCCACCCATAGATGTATGTAATGTGACTGTGACTACCCTCAAATTTGGGCATATTTCCAGCTCTTTGCAATTCTATCAAATCAAAATCGCAATAATCATGCCCTGGCTTGTAGACTGCTTCAATGAGCATCAAAACGAATGATGTATCCAGGCTCTGGCTGTCCTAGAGGTAAAAAAAGGCAAGAGCGACCTTGAGGGTCAGTGTCCCATTTGGGAAGGTACGTGTTCCTGGGAGTATAAAAGGGCCCCTCCCCCCATTTTTCCTCTTCTCTTCTTCTTCTCCTCTCCCCATCCTTCTGAACACCATCTCACCGTAGCCCCCACGAGACAGCGCAGGCAGAGGGTCCCGTAGCACATGCTGCTTGACCTACCACAGGGACCATAACATTACCATGTTTGTTATGAGGTTCATGTGGGTCTGCACCACACATCAAACCGGGCTTTCTCGTGGATGTTCCTGAAGTCGTGGCTCTCATTGCCATTTGACGAGTCCCACGGAATACATGAGGGGTGTAAATCTCCGTAGCCGACGACGCGTAGGTTCGAGTCATCGTACACTAGTCACCTAGGTACAAGGCAAATGATTACCTTATCGGTGCTTACACTGCTAAGACCCAGATAGATTGCCTAGGACATCTCATGTGTTGAAATTAATGCCTGGCTATCCAACTGCTCGTTTTTTGCCCACAGCTCACGACCCATTTTTGGATACATTAGGGTATCCCGAGCTGGAAACACTATAAAGCATTGGGATGTATACGAATCGAATGACACATTCATAGGCAAAGTCCCATAAGATTGTGCATTCGAAGTGATGCTAGTAGATGTGAAATATATAATGCAGAGGGAGATTCAGGTTTGAATCTGTCATGCTCTGCAGGAGTCTCCTATTCGAGTTATGAGATATATATCTCACATATTGATAGCATCTTCAGATATCATATGCTGCTTACTCTACTTATACGGAAACTCTACAAAGTCCAGAGCTGCCTAATCGATGTCCAATGCAATTTATATTATAGCTTTCTCGTTTTTGTTACCAGGCTTTTCAGGTGGTCCATTTATGGAGACTGATGAGGTCTCGGGACACTCACTACATTTAGGTAATCTTCCGAGCATATATTCAGGCGAAATTAGAGAATCCGAAATCTACTACTACATGGAAACCGGTAGTGTATCATCAGAGTAATATATTCTAAGTGATAATAACAATATCAAAAGCTGCATTAACAAGTAACAGCGAACCATAAGAACGCCGAATAGTGCAAAGCACTACCAGACGCCCAAAGTGAACAACCATCAGCAGCAGTAATACACAAGATCCAAAAAAGAGTAAGTAATAAAGATCGGCCCTCACAAACGAGCACAGAAGATACAAATAATCCGTGGGTGAGTACACCAGCCGACGAAGACAAATTATAAAAAGAAAAGAAAAACAGGAAGAATACAGCCGCGAAAAACAAGAAATGCATGCAAAGGTCCGATCAATCATTAGATAGACCAACCACATCGTTAACAGATGGATGGATGGTATCTATCCGGGTCGTTTCCGCCATTTTTTATCGTGTTCGTCTGATGAAGCAGGAGCTTAGTTGAAGAAAGCCAGGATAACGGGGAGAGCGAGTGCGAGGACGGATCCGGGGACCAGAGATGAGCCGGCGTTGAAGACGGGCGCGACGGGTGCGGAAGGCACAGCGGAAGGTGAGGTTGATGCGGTGGGTGCCGCGGGGTGGATCAGAGGGATGGAGACGGAGGGGGCCCAGGTAGCCGGAGCGGTAGTGAGAGGAGCGTAGATGGGGGTGGTGAAGGTGGGAGGGAGGATAGTGGGGACGTCAGACCAGGTAGGAGGGTTGGTCTGAGCAGGGGGAGTGACAGTCTCGGTGGGAGTGGTGGTAGTAGTGGTGGGCACGACAACAGCAGGGGTGGTCCAAGTGGTGGTGGGCACAACGACAACGGCGGGAGGAGTGGTAGTGGTTGTGGGAACAACGACGATGGCAGGAGCAGTAGTAGTAGGGACGACGACAACGGGAGGCTCAGGGCAAGGGTAGCCGCCCTGGTGGTCGTGAACGCCATTGCCGACGTTGACGCTAGGACCGCCGGGGATACCGACATTGACACCGGCGCCGGCGCTGTAGTCATCGCCTGAGCCAGGGCCGCAGGGGCCGCGGTGGATGTCCTGGAATCCGGCACCGGCGTTCACAGAGGGACCGCCGGGGATGCCGACTTTGACGCCGCTGCCAGCCGAAGTCTCGCTGTTGTCTGGGCCCTGGTGGGTGGTCTCAGGGCCGTGGTTGACGATCTCGGGGAATGGGGCAGCTCCGAGAGCGGGCAGCTGGGGAGCAGAGAGGACGGTGGCAGGGCCGAGAGCAAGGACGAGGCACATGAGGCCGGAGAAGTTGATAGTAGTGGAGACCATTGTTGCGGTAGGATTTTTGTGCTGTTGGTTTGGAAGAGGAAGTAGTTGATTAAAGGCGAGAACTGAAAGTTGATGAAAGAGAGTTGCGAAAGAGAGATGAGGGAATGACTGTTTAGAGACTGTGATGCTTGATGAAGAACAGAAGAGGAGGCGTGAACAATGATCCTTATGTACTTTTCGGCATCCATACAAAGTGTACACTTGAACAGTATGGTAATGAGAGCCAAGGCTATCCAGGACCAGATGGAAGATCGCTGCAAGGCACGAACTTCCTTGGCCCTAATCTTAGAAAAGCCACAAGGTCGGTGATCTGCAAGGCACAAAGTCAACGGCAGCTACCAAGACAAGAGATCGTGAGAGACATCATGTCTCAAAGGATCTGAAACATATAATTAGCGGAAATTGGGGCATCCAAGCAATATGGTTCGATAGTAAGGAGTTACAGCTCTGTCGAGAGACTAGATGTGCCTGAGCGAGCAGCGTAAAGCTTATGCACGAGCTCTAGCCTCTTAGCTATTTTAGCTCAGCTAGGACAGACAGTATTGGCGGGATCCTCCCGTATGGGATGCAGATGGGCTGCTATGGGAGTACGAAAACACGTGCCGCCGAATGGGGAAGAAAGGTTGTATGGATGCAAGGGATAATAGCCAATCAGGCACAGAGACACTAAGATCCCTCTCTGCTAGAGACTTTCCAAGGAGCCAATCAGGATATTGGATTAAGACTGAGTGCAGAAATAACACGCAAGGCACTCCAACACAGGTGAGTCCAAATGCAACTTGCTAGGGCTGTTGCCTGTTACCTGTCAAGTCAGGTAACCCCAGAAACGAAGACTGAAAGAAATCCGAAATAATTGAAACAAATGGGGTTGTATTGCACATATCGGCATAGATCATAAGCTCGTAAGGTATTTCGCCAGAAGGGAGAAAGAAGCTAAAGAAAAGTACAGCATCAAACGGATGATGCTAAGAAGTATAGAAAACATGAAGAAATGCAAAATAGACATAGTAGGACTTCACACACAGAGCACAAAGATCCAAGCATAGATGGGAAATATGTGCGTCCTTAGACTTGACCCGGGTTCGATATCCCGAATGCAGTGCCGAAATTAGTTGATTGCTTGAACCTGATTTCAGGCTGTTGGTCTTGGTCAGGGAACTCAGATTCAGAATCAGACTCATTAGGATCAGCCGATTCAACCGAGCTTCCCAGGATATTTTTTGCTTCAACTAGGAGTTTCTGATTCAGTTGATCTAAAAACTTGGAGTCATGCTCCTCATCATTAATCAAACCGAGAGGCCCCTTCAAACCGGGGTCATCTGGCACATCCGGAAAGTAGGAGACCTTATTTTCGGAGGGTTGATGAACTTCCGTTGTCACGGGCGCAAGAGGGGCGTCCTCAAGCTCGGGAGCAACCTCGAGGGGAGACCCCGGCTGGGTGGACCGACTATCATCGGCGTCGATGATCGCCATCGGGGTGTGACCTGCATGGCGGAGCAAGTTCTCATTGGGCGGGCCAAGCTCTGACAGCTTCAGTCTGAGACTAGCTCGATGTTCCATAGGAGGCCTTGCAGCGGTGGTAGGGGCAATTCCAGGGGAGGTTCCCAGGGGCGATGGGGAGGGCGGGGTGATCACTCGAGCTACTACGGCAGGTGGCAGCGCCGTGGACTTGAGCGTGATGCCGTCCAAGGTTCTGTCAAGCTTTTCGATCGGCACCGGCAGACTCACAGTCGGTCCAGAAGCGTCTACTGGTCGCGACCGGGGCGAGAGGGCCCGATCAAGGGATGGTGGATCCCCACTTTCGGAGGTTGGCGATAGATAGCTTTGGTCTGGCGATTCATGATCGAAGAACACCCTTGTTGGCCGCGTGCCTGGACTAGTCCCCTCCCACACCTGCGCTGCGAAGCCACTTGTGTTAAACTGCGGTATTCCACCCGCAAGCACATGTTTGACGGCTTCCGATCCCAATTGGTTTGTTCTGTTCCCGTGACTCTTCACGAACGCCTCCAGCTCGGCGATTTTTGATCGCAGCAGCGCGCGCTCTTTCTCCCACAACCGTCGTTCCTGTGCGAACAATTCTCTCTCCGTCTCGAAATTCACCCGTTGGCTGTGAAGAAGCGATCGCGATTGGTCGATATAGGACGTCTCCATAGCGAACGAATTCACCAACACCGAGTCTTGCAATGCGGTTTGGCCGTAGCCTGAAGGGACATGAGGAAACGTGGCTGAAACGGATTTTGTGCGACGTAGTGGTTCGGTCGGAGAGAAGCGCACTTCTTTGTAGAGACTCCCATGGCCGTCTAGTAATTTGGTCGACTTCATGTCTGAAATGTGGGTTTCTCTCGGTGGGCGCAAATCCGCAGATAAGGGGTCTGTTAGGGATAAACACGCTAGTAGCGTGGGATAGTCCAGTGCCCAACCTGCAGAGCTTCGGCTTTCCACGTCGAGACCAGTCGAGTTCCTAAAAGCGGTCAATGAGTTCACGCTCCATCTAATGGGATTTCATGCGAGGTTCCCGATACGGCACATGTCAAGTCTGCGGTGAATGGACACTGGTTGGGCAGGTTTGGGATTTGGGTAGCTTTTAGGTATGAAGGCCCCATATGAGAGGGGGAGATGTTAGACTAGATCGTGAATATCCACACAGATTCTGGGGAAATGCAGTTACAGGAAAGGGGCAAAAGGGAAACACCTGGCCAAGTTCCAAAAAGCAATGTGAATGGAAGCATCTGATCACATTTTATGACGTCAAAGGGGCTGGAATAGGAAATGTCATTAATAAGATGATGTAGGGTGAGTCGGAAGATGATACATTAAGTTGAGAGTATATTAGAGCCATCTATGTAAGTAATATATAACAGACAACCGGGCAACAAACATAATAGATCCGTCTATAAGCTGCCATGGACCAAATTAGTATAAAGAAGAATGAAAGAAGAATGGAGAGTGTCGAAAGGAGCCCGCCCAACGCCGTTTGCGCCAAAGATGTGCCACATTAGCCATTATAATCAGCGCTCAGACGTCATGACGCAGGCTAAAAGATGCAAAAACAAAGGATATCAAAGACACAAGTTGTAAAAGGAGAGGGAAATCCCTCAGAGAACAGACGAGGTGGGCCGCAGCCGGCTTGGCACCATTTGTTTCTTGAAATCCAAAGACCAAGCAGAACACCCCTTAATAGACCGATCCGACTGTCTCATCGGCGACCGACTGCGCCAAACAAACTGCTGCGCCTCATCCAGCAGATGCTGATCGCCATTCGGCAACGGATAGAAGCTGACATCTTTGCACAAAGCGCCAAAGCGCGTCGCAAGGTCGAATACCCCCCGGGCCGTGAGATCCCGACCACCCACGTTCGCAGACGGATAATAGTAGCGTGGATCGAGATAAAGCAGCACGCTATTCCACATCGGAAGCTTCTCGGATAGAAGCCGTCCCGCGGCCTCGTATTGTTTTAGCGTGCGCTTCGGCACGCCGGTCTGCGTGTGCACGAAGAAGAAGATCTCGAAGCCGACGCTGCGGATGCGGGCGCGGGCGGTTGCGCTGAGCGTGTCCAGGAACTCTGCTAATCGGTCGAGATTGAAGGAGTTGCGGAGGAAGAGCGTGTGTGTTGAGTATAGATAGTCTTCGGCTTCGTCGTGGAGTTGGCGGTTCACCGCTAATAGCTTGCGCGCGGTGCCGTCTTCGCCAACCCAGTGAGGACTCATTGAGATTGCGCGGTATTGGCCGCGAGCTGTGAAGGTGTTGCCGTGATCGGCGAGCACGATCATTGGCTTGCTGACTAGGTAATCATTGGGTACGTCTAGTGCATATTCGTAGATCTTGAGCCGGAGTTCGGCTGGGAGTTGGAGGAGCCGCGATGGTGATGTCGATGTTGGAGTCGGAGTTGGCCTCATAGCTGCTTAGCTAGAAGAAAGAATGAATGTCGAGCTTCTTGCGAAATACGGCTGTTGATCCGATTTAAAAGGCAGTGGTACCACTCGGGTGTATACGTCGCCACCGCGAGAAATTTTTCGATTCGTCGGAAAAAGTCAATGCGGAATAAAAATAGAGGTCTGTACTTTGGACACAGTACTCCTAGATGGCCTTGCATCCCGAGAATGCAAAGAATCAGACCATGCCGACCTATGATACGAGGTGCCGAGTATCTGATCGGCATCTCGATGCCTATAGATATCGCAGCCACCACGTATACTTCACCGCATGTTACAATCCCGATCAAGCTACGGAGTACAGCAGGAAGCTTACTAGGACAGGTATGCTTTGCCAGATTTTGATATGATAACCATGGAACTTTAGTTGTATGAGTCAATCAATGTTGTCCTTAGTGACGGTATTAGGATCCGATATTCGGAGTATAGAAAAGTCATCTGTCTTTCTTACATTCCTTTTTGCTTTAGACCTATGACTAGCTGTATTAGATATGAGGCAAGGAGAAACAACGCCAAGCAACGTTGAGGACTTTCCCAACACACGTGCAATCGATTTGCTCTAGGCCTCAAGTCCTCCTAGGCAACATGTAAGAAGTAGATTGCCATGGACCCATCTCTGCAACATGCAAGTATGGGTCGAGTATAGGAAAAGATGATGCAAAGCTATCATTCATTGTGTCATTCTCTACTAAGTTAATTATCTTTTCTCTATGTTGCAGTGAATGTTCGTACCTTCCGAAGTTATACATATATACTTCGTACAGATGTCACCGCCTAGTGATATCTGGCGAATCTTCCCCCAAGGCTTCATCGTCTGTTCCAAGGCCATGGAGCACATTCAAATAGTCATTCTACAATAATAAACTTGAAATTAGTTAATGCCGACGTCCAAGTCTCCATTGCCGACTGAATCAAAAACATATCCGCAAGGGGCCAACTTAACGGTATCAGCAGCCATCCAATCCCATCAGTCACTTCTACTGCCCCTTTTCTGTAGCAGACTTTGCTAAGAGATAGCATAACTAACCTGATACGGAAAGATGGTGCGAGCCCAGGCCTATCAGGCTCTTTGGGCAGGAAAAAGTGCCCAGCCTATGTATGTAACCCAAGAAATATAGTTACCAGTAGTCGATTGGATCATCCACAGCCAAGCAAAAAGCCGAGTCTCCAATCTCCAAAAATTCAAGATGCAATCTATTTGCTATGGAAAACTGTCCGAAAATAGGAATAATGAAGTTCCCGGATCATCGCTGTCTATACACACCCAGTGACCAAGCTGCCCGCAGAACAGCCAGACCCCAAGCCATGCCGATACTATCTCGTAAGACATTCAATTTGCTACCCTTAACCTCCCTCCACCCGACAGGAACCTCGGCCACAGGGATCCGAGCGAACTCAGCCAGCATGAGCATCTCGACATCAAAGATCCAGCCCTCGGAATGCATGTACGGCACGATGTAAGGTAGGGCACTGCGGGAGAACAGCTTGAACCCGCACTGCGTATCCTTGACAGTAGCCGTTTTAGGAGGCGTCATAAGCCACAGGATCAAATGGAACGAGTGCATCAAGAAGTTTCGAAGCTTGGATCGCTATCGAGCAGTCAGTAATCAATCGCAAGCCTTCCACAACCCACAACCCAGATATCAAATCCCCATACCTTAACCACAGCCTCACTCCCAACCATATGCGCCCGCGACCCAACAGCAACCGCGCGCCCCTTCGCATCCTCCACATCCCGACAAGCCCCAACAAGCTTCCCCAGATCCCCGAATTTGCTCGCCCCATCCGCATCCGCAAAGACAACATACTGCCCCCGGACATGGCGCATACCGTGCGTGACCGCGCCGCCCTTGCCGCGGTTATGCGTCAAGGTCACGACGCGGATCGTGCCAGACGGGATATGAACGCCCTCCGCAGCCTGCGGCGTCCACGGACCCGCGTGTCCCTTGGGGTGGAGAGAGAGCTGGTGGTCGCGCGCGAACCGGAATGCCACTTCCTCCGTGCGGTCTGTGGACCCGTCCGAGACAAGGATGATCTCCCAGCCGCGGTCTGAGGCCGGGCCCGCGGCGTCGCTGGTGGTATCCGCGTTCGGCTTGCGTTTGCGCATTGAGCGCGTCTCCATTGTAACTGGGGTGCTGGCCCTGGCGAGGGCGCTGGCCGTGTCCCCGTACATCTGCTCCAGGTAGTTGACGGCTTCCTCCAGCATGCCGGTTAACCGGTCTTCCTCGTTGTAGGCTGGTACTACGACGGACATGAATAGCTCGGCCGGTGCGATTGTGTGGGGTGTGCTCTTTTTGGTTTGGCTTTCGAGCCAGCAGGGTAGGGGTTCGGGGTCTGTCACGGATCCATCTTTGGCGAGGGTTCTATACTTCTTTTCTTCTGGGAGAGGTTTTCGAGGGACTGGCGCAACGAAAAATATAAATAATGAGAACTATGCGATAGCAAGCTGGTCAGTAACTTTCAATTGGGCTGCGCGTGTCTGGAGTGTCTCCGCGCGATCTGGTACAAGCGGAGTTGGGTAAACGTGGACTCACCAGGACAAATAGTCCTAGCAAAGTAACTAGGGCAGCGACGAGTAAGACCTGGACTGGGATTTCCACCGCAGTATTGACGCATTGGCGACAGACCTCGCCCCAAGCTGCCGCCATTGTAGAGAGTGACGAATTGGACGTCAGATGCGGAGACGGAAGAGGTGCGGATAGGGAGGGTGAGTGATGCCTGAAGGGAGAAGGCAAGCACTTAGGTCGGAGAGAGAAAGTGTTTATTCATAGAGGTAAAGCAGAATGATCCTCGCCATTTGAAAAGAGAGAGGGCGCAGAAGGGAGGGGAGGAATGTTGTAAGTCGATAGTCGCCAGCTTGTCCTTTTATCAGCAGCTCAACGCGCAAGCCAATAGATCCACATCTAGGAGCCACGCTGCGTAGACGCTCTATTTTTACAATGTTTACTTATTATAGGTTCTATTATGATCTATTTTTCATATTCTGTTACGGTTCGCGTATATTGTAGCTCATTTACCTCTTTATACGCGTTTACCGCGAATCGCATAGATCGGTCAGCTTGTAGAATGGACATTGGCTCATAAGAGCTGCTTCCTGCTCTATCACATTGCTCTTTTCTTTCTAGATATGCGTCTCGTAAATGTCCTTCAATGGACAAAGCTAGAAGACCGTCTGTAGCAAAAGAAATTGACCCGGAGAGAACATGATCATGGTGCCCGAACACTCTTTGCCGGCCCTGCTATACACAATCCATAAAACATCGTGAGTAATGAGACGGGGGAGAAGGACAAGGGGATTGACACTGAAAGCTTCCAATTTTAATTCAAATATTTTTGTTCTCTCATCTCAATTTTCCTTCTTCCTGCCATTTTTCCTCCCTAGTCTTGTGCCGGAGTCCTCTTTTATTCTCGCAGCAATCCTTCGCTCCACTGGCAAGTTTGAAACAACGCATCGAGAAGTCAGGGATGACTTCTTCCTAATAGCTCTGAATGTGCTCCTTCTGGATAGAAGAAGTCCGCAGTAACCCGAGTCCAGAAGGGATTGAAGCAGGCCTCTTGGCTTCTAACAAGACCAATCCAACTGCGGTGGAAACCGACTAGAAATGCTGGCCAGAGTTGGCAAGTAGTATGGAATCAGACGGATAGAAGAGCATTCCGGGACAGGGATCCTTTCCATAAATATGGCAATATATGCGACAATCCTTGGACGGTCCAGTCATTGGAGAGAGGTCCGGGTGGATGCAGGCCTTCCAGGACAGAAAGTAATCCGAGATCTGATATCTGTCGTATATGTAGTCCTGGCGACTCATGAATTTCCTGTCTGGTAATAACGCAAGAGAATGGTCCCTATCTGGCTTCGTGTATGGAAAGGACCGAGAGAACGATCTGAAGGCTTGAGCACTCCATTTCGAACAAGAAAAAAAAAGAAACTCTAAGGCTTGACCAGCGCGGATCTGTCAGGACGCGCAGCAACGTCGTAACGGAACCCACAGAAGTCCCCAGCTGCATTTTCAAACATCCTGCATTTCTTGATTGGAAGAAGGTAGCTCAATACCTAGTGTATTAGGATTGCCATAAACGTAAGCCGGTGATTCTGCCATTGACGCAAATTCCTCTGCCAATCGGGTGGGTGTGAACCGTCGCGTCTGATCGTATGTCATCCAGCGGGTGAACTAGTATGATGGTCAGTTTAACTGTGCTGATAGGAACAAGGGAGACAAACAGTTGCGATCCGCACTCCAAGCCAAAGACATCGGTGTTTTCTGGGAATGACTGTTGAAGGTTCTTCTGTTGATGGTCTGTTATCTTCTGTAAGAGCCCCATCGAAGAACCCTTCTGGGTAGTAAAGCCGGCTCCATGCCTGTCCTCTGATCAAAAAGTCCTCTGGTAGCTGGTGCGTAGTTGAATCGTCAAGAAGCGGGAATGATTCGTCTTCGATCTTCGAAATGATCGTGTCAGAGCCGAATAAGGTGTTTAGATAATTTGCAAGCAGGGACCACGGAACTAGCGGTTCTAGCCGTTGTATAGCAGCTGGGTTGAGTGTAAGAGACCACACAAATGCCATAGAGATATGTACACTCGGGTACATGTTGGGATCACCGACTTGCCCGAGCATCACAATTAACGTGTGAAATGCGAGAGAGCTCGCCCGGAATGCAAGCTGAGACGATAGGTCGCTATATGTGTCGGGAACGGGTATGTTCGCACCCGATGCCCACTTCATTGCTGTTAGGCGTTCTTCTGCCGTAGGATTGCGCGACTTCAATGTGAAATCTTTTTCCATCATTCCATTTTTGCTCCCATATTGAAGTATTGCGCAGATATTGCAAGACGTGAGTAGGACACCTTTCTGCCCGCGCACCCGGTTAATTTCCTTGCGTAGAATAGTAAGAAAACCCTTCTCCCGAGAAACGAATTCCTCAACCGGAGCTTGCATGAAAAGCGTACCGTGAGTAGTCACGAACGAGGTAATCAAATCCCCTTTTTGAGCTGGCATATTCATAAGAGGAGTGACCAGCTGAATCATGCTATCGAGAGCATTTGGGAAGGCGCGCACGCTGATCAATGCTTTCGTGTAGTGAAAAAACTGCTGCAGAATGTCCGGGCGAGCTAGAATAGCAAGATGGTGCTGAATACGGCCATTTTCCGGACTTCCGTCTGCGTCCTGGTTATACCAATACCTCGACACCCCTGCCCAGAGTTCACGGTCCTTCTTGTCGAATTCTTCCACCGCCATGCGGTACCGTGCCAAGTCACCCAAGCACTCGACCCAGGTTTTTCTAAAGTCTGGCACACTTTCAAGGAGCAGCGTTATCATCGAGTATGAGAGATAAATGAAGTCGAGCATATACTCCATCGAATCGGGGAGTTTCTGGCGTAACAGCTCTAGGAATGAATGCACGCCATAGCGCCACATGCGCGCCGGCATCGCGTACTTCTCAGCTAGCTCTTTAAGAACAGGACCAGCAGACGGGTGCCGGGAGGCGAGGAAAAAGTCATGATGTTCGTAGAGTAGTGTTCGGTGTAGCGAGACGAGTGTCTGCCACTGTCCCTGTGATAGCTTGGCCTTCGATTGCGCCTGTTGTCTATCGGTTTCGATGCACTTCTTTTCCACATTGACAACGCCGGTATAAATCCCCCGCACTTCGTTAATCAGTTGCTCCTCGGTGATGGTGTGCGTCTCCAGCTGCCGAAACATTCCATGAGGTTTTGCTTCCTGAGTGACTGCCTCTCCCATCTTCACATTTTGATTCATTATTTCGTCATTTTTCGTGTACCATGACTTCTGCGCCTGCGCTTGATTTTGCATGGTCTGGGAAGGATTCTTGATTTCAACGGCATTTTGACTGCGCACAGCAACGGGTGTTGAATGTGATCTTTGCAAATCTGGACGTGTCGCAAAGCCTTCCCGCGCACTGATCTTGATTTTTGGATCTGCGGGGTCATTTATACCGTGAGGCACGCCGGCCTTTAGCTGCTGAGAAGCCGGTCTTCGAGATGAACTTATCGCAAAGCCTTGAGCTAATTGCGATTTCTCTTCTTGCCTGGGCACACGGATCTCAATTTTTGAATCTGCGGGGTTTTCATTTATGAAGTGAGGCACGCCGGCCTTTAGCCGCTGAGAAGCCGATCCCGATAACCGCCGAGACTTTCTAGAGACCAAGGAGCTGCCCCGACGACGAGATTTGCCGACATGCCCTGCACACGGGCAAGTGGGGCTCCTGAGAGCTCGCATGTCGTGACTACTACGTGTTTCCACAGTGCAATCGTCTCCTAGGACGCCAGTCGACTTTGGTCGAGCACTGGATATCGGCGAGCTGGCCGAGCAGCAGCCATGGGTACACATCGATTCAGAGATCAAATCTTCCGACAATAGTCTTTTCTTAGAACGCCTGTATAAACGGTTAAGGATAAGCAACAAAAGCTGGGGTCGCAACATGCCTACCTAGGTGACACGTCGCTACGGACAACTCTATCTGAGAGTCTTGTCTTAGCATCCAGCAGGCTGTAAAAATTGCGTCTCGTCAGTCTTGCCTCCTTACGGCACAGCTTGTCGCCCATTTTCACTAGGGAGAATTAGTTGATCGTTTGAGCCTTGCGAGTGGGCAACGTACCTGATAAGAAGAAGAGATATCCCAAATCTCACATATTGTCTTGGAGATCGGGCAAAGACATAGAAGAGGGTTAAATAGTTTGTTCGGGCTAAATCGAAAGGTAGTGGCGTAGTGGGCAGCTGGGTGTCGGCCTGCGTGCCGATCATCATGCGCCTATCATTCTCGTATTTTACCATACCCAGGTATGAACTACCGGTTGCCTAATGAATTTATTGCTTCTATCCCTTTTCGCCGATTTCCATGCAACTGTATATTGGAACGTTCAAATAACCCTGAAGGAGTTAGCCTCTCCCCTGGTGCCATGTCACTTTCTTAATCGCGTTAGGGGAAGCAGACAGGTAATAGCCGCCCCAAGCATCCCAGATCTATAACTTCCGCCTCACTTTTTATGTACGAATCAAATATCATTGATCTGCAAGTGCTTAGGAAATATATCTTATTCGAAACATTTGATTACAATCAACAGTTGTAGAGTTCAGGTCTACCCCGTCATTGCCCAACAGCCCCCCTATTGTCTCCCAATATGTCAGATACGGCATCTTACGATTTGGGAAACCTTCGGGCCTAGGAGTGAACACGGGGTGCCCTTACAGCGCTAGGACATTGTCTGCCTGGTCACCGCTATTTGGCGACCACACCGGTTCTTGACCAAGCTTGAGCATAGACCAGGGCGCCTTCAGCCCAAGAGCCTTTGTTTAGCTTTGTTTAGCTTTGGTTTGCCCGCCTGGGCACTGGGATGACCCCGGTACTTTCGCATTGAGCACTATAGATTACGACTTTTCCTCTTTCTCCCTAGAATGAGGCAATTCTTGAACCGGGTCTTTTAAGTTACTAGTGTTTAGGGCTCATGTCACGCTCTTATTACCGGCATTGGTATTAATCATTAATCATCAGGTCGAGATTCCTTAAATATCCGGTGACTGGCAATCATGCAACCGCTCACGGAAGCCGACAGAATATCGGACCACACAGCCTTGAATTGTTAAAACGCCTAGGTGATGGCTATACTTAGACGGGGTTGAAGCTATAGACAGGGGTTATACTGCTACCTAATATTTCCTATCTATCTCCATCTACCTAACCAAGTCAAGATAGTTACATAGTTCTTAACTTAGAAACGGCTTTATCACTCACATCCAACATACACTAGCTACCGGGCCTACTACAAATGTGGATAAACCGGGCGAAAATACTCCGTAGGCTACAAAATACTCAACATCAGCCACCTGTCATTCAAATCTCTCTACAACAGTACTTTGAACCTATCAAAACCAAACAAGTGGCTTAGGATGACGTTAGTCCATTTCTGCGTTTCAGAAATCTTAGGCAGAGCTGCCTAAGCCTATCGCGTAAGCGCCCGTATGTTGTACTGATTGGAGGGTGTTTAAGGTACCTGTACCTACTTCGTATGAAAAACAGCATGACCTGCATAGGATGTAGTCAGTTTCAATTCTATTCACTCCCCAATAAGAGATACCTATTCCAATATAATGAATCAACATGTTGTCCAATCCCGTGCCACCCAATACCAACCCGGGTCGCATTTTACAGCGAGGCAACTTCCGCGCTCCACTAACCCCCGAACGAAGGGATCCCGCCCGTTAATTCTACCTCCCTTCGAGGGAATCAACTTCAACGGAGCCGCTGCAAGGGAGTGGTGAGGTGATATTACTGCAAGCCACACGGGAGGAAGAAGGCAGGAAATACCTTGATTCGTCGCCCGTACCTGCCATCACCCGGGTGAAGGGCTATTTCTCGGTCCGGCTTCCCTAGTCGAGACATTCTATGTACGTACCCAGTTGACGCCGACATCTAAAATGCTAGTGTAACAAGCTTGCATGGGATATGCTCGTTGAGCTCTAGCGTTTGAAGCGGGGAAGATGGGCTGCAGATTTCACCCGGGTGAAATAGTTACTACGCGACTTCTAGAGTTTCGGGATCTGCATGGATAAGGGGTGTGTGCTTGGCTACAACCTGGGTTTGATGGTGCATGTCGCACCCTGTGTATCTCGGCGCCCTGTGCATAGGTCTATGGCTATCGGCGGATTCACTCTAGGCAGCGATGTAGCTATACATACTGTTGACCGCTGCTCCAGGCTGCTCTGTCGGGTGAAATAGTCTTTCAGCCACATGCAGGTTTCTTTTTACCCAACAGAGCTCGTGTGAGTTTACTTTGATAGCCAATCTAGTATATTGACCAACAAAATAACGAAGGAATCACTTCTTAAAGGGCTAAAAGGCCGGGAATATGTTCTCAAGTGGTAGACTCAAGATGAATATATATTGTAGAAGATAAAATATGTAGACGAACCTATGCAATAAAAGGTAGAACTATATAAATTCCGAGACTGATAGCTCCAAAGTGATGAACGGGTTCTATGATTAATTCATTATTTAAAACAGCAATTTCTCAAGAGCAAAATTAAGTAAATACTTACAAGGAGCTTTAGCTACAATATATGCGATATCCGAAATACATTCAACGTGTAGACACGAAAAGAGGTGAAATCAAGACTGAACGACGTCATCGAAGCAACATTTGAAAACAATGATTCACACGTCCACTACGCGCTGTGTCCAAAACACCCAACCAAGTCTCACACATAAACCAACTCAATTGACAGCTTAATATTATCTAACCCGAATTAATGAACTCCATCCGCCTTGCCGCGCGATACCTCAAATCAACGCAGCCCATCCCCACACACCGACCAACCACCAGCATCACACAAGCCACAGCAAAAACCGCCAAAATGTCAACATTCACACTTCCCGGCTCAAATCTGAACGTGAATAGCATCCCAGATCTAAGCGAGAAAGACCTCCTCTCATTCCCAGCCTTCAAAACCTGGATAACAACCCTCCAGCACTCCCTCGCGCGACAAGAACACCCCTCACACAAGTTCCACAGTGACCCATACGTACTGCGCAAAATCGACATTCAAGCCGTCGACCGCTTCGGTGGCGGGCGATTAGGCTTCGTCAAATTGAAAGCGGATGTATCGAATAGCCAGGGCGAGACTCTGCCGGGTAGCGTATTTCTGCGGGGTGGCAGTGTCGGCATGTTGGTGAGTAAAGTTTTGTTCCATTTCTACTCGATAGGAGGTTTTTTCCTTGATACTCTATTTTGTAGAGATCTAGAAAGAAAAAAAAAAAGAAAATATTACGCCCCAGCCCCACCATTCGAAAATATATGGTTTGTTCTAATTCTATGTATAGCTCATCCTCCACCCAAATGATATACCAAACCCGACTGAAAAGGACAAGCGCGTTATCCTGACCATCCAGCCTCGCATTCCAGCGGGCTCGCTGTCGTTCGCGGAGATCCCGGCTGGGATGCTTGATGATAGTGGGACGTTTGCTGGCGGTGCGGCGAAGGAGATCCACGAAGAGACCGGGTTGCGGGTCGAGCAGGGCGATTTGATTGATATGACCTCGCTGGCGCTGCAGGCTGCGCAGGAACCTGGCTACGGTGAGCGCCTGCAGGCTGCGGTTTATCCGTCTCCTGGCGGGAGTGATGAGTTTATTCCTTTATTTTTGTGTCAGAAGTCTATGCCGGTAAAGGAGATTGAGGGGTTGCAGGGGAAGTTGACGGGGTTGCGGGAATCCGGGGAGAAGATTACGCTTAAGATTATTCCTTTGGCGGATCTGTGGAAGGAGGGGATTAGGGATGGGAAGACTCTGGCCGCTTGGGCTTTGTATCAGGGGTTGAAGCAGGAGCGATTGCTCTGAGGAATAACGTGTACGGAATATGGCGAATTTGCTGGTAGATTTGTATCTTATAGAGGTTTGTTTGTATCAATGTATGCAAGCCAGTCAGATATGAACAATTACTCGCTCACAACTTCCATTTCTTTGCGAGTTCAATGCCCTCGGCTAGGGTTCCGATCCTGGCATCAATGGCATAACCCTCTTTTTCAAGCTTCTTTAACTCGTCGAACAACGATGTCAAAGGAATAGTAAAGCATTCAATGAACTCGTTATCCTCGAGCTCAGGCTTCGGGTTCTTGTTCTCGGGAAGAGACATATCAACCCGGACGTGGACCATATGCAGGTTGGTATTGCAAAGCCCTGGGTCTGATAACCACATATGTTTGTCAGCTTTAGCTTTACAAGAAGTAAAATAACCCGCGAGAACAAAACAAATCCCATAGCAATCTCACGTACCGTTAAACATAACCGGACTAGTCTGCTCCGCGACGCCAACATAACCAGTCTCCTCCTTAAGTTCTCGAACAGCACATTGCTCAGGCGTCTCGCCCGCATCGATAAGCCCCGCAGGAACCTCAATGACAACAGCATCAATGGGAGGGCGGTATTGCTTCTGCAGAAGCAGCTCCGAGCCAGAATCCTTGTTCAAAATAGCGACGATCCCAACGCCATCAAGATCAATCCCGTCAGGACGAGTCTAGGAAAACGCGGTTAGCATCAAATCCGAAGTCTAATTTCAAACGGAGGCTCTGATAGATTTTTGAGTTAGATGGTGACCAATGGGTCCGATACACATCGCAAGGCAACCGGTCATGTGGTTTTAGTTGATACAGCGCCAGGCAACGCCCGGGTTTATGCCACCTGTTGAGGTCCCGGGAGTCGACTGGGGAGCCCCACTAATGCTAGTCCCCGTTTCTAGATTTAGATGAGGCCGGATCTTAGTTGGGTAGCTTGGCTTTCGTGACAGTCATGCAGACAGGTGGATACCTGCGATAGGTGCGATACATACATATACCCCAGACATCTACCAACAGCGCGCATAATACAATAAGCACAGAACAAGGGATAGGTCTTACCGTGCGCTCAGCTGATTCCCATGTTCGCTCGACACCCAGGGGGTCGGTGTATGTTGTCTTCACCATTCGAGCCCAGCGGGCTTCGCTGGGGTCCTGTTTGGTGAGACGTGTCAGTCGTGCATTGGCGCTTTTTTGGTGATATCCTCCGCGCTCTGTCTATATAATGGACTTGGGATTCGCTGAAGAGACCCAAGGGAGATTAGAAAAACGTACCAATGGTCCCCGCGAAATGAGTTTCGACTTGGCCTGTACGCGAGCTGACATTGTAATGAGTTGGCGGTGGTTCAGGTTGAAAGAGAGATTCAATTCGATGAACTCCATACTAGACTGACGTTGCTCGATCGACCAATAGAGCGGGGGCGGGGTTAGCGCGGGGTTAGCCCTTATCTTATCAGTCTATGACTGCAGTAAGGTGTCCGGTACAGACCACTTCCGCACTATCAAGATACTTGCTATTTGCTTTGCTTTTATTTCATCCAGCTGCATGTTATTCAGCGCACTGAATAACCCCCGTCCTGACCTCGATCAGCATTTTGGCACTCATTGCAAACCCCGTCCTCAAGCTTCAAATTTTCTAATTATCCCCTATAAACTGGCAAAATTCGGCCTCTTAGCTGCTGTGGCTCGTCCGTGGTATATATTTTGACTTCAGCATGGTAGTTCTCAACACAGATGACCCTCAAAGCAAATATTTTCAATACCAACTAACGTCACATGTAGGCGTAGCTGTGCCCTGTCAGGGTCCATGGGTACATACATAACCTGAAAGTACACATTATTTTTTGAAATTTAAACCGATTCCTATTCTCCTACCACCAAGCAATAGCATTGATAGCGCTTATCGCAATGGTACCCGAAGTACAAGATATCGCCGCTCTTGAGCTGTACGAAGCCGTCGGGGAAGGTCGCATCGACCGCGTTGAATCTCTTCTAGCAGCCGGCGTCGACCCAAATGCACGATTCGACAACCTAGGTTCCGTTTTCACAGGAGTCGCCGAAGACTGGGCCAACGAAGAAAAAAGTGCCAGGCCTCCTTTGTTCAACCCCGACCAGACTGAACAACCTTCCCTTCGCCGAGCCACGGGCGAGTCCGAAGGTTCATGCAGTTATCTCGATAAGCCCAAGGCCACGCGTCTTATGAATGCCCTGCTCAAGCATGGCGCAGACCCGTATGCGCTATATCGGCAGCCGATCCTCAAATATCGATATGTGCGTCTTTACCCGGGCAAACAAGAGACGAAGAGGTAGATGACGAGGCGACGGACCTTGATCAGATATGCTTCGCCCGCAGGGGAATCATGGAAAAAGCCCTCCGACTGGAACGGAAACGGCGCAATCTCGAGCAAGGAGTGTACGATCCCAATCGGGACGAATTCATAAGCGATTTCGAAGGCAGTCTCGACGATGTCATTGAGTATCTAGATCTTCCTATCAATTACGGCGTGCGCAGTGTTATCCATGCACTACTCGAGGGCGGCATGTTCGTCCAGCCTATATTTGACTTCCTAGGGGACACGCTGGATGTCGAACGACGAGATCCCCAGGGTCGGACGCTATTTCTTGCAGCGTGTCGGAGCAGAGTTGGTCCAGATGCTGCGACAAGTGGTGTCTATGGCGGTCTCAGCACAATCAACTACGACACTGGAATCCACGAGAACCCCTCCCCCCAACCAGAGAATCCATGGAGGGAGTTCGAAGCCAAGAACTCGAAGGCCTGCACTGGGCCAACGTTCCTCTCCTTTTCCATCGCACGTGGAGCCGATCTACTGGCCGTTGACAATTACGGGAATAACGCCCTCCACCTGCTGTTTACCTATACAGATTGCGCTTGGATAGGTTTACCACCGCCTATCGATACTACACTTGCGCACCTGATCGAAACCTGCCCCAGTCTTATAAACCAGCCTGACAAGGCTGGTACATACCCTTTACATCTCGCTATCTGGCAAATGAACTCCATCATGATTCCAGCGCGAGACAGTCCGGCATCAATCTACCATTTCGAAACCGCGGTAGACGCCCTTCTCGCTGCAAATGCCGATACTGCGGTCCGAGACGGGCGTGGAAATACCGTGCTTCACTATCTGGCTGGGAGTAGACTGGGAGAAAAGGATCGAATGGGCGATGAGCAAAGGCGGTTTCTGCGGAGGTTTCTTGAGGACGGTGTTGACCCCAGAGCACGGAATGCGGAAGGCATGACGGCACTGGAGATCTTCTGCACGGTCAGCTATGATGAATTTGGTGATGAGGGGTTTTATGACCGGTATTTTGCCATTGGGCAATATGTTATTGGCCAGTTTGAAAAGGCTGGCTACGACATCCAGGAGACGAATTCGAAAGGGCAGACGCTGTTGCATTTGGTTGCTGGGCTCACCGCACCTGAGGGGATGTCTTGGGCTGCGTGGCCTTGGTTTCAACTCCTCCGGTCTAAGGGACTTGATCCTATGGCGAAAGACGGGGAAGGGAAGACTCCGATCGACATTGCGGAGGAGAACGAGAGTATCAATGTTTGGTTGCAGGAGGAACGTGAGTCCATGGCCGCATAGCCGCCAGTGATATAGAGTACTCTTTTACGTGTCTGCAAGGTCGCTAGAATATAATTCCAGCACCAGCGAACCCTTTATAATGGTATTAAAACTTCAAATAACTTTAAATATAAAATAAACACCCGAATAACCAATAAAAAGGTATAGTTAATGGTATCTCATTGCGCATAAAAACCTGGTTATAAAGACGGAGATACTAAAGAATAATGCACCAGGCAATAAGAAAGTAGCAATGACCGGACACAGTCCAGTCTCAGGCAAGAGTTGTCACTCTGTGTCAAAAGATATAGAAACACCTTTTGATAACGGAAAGTGGCAACAGAAAAGAGTCCACGATACTGGAGTGGCGTGAAACCAAAGAAAGAATAGAAGAAAAAGCTCCATAGCGGTCTACGCTCGCTCTCATAACATCGTGGGCATAGGCATCATCAGCGAGAGTGTCTTTAAAGGGTCGACTGGACATCGACGCTGACATCATTCTCGATTTCCTTCATACACTTCTCAAACTCTGACCAATGATACATGACGCTCTTCGCGCCAATGTCAGTCAGGGCCTTCGCCATTGCCTTCTGCGTATCTTCGCCATTGTAGCTGCCAACGTACGCAATCACGGGAATACCGGCACGAACCGCAGAAAGAGCACCAGACTTGCTGTCCTCGATGGCGACAGTCTCGGAAGCACGCTTGCCGACCTGCTCGAGAGCATACAGGTAGATAGCGGGGTCGGGCTTGGAGGTCGGCTTTGGCAGGGAGCTGGCGGCGCTGAAGACCTTGTTCTCGTCAAAGAACTTGTCCTGACCGACCTTCCGGATGGAAGCGAGCACGCGGCGCAACGCAGACGAGGAGACGACGGCAAGACCGTACTTCTTCGCGGCGAAAACCTTTTCCAGCTCCTCGGTGGCACCGATGCAGCTTTTAGCCTTGGCGTTCAACTTGGCAATGACTTGGTCCTCTTCTCTGATGACGTATTCTTCAAGCTTGTCCTCGTCGATCTGGAAGTCATATTTCTGCTGTAGAGAGATCAGCATGCCGCGGAAGTTCTGGCCGACAAAGTCTTTGATGAGTTGGTCGCCGGTGTAACGGTCGGGGATGTTGTTGGCCTCCAGGATCTCATTGGCCAGATCGGCACAAGCCTCGAAGGCTAGCTCCTCTGAGAGGACCAGCGTGTTGTCGCAATCGAAGAAGATTTCCGTGATCTGCAGTGCCCGTTAGTGTGGGTCTCTAATGGGATAGATCGTGATCGTACCTTAGTCATGATGAAAGTGCGGATAATAGATCCGAGTGTTTGTTTATTTGTTTATTGAGAGGGGATGTGAGTAGAAGGGCAATTGGGAAGTGTGGTATGACCTAGAAGAGTGGGAGTTGGAGAGTTCGAGATGGAGAGAAGAGGAATGCCAGAAGGTACGAGAATCGGCGATTGGGGTATTTAAGTCGAGGCAGGACCCCCAAGACATGACGCCGCAATCACAATATCCCAGGGGAAACCGGGCCAGGGCGGGAGGGGCTGGCCATTGACGTGGGGCAGGAGGTACTGGATACTTTACATTAGGCGTGTTTTGTTAGTAAATGCAAGTACTAGTACCTCAAACCTGGGGAGACGGCCAGATGTTCAGCCAATAAAAAGCACGGACCCACGCAGGACTAGTCTTCTTCCGGTATAGCGTCTTTTTCTACTCCGGGCAGGTGCGATGGTTTCATCGCGTTTTCGCGCTTTTTCTCACCGGCGCCTTTCCTTCGCCTTCGACGTTGGGATGTTTGAAACCTGCCTTGATAGTCCCGTGATATTATTTCATTCTTTATGACTACTAGAGTCAAGTGACTTTGAATATGCAAGTAACCCTCACCTGATCTCTAAACTACAACACTGCAACATGACTGGATACAACTACGGAGTATACATCAGCCTACCAGGTCCAAACTCATGCACGGTCATGCCTCCGTCTTCTCACCGTCTACCCACTGTTCTCCGAGGAGAGGCCAAACCCCAATTCGCAAGGAAAGCCGGGACACGGAATGATTGAGAAGTATACACAAGCATGTAGGCCCGACGCTACATCCGTTGGTCCATATTTCCGTGTCCTCTCCAGTCACTGGCGCGGTCAGATAATATCAATTACGGAGTATGCACTTGGACGTTCGGAGCATGCTTGGCGGGGACTAGAGAACCCCGATGTTAGCCTTACCTCGGTACGGAGTACGGAGTGCATATAGTGCTATTCCAGTTCCGGTGAGCCATGAGCGATCTGACATATACCTCATTCTATTATCGCCATGGTAGTGCTTGAGTTGTGCCCAACCTTGGAGGCATCCATGGATGTACTCCGGAGCGCGACAGTCCGGAAGCTAGTATAGACTTTCTGCATAGTAGAATTTACGCAGCAATTATTTCAACCAATAGACATGGCCACATTTACACCAGGAACCAGGTAGCACCACTGTGGTATATACATCGCACGAACCCGGGTCCACCTCTTTTATACAATCATCATGATTGGCCAGACTCAAATTCCAACCCTGCTAATTCCACAACGGCTTCCCTTCACATTCGACCCGACCAAAAATAAAACATCGCAGCATAACGCCTGATCAATCAAAAGCAATCTAACCAGCACGACCCAGCAGATCTCGGGCGAAATCGCCATTGGCACAGCCCGCACCCGAAACGTCTCTAGTACAACCCCGGAGACTGGTCACTGAGTACGACCTAGCCATATTTGCATTCAAATATACTTGGCAATAAAGTCCAGCCAAAAGAAAGCCAAGCATGGGGTCGTCCTCGGATACTTTCCCGACCCTGGAGTCCCTTCATTTCCCGTCGGCGCAGCTGTCAATCTCCCAGACGCTTTCGTCGCTGCGTCGATCGGCGCTGTCCGTCGCCAACCGGCTCGAGTCCATCGAGACCGATGCCGCCTTTGCGCAGGACGTCGCGGACCAATATGGCTTACCGCTCGTTGCGAATGAGCGCTGCGGAAGCTGGTATATCCCGCCGACGGCCAAGGCTGGCAGTGCTTATTTTAAAAGCACCGATGGCCATACCGGTCAGTGGGATTTTAGCTTTCGTAGGCTGAACTTGCAGTTGCTTCCGTTGGCTAGGGATCATGGGGGGTAAGTCTAACTTATTTTGCACTGTCGTCTTTTGCTTGTGGATTTACATATGTGTTGGAGTGCCTTTTGACCCAAGTATAAACTATGGGAACAACTCCATCACTACACGATCATCCTAAGACATGAAAAGAACGAGAAAAAACTGACTGTATTTCCTTTCCGCTGCAGCTGTGTAATTGTGGACTCAACTCGCCGAGGGAAATGTGTGTACCACCTCTACCTTTCCCTTCCCTTACCCATCTAGTCACCATGCATATCATGACTACAACCAAGGCTCGGTCCCCATTAACCCACCCCTAGTAATGCCAGACGCACTATCAAAAACCGTCCCAATCTGGAGCGCCGTGCTAAACAGAGCCCTATTCCCATCCGCAACCGCATACCACCCAGTCCGCCTTCCACCAGATTACCTAGGCGCATCAGAAGAAGCACAGATCGAGAACCGAATCGACGGATTCGTGCATTCCCTCAAGGTACGCATGTGCCATTAACAATGACTCCCGCATACAACATACCCTTACACCGCACGCCCCTTTCTCATCCATAGCTGATATTTAACTCCAGAACCTGAAACTCGATCTAGATAATCTACGCCAGCAACTCGGAAAACCAATCCAGATCGCCTGGGCCAACAGGACGTATTTCCACCCGCCGGACCTGCACACGAGCGATGAGTACAATCTACTCGTACTGTGCTCCGCTTCGAGGCGCGTGCTTGGCGCTGAGATGTCCGAGGGCGGATACATCCAAGGCGCGGGCGATGATAGCGAGGCGTGGGCGTATGGGCTGACGCCGCCGGTGTTCTGGGCCAACCAGGCTATTTTGAAGAGTACACCTGAAGACGAATTGCCAGAGCTTATTGACCGGCTGGTGGCGGAGCATAAGCTGCTGGATGTGGTGCAGGATGCGACGCTTGTTTCGCCTACGCGCAATTTGTATATTGGATCTGGGGCCGAGGTGGATGTTGGGGGTCGGTATGATATTGTTATTGATTGTAATGGGAGTGCTGCGGCTGTGGAGGGTAATGCGAAACGGTTGAATTTGGGCTGTGATTCTGGGAAATTGGGGAGTCGGGATCTACGGAAATGTCTGGATAAGGTGCGTGAGTTTATTGGCGCTCGTCTTGGGGAGGATCCGTCGCTGTCGGTGCTGGTTACCTGTGAGAGTGGGAAGGACCTTTCGGCTGGGACGCTTCTGGCGATCATTTGTCTCTTTTATAACGATGAGGGTATGTATGCAATGCCCCAGATGGTCTGGGTGATGAATTCAAACGCTATGTGGAAGAAAAATAACTAATGTTTTCACAGGCGGCTTCGATGCCTCACTGAGCAAGCGCGCGATCAGCAAGCAGTTCATTCGACAGCGTCTAGCCTGGCTCGTGTCGTCGAAGCATGACGTGAACCCCTCTCGCGCCACGCTTCAATCTGTCAATGCTTTCCTGATGCAGCCGCCGGATTATTGACCTCGAGCAATGTGATTACATTGCGTCGCTTGGTCGGATGATTGGTTTCGAAGCGGGTCATTAAGACCATGCCCCAGCGATCGCTCATTCGTTGTCCACGGCCTCCACGATGGCGCCGGCACTGCCCTGGTCGAAGGAATCCAGCACAGCCATATCCTCCACGCTGATGTCGAAGTCGAACACATCCGCATTGGACACGATTCGTTCGGGGTTGTCGGTCTTGGGCAGAGGCACCCATCCCTTCTGCATCGCATAGCGGATCAAGACCTGCTGAGTGGACTTGCCGTATTTCTTTGCCACTTCGACTAGCGTGGGGTCGTTGGCTTTATAGTTTCGCACAAGGGGCGAATATGCCTCGAGGATAATGCCGTTCTTCTGGCAGTATTCGCCGATGACGCGCTGCTGGCACCACGGGTGAAGCTGCAAGAATAGAATAGTCAGTGACCCGATCAAACCGAGAACTATCTACGTAGATAGAAAAGTAATAGAAGCAGAGCACGAACCTCGAGCTGATCAACGTGAGGCGGGAACACTTGGGCATATGAGCGCATCTCCTCGATGTGCCCCACACCGAAGTTGCTAACACCGATACTCTTCGTCTTGCCCGACGCGTACAGCTTCTCAAGCGCCTGCCACAAGACCTTTCGCCCAGCAGAGCCCGAGCTGGAGGAGTGAATTAAGAACAAATCGACATATCCGTCGGCGCCGCCGATCTTGTGCACAGAAGCCAGCAATTTATCGTAAGTAGCCTCGACCGAGGCTGCGGGGCTGAGGATCTTGGTCGTGACGAAGATCTGGTCTCTGGGGACGCTAGTGGTGCGAAGTGCCTCGCCGACTTCGGCCTCGTTGGCGTAAAACTGTGCTGTGTCGATGTGTCGGTAGCCTGCTTCCAATGCCTTCAGGCAGGACTGCACACACTGGTTTGGCGGGGAGCGGTAGACGCCGAAACCGAGGCGCGGGATGCCGACGCTCGACTTCGGGAGGGGGAGAAGATCAGTGATCTTGAAGGAGGCGGACATCTTGGAGATAGTCAGGGGTATTGTTGTTTGCGAAAGAAAATTAGTTGAGAGTGAGTATTTCAAGAGAATCATCTCCTGGCCCCGCTTTGCGAAAATGAGGTCATTCCGGATGACTAAACGAGTAAACTCAAAATACGACAATAACTATGATAGGGTATGCGCAATATTAAGTCCAATTGAATTCCAATCTACTTGGCTATCCTGAGAATCTCTAATATATCTGTTCACTCATATTCACTGTCAATAGCCTAGTAATGTAAACACTTGTGCCTGCATTGTACCTGGCCAAAGAATTGCGTGATACTATTTGACCTTACGCTTGTTTTTATACAGCTATTGCGCCATCGAGGAACATTGCGGGGCTGCCGAACAATTTAGAGTGTTTTGATAAGAATCAGTACTCTCGGTGTCTTTGTCAGTTCTAGTAGATCCGTCTACTTGGTTGGCTTCTCTAACCGCCAGTGCGTTGTAGTTATGGGATTTTGCCTACAGGATGGTTGTAATATATATCACACCAATTCAAAGGCTATTATTGTACATAGGAATATCCTCTTGTGATTTTGCCACCTTCCTTTCCGTTTTAAGAACTACTATAGATAGGAAGGCATAACCTAACCGAGGAAACAAAATATAAACACCTCCTCCCTCTTCCTATGTACACATAAGATAACAATTCTCCGCTCATGAACAATACCCCTAGATCTGGTTTCAAGCTCATATAGCAAATATCAGTGTTCATACAGGAAATTATGACTACGTTCCGCTAGATGCCTGAATATTCGAGCCCAACCCCCACTGCGGGCTAGGCGGTATTGAGCCGGTGACAAGCCAATTTAACAAGCTTATGGCAGACGGGAAAAATCCTTATGTTGTCTTGTTAATGCCCCATATTCGGTGCTATTCGGTGAATTCTGTCATATATCATGCCCTCTGCTTCCATGGTTTCATCTTACACTAAGTCACATATATTCCCCCCAAAGTACCGACACAAATGACTCCTTGCAGCTGAGACCCGGTAAATGAACCTCTGCAAAGACTCCGTGTTGGTAGTATGAGAATGCGGTACTGGCAAGATTAGCAGCGTTCTGTGAGCTGATATGAGCCACTTTACCATGGTAATATTCTGGGCACAATGATCTTCTATTATCATGGCTTTTGGGTTTGTACAGACAAAGAACTAGAGCAATCCATGAGTGGAACACATGTGTTATGACAGATAGACCCACTCGCTCTCTTTAAGGTATGGCCCAAAATTGCCGAAATAACCAATGAGTAAACGCTGGAAATACCAATCTGAATTCGGAGATCCTTCTATATAACGAACCGCATCCCGAAAATCACCGAGCCTCATGCGACGACGGCCACGGGCATAGTCCATATCAGGGCTTGATAGCTTGAATGTGGAGAAAATAAAAAGGAAGTCAAGTTCGAGAGTGGTGGGAGAGCTCATAATATGTCCTAGAACTAGGAAGCTATATGACTACACATGGTGGCGAGCGAGGATTATACCAGTAGCCCTCCTCTCGCTGATATCAGAAGAAACAAACATCATGCCTCACACCAAAGAAACCGGAAATAAGAGATGCCATTCCTATTCTTCTCATCACGTTACCCATTTCATTAAGTGAGCCCTCGTCGTTGTTTGTCTTATTTGTGAATATGTAGTGGCACAAACCGACCGCCCTTAGGATAGCTATAAGAAGGCAGCCCTGCCCCCAGACCTTCCTCTTCTTTTCTTCTTCTTCAGCTCTCTTTGCCTCTGGCTTAGATTTGGTGTAGTATCTGTTCTGGTCAGTTTAATCGCTGATAGTCCTGCATTGCAGGTCATTTCTGATTATTCTAATATTTGGACTTCGCGACTTGGTCTCTGTGCTTGCGCATGCCTCGTTGCACTGTGTCATTGGGCTTACACTACCCCCGATCGACGCGAACTCCTTTTCATCAACTGTTCGGCTTGTCTGGGCGCTTGGAGAAGATTTTTGCTTGGGCTCTATGTTCTTATCAGTGGTTGCTTTGTTTACATTGTTGATTAACATAGGTCAATAATACTTATGGAGTTCCTATTACATATGTCTATTAGCTCTGTCTTTGTCGTAACTTACTCTCATCTCAGAACTGGGGTTGGGGGAAAAGTAACCGTTTTTATATGAGTGCCTTCCTTAGTAGAAAACCATCCTTGGGCCTTCCACTTTAAGAGTATATTAAGCTTCATATGAGCTTCATGTGAGCTTGAAGTGAGCCTGGAGTTGTTTCCACGCCGAGATCTTTCTGTTAAGTTACAGTAAGACAGTTTCATTTGCGGGGAAGTTGTGGGGAAAGCTGTGGGCGAAGTTCTGGGGGAAGCTTTAAGGATAGACACGGGATCTCTCTCCATAGACTTGGCTAAGCCTCAATGAGTCCATGGTCTTTATATCCTGCGCCCCACGCTGGAGGGTCACGCGTAGTACCTACGAGGGCCTGTGATATTAATCTCGTATCGTAACCAACTATTTTCTTCTCGGTCTCTGCAACCTTGACCCCGCACTCTCGCTCAGGACATATCCGAAAGTGTATCCGGCTTCGGCGATTCTACGGCATGCCCTGGCTATAGGGCATAGAGTAAGATGATATTGCCGACAGTAGAGCTATATAAAAGCCGCAGCTAATAGAACTCTTCCCTATTAGGTTGGCGAAGGCATTTGTTCACTAACTAATCGACAATATGGCACAGCGATTCTGGAGTTTTCGTGGCTCTAAATTGGTTCTGGCAATTTGGATTGAAGCATGCTTCGGGGTCATGACCTTTGGCTACAACATGGGAGCTGCTGGCGCCGTCCTCAGCAACGCTTCCTTCAACGATCAATTCCCTCGGATCAATACGGTGACTACTACTGGCACCGAAAGACAAAAGAATTCTACAATTCAAGGCAAGTCACCGTTGATATGAAGTAATGGATATTCCCTAACAATCACGCATTTCAATAGGCACTGTCGTTGCTATGTACGCGCTCTTTGGAATGTTCGGCTCAGTAGCCTGTATCTTCCTTGGTGACCTCTTGGGCCGCCGTAAAACCATTTTCATTGCCGGCATAGTCAACGGGATTGGCACCATCATTCAATCCACTGCCTTTTCTCTAGGCCAATTGATCGTGGGCCGCATCATACTTGGATTAGGAACTGGCGGAATCATAGCTACGGTTTCACTTTGGCAATCAGAAGTTTCGAAAGCCGAGAATCGCGGTAGCCATGTCTCCGCGTTTGGTGTCTTCACTGGATCTGGCCTTTCGCTTTCGCTGTGGACGGGCTTAGGGATGTCGTTCACGCAGCCCAATTCAGTGTCGTGGCGCTTCGTCCTAGTGCTAAGCCTTTTATTCTCGAGCTTGCTCAGTCTCTTCATCTTTGCATTACCAGAAAGTCCTCGCTGGCTATGCAAAAAGGGCAAGTGGGAAGAGGCTCGGGAAATCTTGAATCTTTTGCATAATGAGGATCCCGACTTCGAGGAAACTACCAAACAGCTCGAGGATATCCGGATATCGCTCGAGCGGGCTGGAAATGCCAGTATCTTTACAATGTTCAAAATGGGGCCACAACGGAGCCTTCATCGGGTCATCCTCGCTGCCATTCCTCAAATGTTTCTACAAATGAGCGGCATCAACGTTATTGCCCAATATACTCCTGTCGTCTTCGAGCAGTTTTTAGGCTTTGACGCATTTGATTCTGGGGTCCTGGCTGCAGCTTCCCAATTCGCAGTTATCCTCGGTGCCATCTGCTGCTCCTGGACAGTCGATCGAGTCGGCCGGCGGAAACTCATGCTGATCAGTGCGACTATGATGTCCATATGCTTCGCCTGTCTATCTGGTCTATTGGCTCATCCAGAAAACCGTACCGGGATCAAGGCAGCTGCCTTTTTTATATATTTCTATTTATTCGTCTATGTCCTTGGGTTCCTCGGGATTCCATTCCTCTACGCAAGTGAGGTCGCGGTGACTCAGTTCCGAGCACCAACAACTGGGCTGTCTACTGCTGTATCCTGGCTATTCAACTTCATTGTCGCCGAAGTGACACCAGTGGGATTCGCCAATATTGGCTGGAAATATTTCCTGGTGTACTGTTGTATCAATGCGCTATGCGTGCCGACGATCTATTTCTTCTTCCCCGAAACAGCTGGACGTTCACTAGAGGAAATTGATGAGATTTTCCTAGCGTCAAATTCAATATTGGACACCGTTAATGTGGCAAAAGGATTACCGAAGCACGAACATCGTGAGTTATATGCGGAGGAAGAAGGCAAAGAATCTTCCAGTCAAGTTGCTCATATTGACGATATGGGAAGAAGAGATGAAGTTGCATAACTGAATATGCGGCTTTCTTGTGTTCTGACTCACAATGATTCAATTATAGTACTTGAAATACATGCTCTTTTATAGGCAAAGCGTAGGAAGCATCCCATTTCAGTTAGTACTCGACAAATGCAAGGAGCTCGTAACCGATGTGACCTAGACATTCTGAACAAAAATAGAGAACTAATGTCTGGCAACATGAAATAGAGGATTGCCCCTCTTTAGCCCGATATTCGAAACCGACCTACGCGACAATTGCTTTCATTTTGTGTGAAGGGAATGCGAATAGCTGGGTAAGGGGTGTTATCAGTCGCAATCTATGCACGAACATGTACATATCAAAGCGCCTACTGGGCATATCAGTGCCCGGCGGCGGTAAAATAGACATCTGAAACGTGATATGAAGACTAGGCCAATTAAAACTTCACATATCCAGAAGTACCAATCCATTCTAATAATATTCATGTACAAATCTCCCGATTCAAGACACAGGGGTTGTAAACAATGAGGATCTATACTTAGAAGTGGATCCACAAGGAATGCATCTGCAAATTGTCACTTGACAATTTTCTCAACTTCAAGTTTCAACAATTTTTTTTTCTTCCTTTCAAGCGCTAGTTCGATAAACACATTTCTTTTCTTTCGCGTTCAAATCAACAAGAAACACGGTTGCTCGGGTGATTTTCAGCTCCGACTTGTGGGACAAACACAACGACACCCCCACCCCTCGACATTATTTCAACACCCCCCCTTTGTGCTCCAGTCCAAATCGGAAACCGAGTCTTTCAGCCTCTCTGATCATCCCAGTCTTTTCTTCTCAGCCCTAGACCCTGTTCGCTGTCACCTCCCGACATCATTGCCAATCGGCCCTGGATGTCTCCCGTGATCGAAGATGTTGACGGTTGAGAAGCAGTGGATTAATGTGCAGCAAAAGACCTTCACTAAATGGTACATTCTCCACTCCGTTGCTCTCTGGATGAACTTCAACTGACGAGCAATAGGTTGAATGACAAGCTAAAGACCCGGCGCCTGTCCATCGAGGACTTGGTCACTGATCTTTCCGATGGCGTATGTCCCGCATCTCCCCCGCTCACTAATGTCGAGTTGCTGATCGCATATTAGGTCATTCTTATTCACCTCCTCGAAATCCTTGGAGGTGAGTCCCTCGGTCGATATGCCTCGAAACCCAAACTGCGCGTGCAACGCTTCGAAAATGTGAACAAAAGTCTCGATTTCATCAAGGGGAGGAGGATTCAGATGACGAATATTGGAGCAGAGGATATCGTCGATGGCAATCAAAAGATTATCTTGGGTTTGATCTGGACTCTGATTTTGCGCTTTACCATCAGTGATATCAACGAGGAGGGCATGACCGCTAAGGAGGGATTGCTACTCTGGTGTCAACGAAAGACGGCATGCTACGACGATATAGAGGTCCGAGACTTCTCAACCAGTTGGAACAACGGCCTAGCCTTCTGCGCGCTCCTCGATATCCACCGACCAGACTTGATTGACTACGACTCATTAGACAAGAGTGATCACCGTGGAAATATGAAGCTGGCCTTTGAGATCGCAACCAATGAAATCGGTATTCCGGACCTGCTTGATGTGGACGATGTATGCGACGTACCCAGACCTGACGATCGCTCCCTCATGACATACATCGCCTACTGGTTCCACGCTTTTTCGCAATTGGAGAGAGTCGAGAATGCTGGGCGACGAGTGGAGAAGTTTGTCAATAACATGCATGGCGCATGGGACATGCAGAACTCATATGAGCGCCGAGTGAAGGAATTATTGCGACTGATCCGTGCCCAGCGCGATCACTGGAAGACCGCCTCATTCGCGGGAACATACAAAGATGCCAAAGAACAATCATATCAGTTCTCGCTCTACAAACGGAACGAGAAACGCCAATGGGTAGCTGAGAAATCCGACCTAGCTGCTCTACTGGGAAATATCAAAACCAAGTTGGGTACATATCGACTGCGGCCGTATGACCCACCACAAGAACTGAGTCCAGAAAATTGCGACAAAGAGTGGGAGATCCTAACCCGGGAGGAGCATGAACGCAGTCAACTTATAAACGAAACAATCCGTGACATTAAGAACAAGCTACGCCGCTCCTTTGCCGACAAGGCAAATGACTTTGCATTGACCCTGAAGACCTTATCATTGGCCATCTCCGGACTAGATGGTGATGTCGAGGACCAGCTTGATCATGTTAAAAAGCTAAATGGCAACTTGCCGCCCCTGGACGCCTTTCTCGATGCTATTGCAGAATTGGACCAACAGTGCGCGGAGGCCAATATTGAAGAAAACGACTTCACCACATACACCCTGGACGAGCTTGCGTATGAATTGAGTCTTGTCAAATCCAGCATTTCAAAGAAGCTGTCTTTCCTTGACAACCAGATAGTTGCTCGCAATATGACGAATCTGACACCTATCCAATTGGAAGAGTTTGAATCGGTATTCCGCCATTTCGATCGCGACTCTTCCAATACACTCCATGAGCTGGAGTTCTCCGCAGCACTGGCCAGTCTGGGACTGGTCTATGACGAGGACGAGATGCACCAGGTCTTCGTGGAGGTCTGTGGAGCCCATCGACTGTCACAGAATGCCGGAGTCAGCTTCGAGCAGTTTATTCGCTTTATGGTCAGCGTGACAGAGGATCAGAATACCGCCGAACAGGTCTTCCAGAGTTTCAGGGAAGTTGCCGATGGCAAGGTAAGTGAAGCGTTTCTTTTAATCTGACAAATCATTGGGCGACAGTCACTTACTTCTATTACAGCCCTATGTCACAGAGCTGGACCTCCGACACTCTCTCATTCCGGATGAAGTTATTGAGCATTTGGTTAAGACGATGCCCGCACACGATGGCCCCGATCTACTCGAGGACCGGGAGTTGGCCAAGTACGACTACATTAGCTTCATGGAGAAAATGCGAGAAGTGAACAGGAATAATGAGAGTGAGAGTGAGCAATAAAGGTATCATTGAGGTTGATATTTGCGCAGCATTACTGGTGGTTATGGGGGATTTGCACTGACTTGTTGCTGCTGTGTTTCTGGTGTTTTCAGCGACGATTCTCATGTTTTGAACTTCTTTCTGGTTCGTCTTGCATTCTGGGGTTCGGTGGTTGTTCCTCTTTAGCATGTATGTATGTATTGTGTTGATGTATGCCTTGCTGTTTGTAATGATCAGGATACCATGTGAACATTTTCAATTATCAGACCATCGGTAGACGTGGGCAAGCGAGGATGGCCAAGAGACTCTAATATGACATTGAATCACCAATTCTTCACCCCAATCGAATCTTTGAAGCTATTCTAGTCCGATCTATAGATGTATGAGGTGGATCATTACCGTATTAGTAAAGGATATATCATGTGACAGCCCCCAGATCATCGCAGCTGATGATGAGTCTGCGACTAATTGTAACCCTTGACACGTCCCACTCCTTTCGATCTTTTTCACTCAAACGCTGGTCATAGGTGAATTTCTTGATCGAGCGCTCTCTCACGCATATTATCTCCTCCCTCAATCCCATCCCTCAACCATAAATTCCAAGATGGACCGCAGCTTGGACGAAATCATCGCTGAAGACACGGTAAGGCTCCAGCGACTAATGAAACCACCAAAACGTGCAACTTACTCATTCAATTGCAGCGGAACCCTGGTCGTACTTCAGGCGGTGGTGGTGGTTCTCGTCGTCACAATAACTCCGGCCGTCGTCACGAGCGCGATGGCGTCAGAAAGGTACAGCTTGACTAGAAACCGAGGCTTTCTTCTGGAGTCCCATTTGCATAGCATCGAAGCTAACATCACACTCGGTGTCCAGGTCCGCCCTCCTTTTCCTCCTCTGCGAATTCTCTCCTTGCTCCGTGACAATCGTAGCCAGTCCCCTGGATCGTTGGAGACTCGCCAACGACCACGCCACGGCAAAGACATGGAAAAGAACTTTGCACGATATCTCATCTGACTTGGAGCTAACGCTAAGTTCCTTCGATAATAACAGCCATACACTTCAGACCGTGTCGATCTTAACCTGTGATTATACCTCCTATCTACTACGGTGTGGGTGATACTGACGGGTTTCTGGTTATAGAGACTGGGTGCACGACAAATTCGACGACGACCGATGTATGTGGCTTTCCCGTACTTTGCTGGGACCTATCTAACAGCATTCCTCTCCAGCCCGCCCGTCCCGTGGAGGCCGCAGAGGCCGCGACGGACATGATTCCGATCGGTAGGCGCCTCCTTCAGCCTTAAATTTTAAGCTTGTCTGACAGCGCTAATTGAATTCTTAGCCCTAGCTCACTGACCAAGGTTCGCGTGGATAATCTCCACTACGACATTACTGAAAGCGATCTTGAAGTACGTTTCAATCATACTCAAACCATCACAGAATAACACCCTAACAAACCCCCTCGCTGAACAGGATCTCTTCGGCCGAATTGGACCCGTCTCTGAACTTACTGTCTCTTACGACCGCGCTGGACGCTCCGAGGGAGTTGCTTTCGTCACATATGCCCGCCTGAAGGATGCACACCTCTCCATTCAGGAGTACGACGGAGCCAACGCTAAGGGCCAGCCCATTCGTCTTTCTCTCGTCCCCGGCCGCCGTGAACGTAACCCCCTCGAGTCCGCACAGCGCCCTAGGTCCAGCCTTTTGGACCGCGTAGAGCGCCCCCGCGACGACCGTAGCATGAGCCCCGAGGACAGCGACCGACGCCGCCGTGGCGGTCGTGCTCATCGCAGCGACGTCACTAAGCCCGCCCCAGACAACATCGACCGTTACGTTCCCGGGCAACGCTCCAGCCAGCGCTCTCCCAACCGCCGCGGCGGAGGCAGACGTGGTGGTGGCCGCGACAACCGTTCCCAACAGACTGAAGGATCCAACCGCCGATCCAATGCCCGTCCGCGCAAGACTCAGGAGGAGTTGGACCAGGAGATGGAAGATTACTGGGGTAGTGCCAACAACGGCGGTGGTGAAGCTGCTGCACCCGCTCAGGACGCCCCTCAGCAGACTGCTCCGGCCCCTAGCGCACCCGCTGCCGACGATGATATCGATATGATTGAGTAATACCTCACGGTCACTCGAACTACAATAAACTCGCTTGTCTTTCGCATTTAAGATTTTGGGACCTCTATCCTTGCTTTTGGACTTTTCTATGAATTCGGACCACCTTGGCCTTTTTCCAACTCTTCTCTTCTCTCTTTCCATCGCTGAGGCTTTTCAGCATGAGGGCTGAAACTCTGTACTTTACCTCAACCACCAAATTGTAACTCGGTCTATTTCACACATTCGGCTTTCTACTGCTTTGGTTTACTCTTGATGAACCATTATCCTTGCCCTTCCTCTCGTTGCATCCACACTGGCGAACTGGGAGCTCATTATATAGTTTTTTGGGGTTTTTTTTTGCATTGTTCGGTGTCTTCGTTCTTGTCTTTATATAGTCTAGTCGTGGGTAAAACCCGACTCGTGTACGTCAAAAGTCTGCATATAAAGAGCAGGAGGCTGTTCGCAATCAATGGATGATGCCAAGATACAATTCGATAGAGCATAAATCCAATCAAGGCCGCCGCCAATTATAAAGAGAACAAAGACCGCAAACGATAAAAACAGAAGATATGGTATTCTTCCGTAAAGTCTTCTACATTGTAACAATTATGAGAAGCAAGTTCACTTCCACAGCCCATAGGGTTCGCGGCATGCTTTCCATAACTTGATAGTACCGTCTTCACTGCCAGTGCCGTAGAGCTTGCCATCAGGGGAGAAGCTGACAGACCAGATAGGACCATGGTGACCCTTTTGAACCTCTGCAAAAAAAGTTAGCTCGGATTTAACAAGCATAGGAAGCAAAACATACCCAGCTCCTCATCCGTGTTCAAATCATAAACTCTTGCCCAGGTATCATTCGCACTGCCCGTCACCAGACGACCAGACTCGCTATTAACGGCAGCACTAGCAACATCATAGTCATAATCCGCCTTTTTCAGCAACCGACCAGGCTGCACGCCATCAAAGAGATAGACACTCTTCCCAGCAGCGACAGTCAAAATCCCCGCATCATTAGGTCTCGTCGCCAGACTATTCAGCTCGCAAGAGCCAATCGTGCCATCAACCGCATACTCAACGATCGGGTCACGCGAGCGCAGATCCCACCAGCGGATCTTGCGGTCTTCCGCCGCAGTAGTGATGACATTGTAGTCCTGGTTCCAGACGATAGACTTGATCGTCCCGCCGTGCACGCCGGCGCCGATCTCGTAGCTCGCCACGCCATTCTCGGTGGCCGGAGAGGCCGAGGATGGGGGAGGCGGTGTTGAGCCCGTGCTGGAACTGCCGCCCCGCGTTAGATCGAAGATTCGTAGCTTCTTCTCTGCGCCGCCTGTCGCGAGCACTTGCGGGTTCGCTTGGATTGGGAATGCTACTGCACGCACGATGTGTGCGTGTTGCAGTGTGTGTAGGCATTCGCCTGTGTAGGTGTCCCAGACCTTACTGTTTTGGGGGTTGGGGTTAGTTTATTGGTGTGGGAGGTGGGTTGGGGGGATTTTGCTTACGCTGAGAAATCGGCGGCTGCTGTTGCTGAGATGGCGGCGTCGGCGGAGAGCCTTGCTTGCCATACGGCACCTTTGTGGCCGAGGAATGTTCCAATCCTGGGTTTGATGTTAGTGGGTGCTTCACGGCTTTGGTTTCATTTGCCGTACCAGTCTCCCGTTATGCCATCGCGGAGCATGGGGTTATTATCTTTAGTCGGTTAGTGACTATCCTGTAACTGGTGAGAATCATTGCTTTTTCTTACCTTTGCATGAAGAGATAAAGTAATATTGCTCGTCTTCGACGGTGGAAGAGAAGCTCAGATGCGTCACCGGACGAGAATGCCCGTGGCAAGTCAGAGGGACTACCTTGGGGATATCTGTTGAAGACCTATCAGTAAACATATCAAGACAGTGATTTTCTATTCCATTCTACACAAATCACTCACCGGCAGTCATTTTGTCGGTGTTGAAGGAAGTTCCGAGGTTTCAGTGATTTTGATGTTAGGTATTAGAAAGACAATCAGATCAGCAAAGTGCTATGTGCCCAACCGAGAGCCCACGAGTTGATATCAAGATGAAAATCTAGGAAGCAGACCGAGAGAGAGTTCAATATGTCTAAGGAAGGTACATAAGAAATTCGTCAGTGTCGTCAAGTCATCAAACAGATATGTGGGGTTCGAGGAAGAGCCGATGACAAAGGATCGAAAGTGGATTGGACAAGAATTTTTCCAACCAGACACCTGAAAAGGAGAGAAGGCCTCTGGGAATACGAAACTCCTTTGGGGTGTAGATGGGATATCGAATTTCAATTTCAAACAATAACGGGCAGCCCTGGAGATTACCTATTAGGTAAGGCATGCGCTAATCTAATTCGGGTAGAATCTAGGCACGTGACATGCTATTTGTATATGGTAGCGACAGTTGACGGCAAATTATTCTAATTAGACATTGACAGACATCTAAAAGGAGACAGGAAAAATTGTAGCAAAGCATCTAAAAGATACTTGAAAAGATACTTGAAAAGATTACTCTACATAACAATGACAGTGAATGAGAGGCCAGACAAGGCCGCCTTTCTCTCCACTTTAACTTTTAAGCAAGGACTGTTCAATGGAGAAACAGTGCAGTTGGTTCAAATACCTAGATAGATAGAAAGAGAAGAAGCAAGCAAGCATGTGTCAACGATATGTAAAGACATATGACAGCCAATCATGCAGATCGTGGCAAGGAAAAGAAAAGAACAAGGTAAGCACAATTGGCCCAGCAGAAATCCATAGGAAGTTAATGATCCATGAATTCACATGGTAGACAGTCATGCTGATTGCGACAAGTATGTCTGCAAAGGCAGGAGTCGGAAGAATTACTCAACAGAGCGATCTAGGTCTTCATCGCTCAAATACCCACGCCGAAGCCTTGTGGGCGACATGGATTGGCTCGCTCTGGGGGGCTTGTTTTCGCCGGCCATTCTGACAGGCGAAAGTGAGAGAGTCGGCGGCTTGTTTTCGCCCAATTTTCTGACGGGAGGGGGAGAGCGAGTCGGCGCGCTAGGAAGCCTGGATTCGCACAACTTTCTTGCCGGTGCGGGAGAAAGAGTTGGCACACTGGGAGGCTTACTTTGAGGCGAGTCTGTTTCGGGCGAGGGAGATGGACGGGATAACCGGATGGGTATTCTCCGTTGGAAATTCGGTGCTACTTCGACCGGAGCTCACGATCCCGAAGGGACACAAACTGAATCATCATCGGAGTCAATCTCACTCTCGTCATCCTCGGCGGCTCCGCGCATCGCTGCAATCCGATGTAGAATCCACTGCAACTCCAACAACTCCATCGACGGTAGCGGTTTACTCTTAGGATCATCGGTCTCCAAGGTGAAAATATGCCCCGACCGTATGAGAGATCTCATCTCACCGTGAATAAGGCAAATATTTTCGCCTGGGCTTTCCGTAAAGCTGTTGATATCATGGGGGAACGGGTGCCGCATCGTCTCGATACTGTCAGAAGCTTTCTTCGTGATTTTCCCAGGAGCAGGGAGCCAGTGGAAGGCAACTTCCATCGATGTCTTCTTCGTGTTAATTGAGATAGGACGAAGAGCATAAAGAGTATTATCCCAGTAGGTATGGACTAGGGCCATAAAGGTGATGAGGTTCTGCACTCGCTCAGTATCCACTTTGCCATCATTATCATCGATAGTCATTATTTCCGCTTTCCACTTCATCACTCTGTCCACGCCCCAGAATCCTTCTAAGATGGACCATTCTATTTCTCGAGAGCTATTGTTCAGCTTGAATGGGAGGATATGGGATACATGCAGCCCATGTATACCAAACCTGGTAAGAACACATGCATTCCCATCGCGAGTCAAGGCCTAAAGATTCGAAGTTAGCATTAAATCTGATATATCCTTTTTTCCGCTTAACATACGGCATCCCTAACTGCTTTACCACGTGGCAAAACTCCACGTGTAGCTTGTTCCGACGAACCCATTGGTTCCTCACCAGACATACTCGCAGGCGGGCCCTTTAGGCGCTTCCCAGGAGACGAGGATTCGTCTACGGGCACATCGTCGGCCTCGCGCTTTTGCCCCTTTGCTGGTTTCTCTGGTTTCTCTGGTTTAGGCTGTTTCCTGCCCGCCCCTATTACTAATCGAATGGCCAGTTTAGTATTGTAGAAGTCGTCTTCGATGTACTTATACTGCCCAGGCACGTCAATGTAATGGGGCAAAAATTGAGTCTTTATAGCTGTCTTCATATCCTTATCAGGATTTTCTGTCGCAAACCATCTGAGTCTATCGATATCGCTAAACCATAACATGAAGAACATATGGCGAGTCATTCGGCGCAGGAAAGGGTAGAGACGTATCATCGTCTCGACTAGGCTTCGGCGTTCAGGATCTTGAAATTCATCAAAAATAGTGACTGTATCATATTTTGGCTCAGTTGGTTGATCCATGATGGACAAAAAAAAAGATTCTAAGATGATGGCAACGATATACTTGATACTGTTGCGTGGTTGGCGGAAAGGAAGAAACTAGTGGGACTGTTACATCTCCGCCACCCGATCGGGAAGGCGGTACTGGAAGTCCAACAACAACAACGGGAAGCAAGCAGGCAGGCAGGCAAGTAAGGCGTCAGCTAGATAATTAAGATGGGGAGAAGGAAAGAAGAAGCAAGTGCAAAGTGGAAGGCAGCCAGTTGATATAGCTGATCAATTTGCAAACGTTGCAAAAAATCTAATAGTAAGCGAGCAAGCAAACGAACAAGCAAGCAAACATGAAGCATATGATGAAGATTTAGTAGATCTTGACACAAGCAGGCAAGCAAACACCAAACAATCGTGCTCTCCAACACCAAATAAGCATGTACTAGTAATCTCGACGGCCTAAGGCCTCCGGGATAGTCGTTACAGAGCGAAGCGACTGGTTCTAACCTCTAAGGTTACGTAAGGTCTCCCTCTTGAGGGCTGACCTATCGATATCGGCGCCTAAGGCGCATTAGAGCGTGAAGGGATATAGAATATATCGTCTAGCCGGATTAAAGGAAGCCAGAAACGGCCGCCTTTCACGCCTTTCCAAGCAAGTAGCATTAATACCGTCTGCATCTTTGCATCTGCTACTATCTGCTGTTTGTTTCATTGAATTGTTTGTTAGATAGCTAGATAGCTAAGCAAGATGTTCGAGCTTTACAATTGCGTCTTCTTTCTTTCATCATTTTCCTTATTTAGTTTAGGGTGTTGATATGACCACTCCTCCCCCCCTTGGCTCTGACTATTGAATGATAATGTTGAGATATATCAGGCTGCCAGATTGGATAGTTGAAAACAGTCCCAACAAATGCCATGGATAACAGTAACCGCAACTGTAGTCAGTGGTATTCAGTAAGTATTTGACACCTATTCCATTTTCCACGGCCTAGGGACTTTAAGTGTTACTTCAAATGTTAATTCTCTTTCAGGTTCAGGAAGGGGATACGTGTGCCCAAGTATCTCTGGCTCAGTCTATGTCTCTTACAGATTTGTATTTCCTCGATCTTGACGATGCATATTGCGTCAAGGCCGTTGGTTCAATCACTAGCTACCCAACTTACACGGTGACTGGTTATCTGTTGGCATATGATTGAAGTGGCAGGAGTATTTTGTATGAGACAATAAAGTTGAATTCTCCTAATGAGCGAAGAATAAAAATTGTGAGTCTTGTAACCGAGTTGACTAATGTAGACACCAAATGCCAAGACTCGGAATGTAGCCGAACCGTGGAACCTGCAATTGCTCCGCTCCTTAAATCCACTTCGCTTCCCGACCCCGACTAACCCAGACAGGTACAAGTGTTTTAGCCTGGAAACCTGCCGATTTGTGAAACTAGAGCGTTTGAGAGAACAATTTTATCCCTACCTTCAAACCCTGCATCTGTGGAACCTGTTTACCCGTGGACCGTGGTCCGTACCCAACTCCCTAACATACCGAGCTTTCTGTTTTTCTTCCCTGTCACTTCATAACAAGAGCCCCGGACCCTTCATCCCAAAAGTTACCAGATCCATGATTACCAGAAGAGCTCTTGAACTTCATGTTTTCCTCGCATCTACAGCCAATACGCCCTTTATTCCCGCCCGGGTATCCCTGGGTTCTCTACTCTCATCAATAACACTTCACGTACTTCACGTCTCGCTAAGTCATCGCCACTGTATCTCAGTAACACAACTACCTTTTCAAGAACAGTGTTTACTCCTTCGAAACGTGATCCCAAAATGAAATCCGATTCGAATGAGGCCGATAGGCTTGAGGCGATTCTTAAAAAAGATAACTTCACGATATAGGGCTTTGTGATTTACCACTGCACGTACCAAGATGATGCCGAGTGGGAGAAATTTATGAACCGCTTCCCAAGCGCAGTTCCAGAGTACCTAGAGTTCTATAGTGGTCTTAATCTCCTCAATACATTTGCCCCGACGGTCTTCCAAGACCCCTCGTTCAAGGCTGCGACGGTAGTCACTCTCCGCGAGCACTTTAACAAGTGGGCAAAGACTGTAAGGAAAAAGGAACAGGGTGTTAGTGAAGACTACTATACCCGTACAGGGCGCTATCGATGACTGGCAGTCGTATTATATGCGATCGCCTGGGGTTGCAGCTATTTCTTGATCTCTAGTCTCGAAGTCTTGCTGGAGATAGGGATTGTTCTGCATCTTTAAGTCCCCGTAGCTCCTTGTATATTTCCGATATAACTCATACATCTGAATGAAAACTACAATTCATGAAAAGGGCCACCGGCCCCGAGGTACATATTTTAACTCTTTTTTTAAGATCGACCTAACATCTCACAAGTATGATGTGTTAGTCAATCTCATTCGCATCATCCTCGGCTCCGTGCATCCCTGCAATGCAATGTAGAATCCACTGTAACTCTAATAACTCCATCGATGGTAGTGGATGCTCCGCTGCACCAACAAATTTGGTGCAGTGAAGGGGAGCGACGTATCATCAACTCGACCATGCTTCGGCGTTCCGGATCGTTAAATTCATCAAAAATAGTGACTGTGTCATACTTTGGCTCATTTGGCTCAGTTGGGTTGGCCATGATGGACAAAACAACAGCTTCTAAGATGATGGCAATGATATAGATACAGTTGCGTGGTTGGCGGAAAGAAAAAAATAGTGGCGGAGATGCGACACCTGATCAGAAAGGCGGTCCTGAAATGCATGCAGGGGGGTAAGGATGAGAGGCCCAAGTGCGTCAGCTTTCCTTGTCACTACTTTCACAATGGTTTAGATTTAGGTATCCGAGAGATGCATATGCAGGTAAGATACATCAGGGAAAATGCTCAATCCCTTTAGAGCAGGACCAAAAAAAACAATCTAATGTGTTGATTTCTATGGGGCGAGACGGGATATCTTCGAGTCTTGACTTCTCACCGTCCTTTCACTGCAGTGAATCAAGTTGAAATGTTTGTTTGTTGTTCCATAACGAGGAAAGGAATCAAATTGGGGTTTGTGAATCTTCTATGTTGATGTGATCCTTAGATTGGCTAACTGGAGGAGAGATGGCTGTCCACTATGTTGTAGATGATTCCAAGCTTGCCCGAGGATTCACTAGTTAGTATGATAGACGAATGAGTCACTTGAGGACCACCTGAGCATGTCCTTGCCTACTGTAGGTAGGGCTAGTACTTGATAAGTAAGACCTCGTGTTCTAGCAGGTTCCCCGAATGGCGTTACCGCCCACGTGATATGACCATTGATGCTTCGGCGGGGCGATCCCCCGGAACGACTAAAGGACAACAACATCCAGGGGAGCTTGATTGATCGTTAAGTCTGCGGTGATACCCTTGAATTATTTCTTCTTTGGATTCCTCTTTCTTCACGATTTCTTCCCTCAAAGTTTTATGTATGCCTGACTTCAAGCTCTCCGCAACTTTGGAGGGCCACGGCGATGATGTAAGGCTCCTGGTCCAGGCGTCTGTACCGACGCCATTGACCGCACCAAACCAGACAGACTACTCACATTATTTTGGCCTAATCTAGGTTCGCGCTGTGGTCTTCCCAAATCCAAATGTCGTCCTTTCGGCCTCTCGTGATGCAACAGTTCGGCTCTGGAAGCTCGTCTCCACTTCACCTCCCGCATACGACTATACCATCGCTGCACATGGCGGCGCTTTCATCAACAGCTTAGCCTACATCCCCCCCACACCCGAGTTCCCAGAGGGCCTTGTACTTTCGGCTGGACAAGATGCAATAATTGAAGCCAGGCAGCCTAGTAAGAGTGCAGAAGATAATGCAGATGCTATGCTCCTAGGTCACGGCCACAATGTCTGTTCTCTAGATGTGTCTCCGGATGGCAAATGGGTTGTTAGCGGCAGCTGGGATTCCACGGCCCGTCTATGGAAGGTCGGCAAATGGGAGTGTGATGTCGTACTGGAGGGGCATGAGGCAAGCGTCTGGGCCGTGCTGGCCTATGACGAGAACACAATAATCACGGGTATGCTAGCTTCATGTCGCCCTAACAAATCCGACAATGCTAACATCACCGCAGGCTGCGCTGACAAAATGATTCGGATGTTTAATACCTCGGGAACCCTACTCGGAAGCGTACAGAACTCCAACGATGTCGTCCGAGCCTTGTGCAAGCTTCCTGCCTCGAACCCTACAGGGGCTCACTTTGCCTCGGCCAGCAATGATGGAATCATTCGTCTTTACACACTGCAGGGTCAACTTGTCGCCTCTCTGCATGGTCATGAAAGCTTTATCTACTCCCTTGCTGCGCTCCCGTCTGGCGAGCTGGTGAGCTCTAGTGAAGATCGCACCGTGAAGATTTGGAACGGGACCCAATGTGTGCAGACAATAACACATCCCGCAATCTCGGTGTGGAGTGTCGCAGCTTGCAGTGAGACCGGTGATATCGTCACTGGTGCTAGTGACCGCATTGCTCGTGTTTTCAGCAGAAGCCCTGACCGTCATGCAGCCCCGGAGGCCATACATCAGTTTGACCAGGCCGTCAAGGAGTCGGCTATCCCAGAGCAGCAAGTGGGTAAGATTAATAAAGAGGAGCTACCTGGTCCGGAATTTTTGAAAGAAAAGTCCGGAACCAAGGAAGGCCAGGTCCAGATGATCCGAGAGCCTGGTGGTACCGTGAGCGCCCACACCTGGTCATCAGCAACACAGGAATGGATTGCCATCGGTATGGTAGTGGACTCGGCTGGAAGCAGTGGTCGAAAGACCGAATATCATGGTCAGGATTACGACTACGTCTTCGATGTTGACATAGAGGATGGAAAGCCTCCGCTGAAACTACCATACAATGCCTCGCAGAATCCATATGAGGCTGCCACCAAGTTTATTGGAGACAATGAACTCCCTATGACCTATCTGGACCAGGTTGCCAACTTTATCACTCAGAATACCCAAGGTGCCACTATTGGGCAGTCTCAGGAACCCGCAGGCTCTGATCCTTGGGGCTCAGACCGACGTTACCGTCCTGGAGACGCCGCAGCGGCTGAAGAGTCTCGGCCACCTGCCCCCGAGTCGCGCCCTAAGGTGCTCCCTCAGAAGATCTATCTCTCCATCCGCTCGGCAAATCTTAAAGTTATCACGAAGAAGCTTCAGGAATTGAACGCGCAACTCGTGTCTGATGGATCAAAGGACGTGGCTTTGAGCCCCTCGGAGGTGGAAACGGTTGTCTCCTTGTGCGGCCAGCTCGAATCTTCCAAACAACTCCAACTTTCACCCGAGGTTGAATCTGGAGTGCCATTGATCCTGAAGATCGTTACAACCTGGCCTGCCGCCAATCGACTCCCCGGCCTAGATATTCTTCGTCTACTCGCGGCCGCTGCGCCATTTACAGCATCCGCCGAGTACAAAGACGAAAATGTCGTGTCGGGTGTGATATCCAGCGGTGTTTTTGAACCTCCTCTTAACGTCAACAATGCAATGCTCGCAATGCGAACATTTGCTAACCTATTCGAGACGACTGCCGGCCGTGATCTCGCCATGAGCTCATTTGATCAGATCCTGGCAGGAGTGAAAACTGCTTTGGCTAGCAGCGGACAATCACCGAACCGCAACCTCACAATCGCCATCACAACACTCTACATCAACTTTGCAGTTTATCTTACCTCCGAAGGTAGAGACCAATCTCCAGAATCCGCAGAACGAGGTCTGGTCCTCCTAGAGGAACTAACTCAGATCATTTCTGGAGAGAAGGACTCAGAGGCGGTTTACCGAGCACTAGTCGCGCTCGGCACACTGGTGACAGCGCTTGGAGAGGAGGTTAGGAGCGCTGCTACAGAAGTCTACGAGGTTAAAGGTGTTCTTGCGAGAGCCTCGGCCTCTGGTCCTGGAAAGGAGCCGCGCATCAAGGGCATTATTAGCGAGATCCGGGAGGCTCTCTAAGAGTGCGTGCTATTTTTTTTATTCGGTATGCGCAGATTAGAGATGCATTCCTTCCTAACGACGACAACGCGATTCCCAACAAAGGCAATTCATATCCTCATTTTCCACTTCACGTAGATACATCATAGATGTTTCCTTATTTTTGAATCAACTAGCATTCTGAATCATTCATTCTAAATCATTCACTACTCCCTTACAATCTGCCCTCCGCATCAACCCCAATCTCCAAAACCTGATCAACGCCCTGATACTTGGGCAAATCAAGCCCATACTTATCAGTAATGTTCTTCGTCAAAAACCTACCACCGATAAAATGCCTGCCGTGATAAAATGCCACGCACGGCTTAGGTGCAGACAAACTGATCAACGCATGCGGCATGAACTTCGCACCGGGTCCTTCCTTCGGTGGTCCGGTCTGGATATCCCATGAGCTGGGCGCATCGACACTCAGCACCGGGACATTGGCGGACTCGATTTGCGAGACGATTTTGTCGAATGGATCACGCAATGGTCCGCCGAAGGAGAAGCCGAAGATGGCGTCGACCAGGAAGTCTGCCGTCTTCAGGGCTGGTTCAAAGTCGTCAACGAAGGGGACTGAGAGGTTATGCAGTTGGGTTTTGAGGCGCTGGCTTGGGTTAGATTTTCTTCTTTTTTTTTTTTGCTTCTACGATCCTTCTGGTTTGGGATTGCGTACTTCGTAAAGCTCCTTTTTGCCCTGCTTTGGGTAGTACAGAGACGGGGTGTAGCCGAATTGGGCTAGGTGGCGAGTTGCTACGAGACCATCCCCGCCTGGTGGTTTGTTAGGTTGCTGTTGCTCGAATGGCAAGGTTGGAGATGCTTCTCACCATTGTTGCCTGGTCCGCAGACGACTAGAACTTTCTTGCCTGCGCTTGGGGGGTGGACCCTCCAGACTAGTTGCTTGTATCAGTATGGCCCGACTACATGCTCGAGATTGATGGTTCTGACCGGCTTCCGCGACAGAGAGGCCTGCTAGCTCCATCAACTGGTCCAGAGACCAGCCGCCGACCTCCATGAGGTCTTTGTCAAGTGATGCGGCATCTTTGGCTGAGATTGCCTAGGAACATGGTTAGGTTTTGAGATGGAGCTAATATCAGACAACTATACCTTCAACGACATTATTGCTGGTTTACTGTAGCGACGAATGGAGGGAGGTAGACGGATACGGGCGAATGTAGACCGGATCATGTAAGTACTTTAGATATAGTCTTTCGACTAAATGAGCAATTGACAGAAAATGTGTAAATCAAAATGACAGCCAGCTCAAGAGTAGATCTACTGAGGGTCCTCACGTCATTACATCATACATCATATGGGCGCTAATCCATATTTGGCTCCATCGGATCAACAATAATTCCGGCCTAGAACTTTTGCGGAGGGCAGACGGGATCATCAAAAGAACAGTCTTGCGCTCTCCCAATTGAAACAGCATAACGCACCCGCCAAGATGGTTCTCCGGATTCGACTCGCCCGCTTTGGCAACAAGCACAACCCTTTCTTCAACATCGTCGTTGCGCAAGCTCGGTACGTGGTCTTTCCCCCGTGAATGGATACCCCCGATACGCCCGGCCTCCAACGCCAAACACGGACGTTGTCAGGCCAAGGAGTGCTTCAATTGTGCACATATCTAAGATGAACTGAAATTGACCCTATGATCTTCAGCTCTGCCCGCGGCGCCAAGCCCCTCGAAGTCATCGGCACCTACAACCCCATCCCGAAACGTCCCACGAACTTGTATGATGAGAATACCGAAACCCGTCCATATAAGGAGATTGCCCTCGACCGGTCACGCGCCAAGTACTGGCTTGGTGTTGGTGCGCAGCCTAGTGATCCCGTCTGGAAACTGATGAGCATGGTAAGCACCCTTGTTTGTTTGATCCGTGAGAGTTTTGGGAATCAAGGATCTGGACGGCTATTGTCGGGCCTGCGTTTTAAGCAGATCACATGGACGGGGATTACGTTGTTATTATACGGACTGCTTTCTGACTCTTAACTTATCTTAGGCTGGCCTTGTTGCGCCCAAACCTACTACCTTTCACAAAGCTTGATTCCGACTCTTTGATACTGTGTCTTTCCATGGTTTTCACCTCCGACATTCTTTGTGTACTCGGACGGCCACCATCCGGGAATTTCAAGGCATGGTACTATCAGAAGTCGCGCAGTGTTTCTTTATTCTTTCCTGATTTGGCATTTTTGGCGTTATTGAGTTGCCTTGTGAGAACCTCTGTATATTAAGTGGCAGCCTGACTGCTCTGAGTCTACGCGGTAGATGAGCCGCATGAATATCTACTGATATGACTTGAATTTGTCTAGGCGGCACATACTTCGGACCGAGGTAGCCTATACCTTTCCAGCATACTTTCCATAAACTGCTCATATATTGTTGAGTCATGAGGTACATAGATGCTACTAAACCACACTCGACTAGGTAAATCTTAAATGGATCGGATAATACCCTTGGAACCCGATCGTATTTGTCAGTAAACCTGAAAGTCAAAACATTTGACGCGCCTATGACCAGTTCAGGCACGTTGTGAAGAAGTAGGTGCTAGTAAAGCCCCTAAACAGCGGCTTCTCTCCACGGCCCAACCAAATGAACTATCGGCCGCTCGATAAGCCCGAGTCATTTCCCTGTCGCAGCCAATCCCATCTGTTGCCGGGGTTGGGCCCGTGGCAATTGGTCGATGACCCTGGAGGATCACCGGGTTTTGACTTTTTAGATTCCATGGGCGTACAACGTATGCGGTGACTTTTATTATTATAAAATGGGTTGGATATGTGATGTACGTGGTGATATGTCTCATGAGGTAGTCGATATCGAGCCGTTGGCTATTGCAATCTGGGCTGGTTGAAGTAGATATACAGTATCCAAGGTTCCAATAATCGGTATTGTATTGACTTGGTACCAGCTTAGGGTTGCCTATCCGAGTCTACATTCAATAAACATGCACCTAGTATATGTGTGTCTCATTTCAAAGAGCCCCATCGCGTGCAGAGCCGGGGAACGGTAAGCCGCTTAGGCACTGTACTTGCATGGCCGGTGCTCAGCGATATATTCATGATCCACCGATCTTCAGAGAACAGAAAAAGAAAAGAAAGAAGAGAAACAAAAACCGGGGCATTCCACAGTCACCACCGGTCACCTCGGGGCACGCACTGGGCCAGTGTCTGCATGCGGTCGGTTTCTAGGGCCAAAGGTGTAAGACGGCGTAAAATTGAGTCCAGATTGTGTAAAGAGTGTGACCAGGTACTGTCATATACCTGGGAGTACATGCAGTCACGGGCAGACATGCATAGAACCCCATGTACCGCTCTGGTCACATACCGGTTCCCCATTGAGTCGCGTCGTGAAGGGCAGATCCATGGATCTGGCACTGGTGGACTGGCACTCGACCGTTCCGGACTCTTTTCTTCCCCCCCCTCCCCTGCACTCTCCTTCATCCCCTCCTTTCAACCCTTTTCCCTGCATCCATCTTACCATTCGTGTCAATTTCCATCTTTATCTCAATCGTTTTCAAAGCGCTCATACCTGTCGCAAATCCGATGAGACACCATTCGAGTGCACTCGACTTTCGATCGAATCGCTAATCGCCTTCGCCTTCCTTCATTTCTGTCGTTGCATCGCGCTTGGTGTACGGTATCTTGTCGCATTACCGATCACTGCCCCGACCTCCGACTGTCAAAACCCTGCGACTCCTTTTTTCTTCATTAGGACTATCTTCCCCCTGTGTGATCGCGAAACCCTAGAAAAGGCGAAAAAAAAAAAATCCAATTTTTTTAAATCTCGTGGAGGGATGAGCGGCAGCTCTAGCCAGTCCACTCGTACGAGTCCCGGCTCTTTTGGAACTACGCAGCTCACAGAGTCCGTGTCATCCGGTTCGCCCCCACAGCAGTCACTCCCTTCTTCGCAGGTGCCTTTGACGGCTCAGCATGCGATGTCGACCGACGTGTACAGTCCGAATGCGTCGCAACCGCCTTCATCTATGAATCCATCTTTCTCATACCCTTTCTCCCCTATCGGTACAACAGCTTCATTCGATACCAACATGCGCTTAGGCGATAACGATCGCAACCTCCAGGGTCTAAATGGCCTGAATCGCGGAAACGGAGGCGCCATTCTCATGCGCAAACTGCCGCGAAATACGAGCCGCGAAGCCCTGCGCAGCATGCTTCTCTTCGCCAAAGACTTTGTCGACGCCGACTTTGTCACCTTGGACCTGCCCGAGGATGATGGGTTCTTGACTGCGATCGCGCGATTCATTACTTTGCCAGCCGCCGAAGAGGCCAGATCACTCCTCGATGGCAAGCCGAACTCCAAAAACGACGCCAACATGGTCGTCGAGATGTACCCCGGTCCGATGGGCGCGAATCTGTCCAACACCCGCCGTAACACCATCGATCACACCGCCACCCGTGCGTTAATGGGTGCCTCGAACGGTCCCCTAGCGCGTCAATCCTCGCGCTTTAACGGCACTTTCCAAAGTTTGGAGAGGCTATCCAACGCCAACCCCAATCAGGCTATTGGCGAAGGACTTCCTCCGACCTCCGAATCGCGCATGCATAGCCTTTTCTCCCCACAATCTCCGATCGGAAATGGCATTGATAACCTTCCACGCATAACTGGGAAGTCTATGATCGATGAGGACCCGGACGAGGAGACGGGCGAGCTGCTCAAGGATCCGGTGGGCTATGCGGAGAACGGCCATTCTTCCAATATCTCCGCTGGGCGCCGAGCGACCAACCCTCAAATCCCGACCAACCGCTTTGCCAATATGTCCCTATCAACCAACATGTCCTCGCCACCTTTGCAGAACTACCCTGGAGGTGGCGCGCAACGCATGGGCGGTGGAACACCCACATCTGGATACCCGAACCAAGGCCATGGTTACCCATACAACGCTCAGCATACCCCACGCCACAGCCTGCCTGCTGCGAACCCGAATGACCTGAATCCTCCTTGCAACACTTTGTACGTCGGCAACTTGCCGCCAGACACCTCCGAGGAAGAACTCAAGGCCCTTTTCTCCAAACAACGCGGGTACAAACGACTCTGTTTCCGAAACAAGCAGAACGGACCCATGTGCTTTGTGGAATTCGACGAGGTCGCCATGGCAAGCAAAGCACTCAATGAGCTGTACGGCTACAAGCTGTCAAACAGTGTCAAGACTGGCATCCGTCTCAGCTTCTCAAAGAATCCGTTGGGTGTGCGCTCTGGTCAACCCGGCAGCATGAACTCATCCAACTCGCCCTCTGGGCAGGGCGCAGTCCCCGGAGGCAGCAGCTTGAGTGGAATCCACAACAACATGTTCTCGGCCGTCAACGGCCCTCCTCCCGGACTGGCAGCACCCCCTGGTCTTGGCATGCCCATGCCTGCGCCTCCGATGCGCAATGGCACCTCCATGCACAACCCCGTCAATCCGCATGCTCAAATGATGGGCAATACTTCATACAACCCGAACTCGGGCCTGGGAATCCGAAACGGAGCCAATTCCATGATGATGTCGCCGCCGCCCCCTCCTAATTCCGGCGGCAACAATCCGACACCGAACCTGAACGGCTATAATTCCTTTTACCCTGACTACATGATGGGTCGCTAAGCCCATCCAAGCGTTATATTAAGATAATGCCCGGCATGTTTGAACGAACTGGGATATCTGGCGCATTTGGGGATCTTCGTTTCGTGAGCTAGATCAGCATTCGGCGGCTGCATAACTCTCGGGAGTACTGTTTCGGATTTGCTTTCTGTTTTTTTCTCTTCTTTTCTGCCAGTGCTTTTCTTGGCTTTCGTATTTCTGTTGCATGGGAACCTGGGCGCTCTCACATTCCTTTTTGTGTTAATTCGTTTCATTGGGAGGATTGCATTTCAGGTCATTGCCAAACTTGTATTCTTATCTGGTCGGCGCGAGGCGCTCGAGAGCGCATGTTAGTTTCTGTCGGCCATTGCGTTTTGTTCACACCTTCATACCCTCTTGATTTCTTGCTTTTATTCTCGTTTATCTCGCTCGTTACCTTGATTCGATAAGCAATGCACACTAATGCGTGTTTGCTGTATGCCTACCCAGGATCTATACGAGCTGTTATCTACTTTATTCCGTGATTCCCCCTGTTTGTTACATCTA